TGTTTACCGCAAAAGTCTCTTGGTTTAATTTTGGAGACCGCCACTTTGAGATTATATGGAGAGTAAGCTTCCTCTTAACTGAAGAGTTAGTACATGAAAGAATTTTCTTTTTTGAGCGAACTTTGGGTTTGAGGCTTAAAAGCACATTGACTTTATTCTTACAGAACCTCCAGAGACAATTAGCAAAGATGAGAAGAAACCGTTGTCCGTTGTGGTGAATGAACAAGTGGTACGGTCCAAGGCGGGATCCCCTTTGCTTCAGTTTCCCGGTGGAATGGCAACCCCTGGAAATCTGTCAGCAAGTGACTTCCCGCTTTTTGGATCTAAACCTTCCAAAGCTGATAAATTGAGGCTAAAGGAGGGCAGAGGGCCTGTGTTCAGCGAGACCTACTACAGTCAGGTGAGGGAGGTGCACGGTGCCAACATGAGGGCAATGGAAGCTCTGCTGGACAATGAAGAGAATGCCGGAAAACGCAGAAAAAACATGAGCGCTAATGATGTGAACTGTTTGATTGAAGACGTCTTGAGAGCTCTTGCAACTGAAGGAGAGCACGTCACCATCGAGAGGGTTTGTCGTTTTTTTTGATTGATTGATTGATTGATTTTATTTTTATTTATTTTTATTTTTCAAACAAATCAAAACAAAAACACTTTCAGATGACAACATGAATAGAAAAGGACAAACAATATAAATACTAAAGTCCTCAGATACATCTTATTGACGTTCATAAGTATTCATACACGACAATGTTTTCAGCTCAAAACAGGAAACCTTTATGCTTCACTTAATTTGTATTTCTTTGTGTTGTAGGTGATCGGCAGAGTTTGTTCACTTCTGCAAGTGTGCAGCTTGAGGGATATGAACATCGACCCTCGCCGGCATCTTCCAGCACTGCAGGATCTTCAGCGCACGCTCAAGGAGATCAATTTGTATATTGAGGTACGCAGATTTACACTCAACTCCTTGTTTTCCACATATCCCTACTGAAAAACAAAACGCAATAGAAATATCACAGAAACTCCACGGCAAATACTAATAAATCAATGCAAGCTATCAAATTCTAGACCTCACAACTTGCACATTTCAATGTTTTAGGACATATTGCTCTAATATTTGTTGGTTTTAACGTGCCGCCAATATGAGACAAAAAATACCAGTAGAGACCAATATTGAGTAATTAAACTCAAAAAAGTGATTGATCAATTACATCGTTTAAGTTGCATCTAAATTACTTTTCTATTTACTATGTTTGAGGATAAGATCTTCAATATAATAAATACTGCTTAAAATCCTTATAAATATAATTGCATAGGCAATATAGTTGTTAAAATAATTTTAATTTGAGGCCTATTATCGTTATATTTATAAACTCATAGATCAGGGTTTATGTGGGTGCTGGGAATGCTTAAAATTGCTGGAATTCATTCATCTAGTTTTTGCAAGGTGCTTTGATTTTTGATAAAGTGCTTGTAACTGCTTTAAAATGTAATTGTGTTGCTTTCATAAAAAATGGTCCTACTAAATGGTCATAATAAATAACTATAAAACAATTAAATTTTAGTAAAGCATTTTTATTTGTTTTGCTTGTGCATAAAATAAAAGCTTTAGAGTCATTAGAGAGTTTAGAGTGAATTTGTCTATTTATTCATTTATTTACTTATTTATTTATGTGCTAAATATTTTATATTATACTATACTATACTATACCATACTATAATATACTATACCATTCCATACCACACTATACTATACCACACTATACCATACTATACTATATACTACACCATACTATACCACACTATACTATACCAAACTATACCATACTCTAATATACCATACCATACTATACTATACAATACCACACTATACCATACTATACTATATAGTACACCATACTATACTATACCACACTATACCATACTATACTATATACTACACCATACTATACAACACTATACTATACCAAACTATACCATACTCTAATATACTATACCAACCACACTATACTATACTATACAATACCACACTATACCATACAATACTATATACTACACCATACTATACAACACTATACTATACCAAACTATACCATACTCTAATATACTATACTATACTATACAATACCACACTATACCATACTATACTATATACTACACCATACTATACAACACTATACTATACCAAAAACTATACCATACTCTAATATACTATACCAACCACATTATTGACCTTATTCTCCGTGGACGAGTGGGTGCAGCCATTTGAATCTTTTTGGCACAAGACTTCCGGTCTCATTCACTTCCATTCATTTTTAGACATTAAAAACGGCTTGTTTCGCTGCTTGATGTTGCAAACTGATATTTCCTTGTTATATTATTCTACTTGGTCTGTATAGTCATGCAAACATTTGTTTGTAGAGCAAGTAGTTTGACCGTTTTTTGCCGTTTATTATTCCTTGTCATATCTCCCATAGGCGACTGAAACAGAAGTTCTAAGACAATCGCGAAAACAGGTGCACTTCCGCATTTTAGAATAAGGTCAATACTATACTATACAATATTATACTATACCACACTATGCCATAATATACTATATACTACACCATACCATACCACACTATACTATACTATATACTATACAATATTATACTTTACCACACTGTACTGCACTATTCAATGTTGTATTATACCACACTAGACTGTACCATACCACACTATACCATTTCATACCACACTATACTATACCATCCCAGACTATACTATATACTATACCACACTATACTGTACCATACCACACTATACTATTTCATACCAAACTCTACTTTACCATACCCCACTATAATATACTATACCATACTATACTATATACTATACCGAACCACACTATACTGTACCATACTATACTATAACACACTATACTATACTGTACTATACCATACTATACCATGCAATGCAATTCTATACTATAGCATACTATACTTTACTATACCATACCATATCATACTATAAAATACCGTGCAATGCTAAATGCTACTTAAAATCCCTATAAATATCAGTGTATAGACAAGAATGTTGTAAAAATTATTTAAATTTGAGGCCTTTTAGCTTTATATTTAAAAAAAAACATCATGCTTTACTATTTTAATAACAAACATGCTGTAATAGTCTTTAGTTAACAAACATAACATAATTCATTCTGATTTAACCAACATATGAAAAGTGTATTGGCAGCATTTGAAAACCGCTTTTAGAAAATTTCAGTCAAAATTAGCTGGAGTTTTTCCTAAAAGAAGCAAAATAATCTGCCAGTGGGCCGAGCTAAATGATCAAGTTTTCCTCATTCTGCTTACCCCACTGGCAGATCATTTAGCTTGTTTTAAGAAAAGAAAAACACTTTTCTAAAACTACACTAAAACTAGTTTTTCCAAAACTACACTTTTCTACTAAAAACACAACATTTATTTGCTTGTCTAAAAAAGGCTTCATGATTTATGAGTTTTTATATATTTCAACTAGAATCAAGACAAAATAAAAGCATTTTCGCAGTTTATAGTGTGTGTTTATTCTCTTGTATCAGTCAGTGGAGGCCGTGTCTTCAGTCTGCACACTTTACGAACTCGGACAAGCTCTGGCCAACCTGAAGAACAAGAAGCGCTTCGAGGAGCTGCACCTCGGCCCACTCTGCAAGCTTCCTCTCATCCACCGCATGTTCAGGATCGATGCAAACACTAAAGACGACGACGTGCATCAGATCTCAACCGTCGACATTCTGAGGGTGAGTCCGATTTACACTGCAGGGATGGATGAAAAATAAGCTCTGGTTGCTTTGAATGGTCAAGGACCGCCCACTGTGTTATTTGACTGACAGGTTAACCAGCCAATCATGTTTCATTTTGTGCTGCGTCATGTTAAGAGGTGTTGAAGTGTCCAGAATAACAGCCCTTGGTTATTGTTAGAAGGGATACAGCTGTGGATGGGAATTAATGAGAATTATTTACATTATTTATTGATTTACCCGGTAGTTGTTGTTTATTAGTGTCTATCCCTACCCCAACTCTCACAGTAATGTAAAACAGCAATTATAAAGAGTATTATTCCTATTATTTATAAAATTACCCATTAAATTGTATTTTATTAACGTCTACCCCCACTCCAACCCTCATAGTAATGTAAAAACAGCAGTTATACTCAGTATTATTCATATTATTTATTAAATTACACATTAAATTGCATTTTATTAACGTTTACCCCTTCTCTAACCCTCACAGTAATGTAAAAACAGTCTATATGTATAATAATAATCATTGTATAGGGGAATCTCTGGCTTCGTGTGGATGTAGGTAGACTAAAGTTGGAGAGTAAACCTGCAGGATCAGGTTTGGGTTTCATGGTCTACAGCGACACGACTCAATCTCATTTTGGTTTTCTGCTTGTTTTAGAGTCTCAGAATGTACAGGAGAATAAACAAGGTGCCTAGAGTTGACCTTGCAGAGTTCCTAAAGCATCTTGCAGATCAGTACAGCTGTGAGTCTCCTTATGAACTCGGCATCAGGATCCAGAGTCTCGGCCTGCCCATTTCGGTAAGATTATCCATCGTTGGGACTAGTGGGGTTCTGCTGTAGAGTTTATCTTGTTGTTGATATTAGTGTAACGTTTTATCAACATTGGACAGAAAATCAAAGCTTAAAATCTGAATTAATTATATTCCAAATTTGAAGTTGATATCTCCAAAAATGAACTTTCAGTAATATTTTTTGCCTGTGCAATACCTAACATGACCACCAGAGTCATCCAGTTTCCATTAATGATCATCTTAGGGCGCTCCTTATGTTTTGAGTAATATAAGCTATATATTTTCTAAATTTTTCATAAAACCCTAAAATAGTATGGGAAGTTTGGTGATATTTGATCTTCTAAAAACAATAACAAGTTGTACATGTGGATTACTGTAGCGAAGTAATGCTTTACTCTGAGTATTATTGTTGCAAATTAATAAATAAATGTTGCTCAGTAATATCTATTAAAACGAAATCACCAGATATGGAAACTAGACAAGTTAAGCTTTCAAATGATATATCGTTTGTTATGAGTGTATTGTTTATATTATTGAATTATAATTTATAAATGTAGTAAATGCTCCCACAGGTTGTACGATGAGAGTAATGTGTTTTTAATATTAAATTAATATTAAATGTGTTTTTAATCGGTTACTTTTTCTATGTAACTTAAACAATTATAAAATATGCATTCAGAAGTCTTAGACCTTTCCAATGATATATAGTTTGCCTTGATTGTATTAGTATTTAATTGCAAAAAAGTGATGTAAACGTAACTGTCCCATTGTTGAATAGTGACAGTTAAGGGCTCTGCATTTTATTATTTATTATTAAGTTCTGCATTATTTCTTGTGTTTTTAGACGCTAAATAAGGCTTCGGCTGCTGACTACTTGCTCATGGAGAAAGCCAAAGAAACCATTCAGAAGGAGATCCAGGAGGAGGTGGAGGCCAAAATGTATAAGATCAAGAAGAGCCTGCTGGATCCAGCGCAGGGACCCATGATCTTCTCCCACATCGGGAACGCAGAGCTGAGAAAGAAATACGCAAGTATGACGGCCACCGATGCAGTGCTGGAAGTCTTCATCAATTCTGAAGGCGTCTTCAGTAAAAGCATGACGAAGGTAAGAGACTTTATATGGGTACTGGGAATGCTTAAAATACTATGCTATGCTATACTGTATCTTACTATACTATACTATACTGTACTATACTATAACACACTATACTACTCTATGCTATAATATTCTACACCACACTATAATAGACCATGCAATGCTATTCCATACTATATATTATACAATACTATAGTATACTATACAATGCAATACTAAATAATAGTGTGGAAAACTATACTTCACTATACTATACTGTACTGTACTACACTAGAGTATACTATAGTATACCATACTCTACTATAGTGTACTATACCATACTATAATATATTATACTACACTATACCATGCTATAGCATGCCATACTATACTATGCAATAATATAGTATGGAATGCTATACTATACAGTACCATACTATACTACACTATATTATGCTATGTTATGTTATACTATCCTATTTTATACCATACTCTACTGTTATGCTATACTATACTGTTATGGTATGATATACTATTATGCTACGCTATACTATGTTATGCTATACTATCCTATATTATATCATACTATACTGTTATGCCATACTATGCTATGGTATGCTATGCTATACTATTCCATACTATACTATGTTATGCTATACTATACAATACTATAGTATGTTGGTATGCTATACTATGTTATGCTATTCTAATAATGCTATACTTTACAATACTATACTATGTTATGGTATGGTATACTATACTTTACTATACCATGTTATACTATACAATACTATACTGTTAGGCTAAACTATACTGTACTATACCATGTTATACTGTACAATACTATACTGTTAGGCTATACTATACTGTACTATAACATGTTATGTTATGTTATACTATCCTGTGTTATACCATACTATACTATTATGCTATACTATACATGCTACCCTATGTTATGCTATATGATACTATATTATACTATATCAGGCTATGCTATAATATACTCTTATAATATACTATAAAGTACTATAACAGGTAGTATCTGCTAAGCTGTGATAAAATATGTATATGTGTGTAAGTACGTCAAGTAAGTTGTAAAGTGCTGGAAAAGTGTAAAAATGCAGCTGGAAAGTGCTTAACATGTTCACATTTGACTCTGGAAAAGGTATAGGAACCCTGATAGATGAGATGAGGATAATTATCTCTAGTCTGTTGAGAATAATCTCACTCATCAGACCGGTTTTTCCTGTGGTTTTATTTTGGCATGTCTGTTTCATTGTTCATTATTCCTATAGGCAGTGTTCTGACAGCAGTGGAACCGCCTGTGGTTGTTCTGCATACTTAGTGCATTATTAATCAATAGCTGTTTTCAATCCACCCTTTTTTATGTGCAAAATATATTAAATATTGTATAGAAACGCCAAGTTGTGCATACATTTAAAAAATGTATGCATCAAAAAAGTGATGTGATTTAATTTAAACAGATGAGGAGATGATAAAATATGTGTGATGGTATTAATGGACAAACCAGCAGAGCATATTAATCAATTCATAATTTTTCCCTCACCTGTATATAAATATTAAAACCACTACTTTGCTGAAATTCGACTCTGTTGTAGCCAGTTTATTCAGGACAATTTACATTTGTTTGGTATTATTATTATTAATATTACTAGTATTTTTTAAAATGCATAATTAGATTTGTTTGTAGCCTTAGGAATATTCATATTGTTGTATTAGCTATTTTGCATTTCAGTGTTTGACAGGGCTCTAAAAGCTTAAAGCCTAAAAATAAGTTTGAAGCAGCGCGTGTGTTTTTCTGTGTGTTTCCTCAGACCATTCAGACGTTCCTCTCCTGTATAAACCGCGACCGATTAGCCAGAGCTTTATTCCAGCTAGCGATATGCTGTGGCTCTCTGGATGCACCTCAGGATCTGGTGGCGAAAGAAAAACCCCAGAAAAAAGCAGAGAAAAAGACAGAAGAGACGCCGGCGGAGATGCTCCCTACTGAAGGTGCTCACTAGTTTCTGATTTCCACTCAAAGTGAAGAAGAAGGAGTGCTGAAAAAATTTAATATACAGTCAGAATTATTCGCCCCCTTTCAATTTTTGTCTTCTTTTTTTAAATATTTCCCAAATGATGTTGAACAGATTCAGGAATTGTTCACAGTGTGTCTGATAATATTTGTTCTTCTGGAGAAAGTCTTATTTGTTTTATTTCGACCAGAATAAAATAAGTTATTAATTTTTTAAACACCATTTTAAGGTCAATATTATTAGCCCCTTTAAGCTGTATTTTTCCGATAGTCTACAGAACAAACCATCATTATACAATAACTTGCTTAATTACCATAACCTGCCTAGTTACCCTAATTACCCTAGTGAAGCCTTTAAATGTCACTGTAAGCTGTATAGAAGTGTCTTGAAGAATATCTAGTCTAATATTATTTACTGTCATCATGACAAAGAGAAAATAAATCAGTTATTAGAGATGAGTTATTAACACTATTATGATTAGAAATGTGTTGAAGAAATCTGCTCTCCACTTAACAGAAATTAAGGAAAAAATAAACAAGCAGTCTGATAATTTAGAGGGGCTAGTAATTCTGACTTCAACTGTGTGTGTGTGTGTGTGTGTGTGTGTGTGTGTGTGTGTGTTATGTATATGTGATGCACACACACACATAGAAACAATACATATGCATTGATAATTGAATTTATATGTAATTTGTATCATGTACATATATATTTAATAGCTAAATATAAACAAACATTTTCTCAAATATATGCATGCATGAGTGTATTTACAGTGCTCAGCATATATAAGTACACCCCTTACAAATCTCTCATTTAGGGATGTTTTGTAAACAAATTTTGGGAGGAGCATACGCAGAAGTTGCAGTATCGAATATGTCATTGACAATTATTCTATTATCAAATAAGTTCTTGACCAAACGCCTATATATACCAAAGCTGTCTTACCTGCAGCGTCTCACGACTTTAGCATCCCTCCACCACCCCGACACCTCACCTCTTAAGCATTGCATTCCCGGGGGAAGCGTTTTTGGGCCAGGCTAGATGGCTAGATACTTCGCTCGAATCCCAACTCTTCTTTGTTTCCTGATGAGGGGAACAACTCGAGTTGGGGTGTCTCCCCGAGCTCAGAGCCCTCTCCCCGGACAGCACGGCAAATACGCCTTATACTTAAACGACTGCAAGTGTGAACTCATGAAAATGCATATTTTCAATATTAAGTGTGTGTGAATAGATTAGTCAGTACTGAAGCCAAATCTAACAAAATAACTTACAATAATGGTTCAAAAATTAGCAGCCCAAAGTTATGTCATAGAAAAATATTAAATAAAGTTAAGCAAAAATCAAGAGAAACAAAATAAGATTACAGTTTAGTTGAAATGTTGTAGTTTGTAATTTTATTTTTGCATGATTTTAAATGCATTATCTTTCCATTTTGTAAAGATGTTCTGTGACTAAAATATTATTTTAATAAATATTCCTGTTAAATCAATCTGTTTTGCACCAATGCACCAATATATATTACCCATGTTCACTGAGAAATGGACAAAAATATTCGTTTTAAAATGGGGGTGTACTCATATATGCTGAGCACTGTATATATGCATGATAAAAATACACCGTACACTCACATATGTCAAAACAAACTTTTATTTTGGATGTGAAAATAAAGTTTATTGCTGAGCGCTGTATGTAAATAAATAGACTTAAGCTTTAACTTAAGCTTAAACTGGTATTTATATCTTCAGCTTTAGTTGTCTGTACTAACTCCAGTCTGTGTTTTGCGTAGATGATGTGAAGAGGTTTTTCCAGGAGTCTGTGTGTAACTCTAAGAGCACGCTGACTCTGGTGCATCTCCGCACGCTGGAAAAGAGGATCGCTGAGCACTTCCGCTTCAGAGACTTCAGTCAGCTGCAGCAGGGGACTTTCCTGGACTTCATCATCAAGAACAAAAAGGTGTGTGTTCATGCTTGAGCTCATTTAGCTTGGGTTTTTCTTTTATTACATCTGTTTTCAGAGCTGTTTACACTTGGGCTGTGTCTGAAATTGCATACTTTCCTACTATGTAGTGCTTTAAATACAGTATGCGAGTAGATGTGCATCTGTTATGATGCCTATGGTTGTAACCCACATTGCATGCTTACTGTGATGATTGTAGTAGGTGTAGGCGTTTATAACACACTGTTATGCGTCATGTAATAGATATTTCTGGCGACAACCGCTCGTGCACGCATTCATTCACGAAATCAGAACACTACAAGACAGTCACGCATGCGTACTAACACATACATAATGTCAGCATCTGAAAATGAGCCATAGTGTGTGTGTTGTTGTTTGTGCAGGTCCTGCAGGAGGCAGCAGGGGGCGCCGTCTGCATCGACAACCAGGATCCGGGATTGAGCGGCTTCAGGCCTTGCAGACAGGATGTTTTTGAGTTCATTAAGCAGTGTGGAGACGGAGATGACAGCAGGGTGTGTAACGTTCGCTCATCACACTACACGCTACCTGTCAAACAATCTTAGCATGCTGAAAATCACAGATTAATCCCATTAATCTTTCATATTAGCATCATCTCACACTGATGAACAAACCACACTGTCACGTTTGCTTCATTGCTTAAAGGGGCAGTTCACACACACTGCAAAATGCGCTTGTTTTGTCTTGTTTCTAGTACAAATATCCAAATATTCTTAATTCAAGCAGCATTTTTCCTGTCAAACAAAACATACAGTCTTGTTTTTTAGAATAAAGAGTTAAAATTAAGTGAGTTTGTCATTAAAACAAGCTAAATAATGTGCCAACGGGGGTAAGCAAAACGTTCTGAATTAAAAACGAAAACAAGTTTATTTAATTCACCAATCGTCAGATCATTTTGCTTGTTTTAAGGATAAACTCAATTCATTTTGACTTATTATTTCTGAAAACAGGACTGTATTTTTTGCTTTCCAGGAAAATACATCATTAAATTAAGAACTTTTAGATATTTAGACTAAAAACAAGACCAAAACAAGCATTTTTGCATGTACACCGTAAGTAAATAGAAACAAATAATTAATTTCAATCGAAGTCCATATTAATTGAGGCCGCCTAATATAAAGTGAGGGCAAGTTTTTAGTTGCTATAGTAACATTCTGCATAGACAAATCCATTGATTTGTACAAAGATTCTGCAGAGAAACGGCAAAACCTGTCTGCAGATTCTGTCTGGCTGTTTGTTTCTGAAATGCTCAATATGAAACATGTGCAAGCTGTCGGGGTCTTATATTTCAAAAGCTAAATTTAAGCCTTAAAAAGTATTAAATTAACTGATGTATATTTAATTATGGGGTGCCACGGTGGTGCAGTGGGTCCCTGTGTTGGTGTGGGTTTCCTCCTGGTGCTCCGGTTTCCCCCACAGTCCAAACACATGCGCTATAGGGGAACTGATCTACTACATTGGTCTGTAGTGTATGTGTGTAAATGCAAGAGTGTATGGGTGTTTCCCAGTGTTGAGTTGCGGCTGGAAGGGCATCTTCTGTGTAAAACATGCTGGATACGTTAGCGGTTCATTCCTCTGTGGCGACCCCTGATTATTTAAGAAACATAGCCAAAGTTAAATGAGTGAATGATCATGCGATGTGACTGCAATGTCACAGTGGGATATCGATGCTGGAACCACATATTGTGCAGGCCTAGTAGTGAACGAAGTATGTTCTGTGTGTTTTGTCAGCTGGCGTTCATCGAGGCGGCTCTGAGGAATCATTACCGGATACGGGACAGTCGTGAGCTGGGTCACGGGCCGCTGAGTTTTCTGCTGAACCTCACCCAGAGGCAGAAAGAGCTTAGCGGACACGTCCTCGCTAGTGCTGTTCGCTACGAGTGTCCACTGCTGCCCATCACTACAGGGTACTGATATCATACTACACTATACCATACAGTAGCATGCCATACTATACTGTACAGTACTATACTATACTATACTATCAGTATGTTAGGCCATACCATACTATAGCATGCCATACTATACTGTTATATGTTATACTATAGTACAGTATGATATGCTATACTATACGATACTCTATTATACTATACTATAGTATACTATAACAGGTAGTATCTGCTATAATGTGATGAAGTATGTCATTTGCCATAGTTGTAAAGTGCTGGAGAAGTGTGAATATGCAGCTGGAAAGTGTTTTAAGTGTTTATATTAGACTAAGGTGTATTATTATATGTTTTTGTCTTGTTTCTAGTCCACATATCTCAAAGTTCTTAAATCCAGAAGCATTTTGTCTAGTTATTTAGAAATACGAGTCAAAGTGAAGTGAGTTTTTCATTAAAAGCGCATCAATCTGATGGTGTTATTGTGTGTGTTTTCCATCAGTGTGTGTGTGTCTGAGCCGGCGGTGGGTCTGCTGGGTGAGGTGGGTCGGGATCAGGCGATGGCGGCTCTGCTTTCGGCTCCTCTGCTTCAGGATCTGCATGACTGGACTCAATGGCAGCTCGTGTTTCTGCCCAATCACGGCCCTCTGAAGGACTTCATCGACAAATACTGTGGTACGGGCATCCACCAATCAGATTGCTCTGATAAAGTTGGCATGAAATCTAAATTTGCTGTTGGTCCTTTAGGGCGGGACTATCAGTAATTTAGGGTGGAACTATTAGTCATTTAGGGTGGAGCTATCAGTCCTGTAGGGTGCAGCTATGTCATTAAGGGAGGAGCTATCAGTCCTTTAGGGCAGGACTATTAGTAATTTAGGGTGAAGCTATCAATCCTTTTGGGTGGAGCTATGTCATTAAGGGTGGAGCTATCAGTCCTTTATTGTGATGCTATCAGTCCTTTAGGGCGGGACTATTAGTCATTTAGGGTGGAGCTATTAGTTATTTAGGGTGGAGCTATCAATCCTTTTGGGTGGAGCTATGTCATTAAGGGTGGAGCTATCAAGTCCTTTAGCGTGACGCTATCAGTCCTTTAGGGCGGGACTATCGGTCATTTGGGGCGGGACTATCAGTTTTTTTTAAGATGGGACTATCAGTCATTTTCGGCAGGGTTATCAGTCATCTAGAGCGTGGCTCTCAGTTATCTAAGGCAGGGCTGTCGGTCATTTGGGGTGGGACTATTAGTCATCTAGGGTGGGTTTATCAGTCCTTTAGAACAGAGCTATCAGTAATCTAGGGGCGGGGCTGTCATTCATTGATTTAGGGCGTAGCTATTAGTTATTTAGGGCAGGGCTATTAGCATTTGTGGGCGTGCCTATCAGTTATTTAGGGCGGAGCTATCAGTCATCATTCAGGATTGGGCTGTTAGTCATCTAGTGTGGGGCTGTCAGTCCTTTAGGGCGGAGCTATCAGTCATATGGGGGGGGCTTCCAGTCCTCTACAATGGGGCTATCAGTACTTTAGGGCGGAGCTTTTTAAAAAAAAATTCTTATAAATCATTAAATGAAAAATAAGCATGAACAGCGTCTCCTCTCGTTGGCTCAGGTAAGACGGAGCTGCTGGCTCTGGAAGTTTCTCCAGGCGTTCTGCTGAGAGTCACGTCTGAAACCGGAGACAAACACTTCAGTGACGCCGCTCAGGCTCTGGATCCGCTCCGCACCGCCGGACACCTCGTCTCCATGGCAGTGGCTGATGGGATACCGAACACGCCCACTGCGCTCCTGGCCAATCACATGGAGAGTGCACTGAATGTGGGCGTGGCACAGGAAGGTGGGAGAAGCCTTATTGAATTACTCTCTAGCTGTGTTTCCATCCACAGATACACAAAACTGTAACATGGTGTAGAAGATTAGTGAATACAGCAGTGTTTCCATCCACTGACAAGCAGAAGAGAATCAACTCAGTTCCTGCTGCTGAGAGATGTGGAGTTTGCTGCACTGCAAAAAATAAACATCCACACACACTGATGAAGTGCATGCGCAGAATTTACTCCCTAAACATGTTTACTGCAGAGTTTACATGCATGTTTTAGCACAGTATATGCTTCTCAGTTATGTGCTTAAGTATTTATGCACATGTTTAATGTTTACGCACATCTTGCCGTTTTCTTTAAACAATCTTTAACGCAATATTCCAAAATTATCATGAAAACAGGTGGATGGAAACACAGCTGCTCATTCATTAATATACACAGATGATGTCTCTTGTAATTAATGAAGGTTTGTATTGTTAGAAATCTCCCCTGGGGATGACGGGTACTCGTACAGCACTGTGGCTCGGTTTGTGCTGGAGTGCGTCACGTTGATTCCTACAAGAATCTGCAAGGAGCTCCTGCAGCAGGTACTCAGTCAAGCCTCACTATACCCTGATTAAATCTCTTTTATGCGGGGTTTAACCCCAGTTGTGTCAGCAGTGTGTGAATATCTCCAGCCTCTAATGGTTAACATCAATTAATTGTGTTTGTTCAAATCAGACTTGATATAGAAGCACTTTGATTGACATTCTCTCTTTGTACGTGTCATCAGAGGGGGAAAGCCCCGCCCACTAGTGGACATCTCCCCATCTCATTAGCATAAACAGCAGGCCTGAGTGAGAAGCAGCCGTCTGTGCATTAACCATTAGAGTGTTAGCATAGACTAAGAGGATTATAGATGTGGAGTTTTAGGATGCACAAATTGTCTTAAAACAGCAATTGTTTTATTAAAGAATAATAATAATAACAACAAATGTATGCAGATTTTTATTGCAGTTTGTTTATTCAGTTGCATCTAAATAGATTTTTCTTTATGCATCTGATCTTGTGTTTCAGGTGTTCCTGGAGCCGCTGTCTAAAGTGCTCGGTCAGGCCAAATCTAAAGCTGTCCTGCTGGAAGCAGCGCAGACAAACACCCGGCACCTGAATAAACTGCATCAGATGGGGCTCCTGCTGGGCATCACTGAGTGGAGAGCAGACTTTAATAAGAAACTCCTTCAGTCGCCGGCTGCTGCTGCTGACGCTGTGCTGCAGGAAAAGAAGGTCTGAGATGCTTCATATGCATATGGTTAATAAAAATAATTTCAAGCAATGTTAATCAAACTGAGTGCGACTATAAACACATTAATATTTAACATTTTAAAATGAGTAAATGGGGACTTATGCAATGCAAATATAAAATGATAAATAAATTTGATATTTTTTTATGGTGCAATATTGCTATAGTAGTATTCGTTTGTTTTTTATTTATTTGTTCATTTATTAATTTATTATTGAATTAATTCATTTATTTATGTATTCATGCATTTATTTATTTATTCATTTATTTATTTATTCAATCATATATTTATTCATTCATTTAATTATTCATTCATTTCATTCGTTCATTTATTTATTTATTCATTCATTCATTTATTCGTTCATTTATTTATTCATTTAATTCATTCGTTCGTTCATTCAATCATTCATTTATTATTTATTTATTCATTTATTTATTCATTCATTTATTTATTCATTCTTTTAGTCATTATTAATTAATTTTTATATTTGTTCATTCTATTTATTCATTAGTTCATTTACTCATTTTTTATTAGTTCATTGATTTATTTATCCGTTTATGGATTCATTTTGTTAATTAATTTATTTATTCATTTAATCATTCATTCATTTATTTATTTGTTTATTCATTCATTCATTCATTCGTTCATTTATTTATTCATTTATTGAATGCATGAATGGATAAATAAATAAATAAATTAATTAATTTATTTATTTATTAATTTATCCATTCATGCATTCATTCATTATCCGTTCATTTATTTATTTATTGATTGATTGATTCATTTATTCATGAATTTGTTTATTCATTTATTTATGTATTTAATTGTTCATTTATTTATTTATTATTTATTTATTTATTTGTTCATTCATTTCTTTGTGTTAATTAATTTGTTTATTTATTTATTAATTAATTTATCTATTTATATTTAAGTATAATTTTACTGTTACTAAAAATATGAGTATGCTATTTTCAAAGTATGTTAATATATTAGAACCATGTTAATGATGATAAATAATCACAAAATCTTGACCAAACTGTGCAATTTTGCAAATAAACACAGCAAACCAGAATAATAACAAAAAATTACTTATGCTTATTGTAACTTTTGAAAATTCACAATTTTTATGCAAAATAAAATGATATAGTTTGTCTTGAGGTATTAAGTATTTTAAAATAACTATTTAATAATAATAATGATAATAATTAGTATTTAATGCTAATAATAATAATGATGTATGTATATGTACGAATACTTTACAAACGTGCTTTAGCAATAGTTCTGCTCCTGAATGGTGTGAATTCAGAGCTGATGGATGTTTTGTGCGCAGGTTGTGCTGGAAGACTCCATGAGTGACCTTTCTTCAGTGCAGAGTCTAAATGATGTGGAGAATGAGGAGGAAACGGCGTTCAGCACATCTTCCAGCAGAGCCAATCAGCAGGGTGAACACATTAATATTCATGACCCTTCCAAATATGGTCAATGAGGACCTTCATATGCCAGGGGTATTTTATGGGTTAATAAATAAGCATATAAAACAATTTCTGGAGAATCTTTGAATGGTAAGCCATATACCTACTATGTAGATATCTGAGATTTATTGAATCAATGCAGTGTATGGTATCTTTAAGGAAAGTGTATGAGAAAAATAATAAAGAATAAACCTGCCATTCTAGAATGAGTCGTATAAATTGTTCAAATGAGTATAAAATGAATAACAAGTGATAATTGTATAGACAAATGTGGGTTAAAATAAAAGAATAATAAATAGGTGATAAAAAGTGCTTGAAACTGAATGATAGGCACCATGAAAAGTAACACAAAATAAATATATGGTCAGAAAATAAGGTGTACAAAATATAAAACTCTTTCTTCATTCATATAGACAGTGAAGACGAAGATGCTGCTGATGAAGTTGATGATGATGATGATGATGAGGAGGAGCAGATGTATAAGCTGGTGTCTGAAGATGAAGACACAGACAGCAGTGAGGAGGACCAGGAGGAGCCGTCTGATGAACCACAGGAAGAGGAAAAAGAAGAGGAGGAGGAGGAGGAGGAGAAGCCGAATCCACAGAGAGCCGTCATTGAGGATATCAGGTTCACACTGATTCTCTCTCTGTCAATCATTGATCAAACAAACAAACACACACACACACACACACACACTTGCAAAACATGCTTGTTTCTCATCCAAATATCTCAAAATTCTAAAATTAAGAAGCCTTTTCTAGACAAGCAGAAAATATAGTGTTGCTCTCAAAAATAATGAGTTAAAAATAAGTGAGTTTTCCTTTAAACAAGCAAAATAATCTGCCAATGGGGGAAAGTTTATTAAGCTTGCCTTAGATCTGTAAATATAATATTTTAAGCAGATTTAAACCAAGAAATTATAACATTGGTATTTTTTTGGGTTCTTTTATTGTCATTTTTACAATAACGCAACACTTTATTTAAAAGATTTGAGAAATAGAAACAAATAGTCTTTGCTCCAGCAGAGCCCGACCCCACTGCACCCTCTCTATGCATCATCATATTCATTCATTCCTTTTCTTTTCGGCTTAGTCCCTTTATTAATCTGGGGTCGCCACAGCGGAATGAACCGCCAACTCATCCAGCATAGGTTTTGCACCGTGGATGACCTTCCAGCTGCAACCCATGACTGGGAAACCCATGCCAACATGGGGAGAACATGCAAACTTCACACAGAAAGGCCAACTGACCCAGCCGGGGCTCGAACCAGTGACCCTCTTGCTATGAGGCGATTGTGCTACCCACTGCGCCACCATGCAACCTGCATTATCATATGCACATTCTTAATCTGTTTTACACCATGTCATCGTACATAATACATAAGCAAAAACAGATACAAGTTCACTTATATGTTCATTCATACATTGCTCATGTACAGTTGAAGTCAGAATTTTTCGCCTGTCTGTATATTTTTTCCCCAATTTCTGTTTAACGGAGAGAAAACATTTCTAATGATAATAGTTTTAATAACTCCTCTTTAATCGCTGATTTATTTTCTCTTCCCCATGATGACAGCACATAATATTAGACTAAATATTTGACTAGTGTTCAGCTTACAGTGACATGTAAAGGCTTCACTAGGGTAATGAGGGTAAAGTTAGGGTAATTAGGCAAGTCATTGTATAACAGTGGTTTGTTCTGGAGACAATCCAACACTAATATTGCTGAAGGGTCGATCAGCCCAGTAGAAAAAATCATTAGCGTAAACCCTGAGAATAAACCACAAACTATTCCAGCATATATTTTACACAGTGGATGCCCTTCCAGCTGCAACCCAGTACTGGGAAACACCCACACACTCACACATTCATACACTATCCAATTGACTTATACAATCTTTAGTTGTTCAGTAACACTTGTAATCATTGCTAATGCAGGAAGACGGAGTTTGGCATCGGTGTGGAGCTGAACCAGGAGGGCCAGATTCTGATGGAGAAGCAGCAGGCCAGACTGGGCCGCAGTCTACAGCGTCTGTCTGACGAACTCTACAGCAAAGACACACACTTCGTCCTGGAGCTCATTCAGGTTCACACGCACTCATTTATTACACCACATATCGACATTGCACGGCAAGCTTTTCTGACTCAGAGTTCTAGACTTGTTTCCAGTAAAAATATATAGAAATACTGCAATCAAGAAGCATTTTTGGAACATTTTGTTTTAAGAAATTTAAGAAATTAGTCAAAAGGGGTGAGGCAGTGGCGCAGTAGGTAGTGCTGTCGCCTCACAGCAAGTGGGTCGCTGGTTTGCACCTCGGCTCAGTTGGCGCTTCTGTGTGGAGTTTGCATGTTATTCGAGTTTGCATGTGAAGTTTGTTCGCTGGTTTTGTTCGCTGGTTCTAACTTCGCCTCAATTGGCGTTTCCGTATGGAGTTTGCATGTTCTCCGAGTTTGCATGTTCTCCCTGAGTTCGCGTAGGTTTCCTCCGGGTGCTCCGGTTTCCCCCACAGTCCAAAGACATGTGGTACAGGTGAATTGGATAGGCTAAATTGTCTGTAGTGTATGAGTGTGTGTGTGAATGTGTGTGTGGATGTTTACCAGAGATGGGTTGCAGCTGGAAGGGCATCCACTGTGTAAAAACTTGGCGGTTCATTCCGCTGTGGCAACCCCGGATTAATAAAGGGACTAAGCTGACAAGAAAATGAATGAATGAATTAATGAAATTAGTCAAAATTTTAGGAGTTTTCCTTAAAACAAGCTAAATAATCAGACAATAGGGATGGAAACAGTCAACTATAGCTAAAGTGGGAGTGTTTAGGTTACAAGATAAAATCCCTCAATACACATACAAGCTGTTTTGTTTTACAGATGGCCTAATATAGTGAGTTTACATTTTTAAACGATATTAAAAAATGTTCATCGTTAGACACAAAATGCATCCTCCATTTCGGAATCACTCATTTTTTATAGTGGCGCCACAGATAGAGTGTAAGTCTATGAGTGTTTTGTGTGTGCAGAACGCTGATGATAACAGCTATCCTGACGGCGGAGAGCAGCCGGCACTAACATTCGTGGTGGAGAAATCATGCATCACCATCCTGAACAACGAATGCGGCTTCGAGGAGAAAAACATCAGAGCGATCTGTGACGTGGGCAGGAGCACCAAAGGAAAGCACAAATACGGCTACATCGGTACTGGAAGCGCTTTCTCCATTTCATATTCGTGTTGTGTCTTTTTGTCTGCCTGTTGCTTCTGTTGTACAAACAACTCTGCACTGCTTTGCTATCCAGGGCAAAAGGGCATCGGCTTTAAATCGGTCTTTAAAGTCACAGACTGTCCCGAGATCCACTCCAACGGTTTCCACATTCAGTTTGACAAGACCAGTGGCCCCATGGGATACATCCTTCCCCATTGGCTGGAGCAGGAGCGACCTGTGAACCCTGCGGCCAAAGAGATCGCAGAGAAGAGGTTAAACACGCCCACAAAATACAGAAATGTCCATAATTTTGACTGGGAAAAAAAAATTATATATATATATATATATATATATATATATATATATATATATATATATATATATATATATATATATATATATATCGTATAATTTTCATTTACATTTTTTTTAAATACATTTTTAAGGTCAGTTTTATTACACATGCAAAGAAAACATGTGTTTGTATTTTGAGGTTTTACCTCATGACAGTGTGTTTAATACTTATTTTCCCCGCTGTACTATATTTAATGGTTTAAGAGTTATTTAATACATTTAATTACACAAACATATCCGAAACTGAAGTGTGTGCATCATCCGGTTATTTTCTGCCTGTAGCATCTTTAAAGCAGTTGTGTAATAATAAAATATTAAATAGTTTTGCAGACATGTCATTTCAAAAACGTGCTAAGTTAACATACTTGGTTAACAATAGCTTATAAAATACACAAACTGGCAATATTATAGTGGTTTAAAGCATCTCTTCTTTAAATTCTATTCATCTCCGCTGTTTAAATAAAGTGTCGATTAAAGGAATGAGGCCTGTAAAAAACAAAACAAATCAGTCAGAATATATATATATATATTTATTTTCACTTCCTCCGTCACCTGAGCTTTGCTGTGTTCATGAAACAGTCTTTTTGTTGTGGGTTTTATCATAGATGGACTACAAAGATCCATCTCCCCCTGCGGACGGAGAACTACCAGACTAAAAACCTCTTCCATGATGTTCATCCGTCTCTCCTGCTCTTCCTCCATCGCCTTCGCTCCATCACCATCTTCAACGAGGTCAAGATCTGCATCAACACAAAAGCAATACACTGAAACAAATCGCGTTTCATTCAGAGGACATGTTTATGTTGGATTAAGTGAGATATAGGATTTTAACCTGTTTTATTTCATTAGCCTTTACCCTTGTGTGCTCTTGGGTCGTTTTCATCCACTCTGGGCTGATTTTGAGGCTCAATTTACCCTGTGTTTTAGTAAATGGGATGATTTAAGCTGACAAATCTTGTTTTGGCTCATATTTTGAAGAGATGTCCCATTGACTTCCATCATAATCACATTTATTGATTGTAAATGACAGCAGATAATCATGCATTCTTGATTGCAGCTGGTTTTTCCTGCTGGAAAGAGGGGAAGTTTGTCATTTATACTGTTGATCTTCAGTTGCAGTGCAAAAAAAGCTGCGCTTCTGGGTTTTATTGGGAGTATAGTGTGTTTGTGTGTGTGCGACATTTGCACACTTGTCTTGATATGTCAGAGAAGCTGTAAATGCAACCATCAGCTGTCAGAACACAGTAAACACAGTGAGTGTATTTCCACACACACACACACACACACACACACACACACACTATAATCTGCTGTTTTACTCCACTGAACTCCATATAAAAGACAGAAACTCCTGAGCACAGGCTGATCTGAAGGGTGAATAGTTTCAGACTTGACTGTGTTTTAGCTGTAGTTTCATATGTCGTGCATTATATGGTTATGCACATTTAATCAGTTTGTTTTCTTGTCTTCAGGCTGAGAAGCGTCTGGTGTCGATGACGCGGCGAGATTTGAGCCATAATATCCTGGAAGTGTCTCACACTGGAGGAGAAGAGCGCTGGCTAGTGCTCAAGAAGATGCTCTTCCCCAAAAAGGCAGGCTTAAATAAACTTGATCTGTGCATATGCGCCTATTAACCCCCGTGCGTGAATATATAAACGTCATGCATGCATAAACACACACAAATAACACTCGGGCTAACATACAAAATAAAACCCACAATTCACGGATATACTTTTTAAAAGGATTTTACAAGGGATACTGTACATCAGGGGTGTCCAAACTCAGTCCTGGAGGGCCGGTGTCCTGCAGAGTTCAGCTCCAACCCCAATCAGACACACCTGGACTACCTAATCAAGCTCTTACTAGGCTTTCTAGAAACATCGGCTGTTTCTCAATATGCGCTCTTCAGCAATCTTGCGTCCTCTTGTTCTCGTGTAACGTCATCATCAAATGTCAAAGTTCAGTTCCAATACTCAAGACTGCTCGTCTTCCTTCTTTTTTGTCCTTGGCCAATAACATGCCTGAGTGAGAATGATTAATAAGTCCATATCAGTCAGTCCATTAAAGTGACGTTGCTTCTTCAGTTTCGGGCTCAGGTGCACTTTGCTCTCACGCTACAAGCGTACCATGTAGTGATGGGAAGTTCAGATCATTTTACTGACTCGAATCTTTGAGTCTCGTTCATTGAGATGAACGAATCTTTTTTCGAGTCATTTTGTTCATTTGGTTCAATTTGCCAAAATATTATTAAAATGTTACGAATTGCTTCCAAACACATCTACAACTAGCCCTAAAGGTTGATCACACCACAAATAAGGAGGAAATAATAATTCAATGTTGACCTGCTCTTTTGTCTATGAGGGTTTTGTTGTCTCTTTGCTCAGCTCACCTCTTCATGTCTTCAAATGTCTTCAAATGTTCATTCACGTTACACTGACAGTCACATATAATCTTAACCAATGCACAGTCTAAGCCGATAGGAGCCATGATCGTTCGTTCATCACGTGACAAAATGACTCAAACCCGAGGACTCGAGAGATGAACGGATCAATTCTTTTTCCGGCTCTAAACGCGTATGATTGGCTTCTGCCAATGTGATGAAGAGTTGAAATTAACGATACCTGCACAAATGTGCGCACACGCAGATGAACGAATCACTCCCTGAGAGGACTCGTAGTTCCCGAGTCATATTGAAGATTCGTTCAAAATGAACAAATCGTTCATGAACGACCCATCACTAGTACCATGCCACAGCTCAACCAAACCGCGCTCCGGCACACCTCTTCCAACAGGGCCAGGGCCGGCCAACTGAACCTCATCTGGGCCTAATTCAGAGCACTCACACTTGTCAAACGAACCGGGAAATGGGGGTCAAACTTGCCTGGGCATGGTTCCTATAGCCTAATTTGCTGTACATCCCCAATCCTAGTCAATACCTTAACTACTCTGAATAAGCAGATAATTAGTAGTTTATTGAGCTGAAAGTCCTCGTTAATGGTTTGTTAACTGCAGATTCATTCAATAATTCATTATATATTTGAAATGAAATGTGTTTTCACCTGCGCTCATGTCCTGGTTTAACCTGCTGTTATCGAGTGTGTGTTGTGCTCATGATGCTGCGTTCGGGGATCTGGACGTTACGCAAGTGTTCCTCTGTCTTTACCTCAGGAGAACCGCATGTTTACACACTCATTCAGACTTCAGACAGGGTGTGTGTGTGTGTGTGTGTGTGTTTCTGCTGTCTGCAGAGACTGCTTGAACATCGTGTTCTCAAACACAGCAGAGACGTTCTGTCTTTAACATACAATGCGTTAAAGGAGCCCTATTCTGCTCCTGTCTACAAGATGTAAAGTGCGTCTCTGCTGCCTCTAGATTGTGTGTGTGCTTTTGAGTTGAGAATAGCACACAGATGATGTTCTCCAGCTCTCTGAAACTGACCCTTTCAGGCTTTAATCCTAATTGTGGGGTTTTGGTGACTGTCACTTTAAATGCAAATGAGATTGTGATATTTTCAGAAGAGGGCGGAGCTACAGACGCCTGTGTGAGATGTAAAACAGGATTAGTGTTATATTTTTAAACTGAAAATATAAAAAAAAGAAGTGTCCTTTTATATATATATATATATATATATATATATATATATATATATATATATATATACATATATATATATATTTATATATTTATATATATATATATATATTATTAGTCTATAAATGCATCTTTAAAGACAACAAACATATTGTATTACAATGACAGTTTTAGCTACATAATAATAATAATATTAATCATAATAATATAAATATATATTATATAATTATATAATATAATTAATAATAATTATCACTTAAAGCCATGCATTTATAAAGGTTATTAGCTGTATTATGACCCACATTTAGTAGTTATAAAGCTCTTAACAACAATATAAAACCATTCATTTATTTAACGTGACCAAATCTATTAACTTACTAATGAGTCTTTCTAATTACAGCATAACAGCGGTTTAACATTGCAGACTGCATCTTCATAATACAGTCATGACTGACTAATTAATACTTATAAATCAGTTTATAATGCATGGTGAAAAATGAAATGCATGGCTAGTAAGTATTAATAACACTGTTATAAGTGTTGCTATACCGGTCAGTATAGTACAGTATAAGACTTGTTGTGTGTTTATAGATGCATTATAGATTGATTATACATAATTATTAGCAATTCATTACATGCATGAGCATTATAGAAAATTAGTTTTTTCTTCAGATGCACAAGTATTGCTTTATAATGATGATTAGTTTATAATATCAATGTAATTGCCGAAATGCAGTGCACAATGTGTTAAAACCTCAATTAAATGAATAGTTTTATGTTGTTGATAAGAACCTTATAAATACTGAATGTGGGTCATAATACAGCTAAGTATTAATAACACTATTATTATATTATTCATGCTGTATATTATTAATGCTGGAGTATAAAGATCTTCTTCCAGCATTCAGAAGGATGTATTTGGCCCAAACACTTTCTTTTTTGATAACACTTTCTATGCAGTTTATGCTTATAATGATTTATAACTGTTTATAATCAGTCTATAAATGTATCTGTAAAGACACAAACATTATACTTTATTAATATGACATTTATAGCTAATTATTATTATTTTGCACATTATAAAGCACAGGTATTGCTGTATAATAATAATTTATTTGTAATATCAGTGTATTTGCAAATTGCAGTCTACAATGTGTTAATGGAGTGTACTGTGATGCTGGAGTATAAAGATTACACCAAACACTAAACCTTTACTTTCTTCAGATGCACAGGTGTTTAGGATTTTAGCTGGTGCTGTGTGTTTTCTGCGTGCACACACTGATCTGTGAATGTGTTTTTCTGCAGATTAAAGACGATGTGGAGTCCACAGAACTGGCTCTGGCCTTTCAGATCCACAGCTCGTCCTGTGCTGACGTCAAACCACAGAAACAGCCCGTCTTCGCTTTCCTGCCGCTGCGCAGCTTCGGTTTCCGCTTCATCATCCAGGGTTCGACTCTTAATAAATATAACAGTTTTAATAACTCATTTCTAATAACTGAATTATCTTTGCCATGATGACAGCACATAATATTAGACTAGTGTTGAGCTTAAACTGACATCACTTAAAGGCTTCACTAGGGTAATTAGACAACTCATTGAACAATAGTGGGTTGCTCTGTAGACAAATGAAAAAAATAAAAAATTTTTAAGGGAAACTATTATGCAAAAATGACTTTATAAGCGGTTTAAACCCAGCGGTGTGTGTGTCAGCAGTGTGTGGATATCTCCAGCCTCTAATGGTCAACATCAATTGTATTTGCTATAATCAGACTTGATGAATGAAGCACTTTGATTGACATTCTCCCTTTGTACGTGTCATCAGAGGGGAAAAGCCCCGCCCACTAGTGCCCAACTCTCCCTCATTAGGATAGTTGTAAACGTTTACACATTACTTTGCTACAGAAATTCACATATATATTATTATTATTATTTTAAAGGCTTAATTCAAATCAAATACCAAAAAACTTTCCATAATAAAAATCGGTCTACTTTACAAATATTGTCAAAGTTATGAAAAAATACTATTCATATTCCTTAAAACGTAGGGGGCGCCCTTACGCTCCATTCACACGGGGCGTCAGCGTCAACGCTTCTCATTCACTTTGAATGGGTGACCGTCGGCGGCGCTTCAAAGGTGTTGTTCGCTGCTAAAGTTGGGACTTGCTTGGCTTGACGGAAGCATCAGCCAATCAGTACTCTGTATGCAAATACACCAGCTCAGACAGTGGCCCATTGCTGATTAATTTCATTGGTGGAAGCTGCTATGACTATTGCGTCAGCCCCAACTTCAGACACGCCCTCTGTCAAGCGTTGACGCTGAAGCCCCGTGTGAATGGGGCGTTATGTGGTCACTAAATGAAGCTGAATGTCACCCCTGGTGGACATGTCTAGTACTGCGGCCTGACTAAATATTACTGAAAGCTCGTTTTTCATCAGCTTCAAATTTGGAATACAATTAATTCAGATATTTACCATTGATTGTCTGTCAATTTTAGGCTAAATCAGGTATTTGGAAATACCTACTTTATTTAATATATTAAAATATGCATTTATTGGTTTAATATTTTTATAAGCAAAGGCGCATACCTTTTATTTAATTCAACTTTTTAAACTTTTTTTTTTTTACAATCTGAGGTCTGTCTTCTTTATAATGAGACCATGCAAGTGTTTAACACCGGCATTCATTTAGGTTGAACATGTAATTTTCATGTTTATGTTTAAAAAGTGGTGCAACAAGCAAAGGGGTTAAATGTAAGTCAGAGGCATGCTGTGTTTCTGCGCAGGTGATTTCGACATCCCTTCCTCCAGAGAGGACGTGGACCGGGACAGCTCCTGGAACCAGTGGCTTCGCTCCGAGATCCCACAGCTCTTCGTTCAGGCCATGGACGTCTTCAGCGTAAGAGCAGCTTCATCTGCATTGTAGAAGACGGACACGTCATTAGCTATGTTTACATCCAAAATACATGCACAAATGCCAGGATGTCAGATGTTTTGTAAATGGAGCTTTTCTAAATGTGTGTGTTATATAAGAACGTCATGCAAATAGGGTTGTAACAATATACCGGTATGACGGTTTACCACGATTTGAACGTGCACGATTATCATACCATGAACAATTGCATATCAACGGTTTTAACCCTTAAAGACCAAGACAGCCGCCCGCGGCTAAAAATAAGTATTGCTCTTAAATGTTTAATAACTTTTGATCCGCTGATCCGATTCATACAATTCAAAGATTGGCATAAAGAAGAGAATTTCAGCTTTCCAGTGCTGTATCACATAACATTCGCGGACTTTCAGAGGCTCCGGAATCAGTGTGGTTACGTCATCAACATTTGACAACGCTGATTTGACAAAGAAACGCTCGTCACTGTGTCTCCGGACAAATCAGACATGATACATTGATGCATTGTCCCTCCTCCATGCCCAGATTGGTTCAAACTCGGTATATCACAGCCAATAAGCATAGGTTTCGCTTTTGTTTGTGGACCAAGGCTGTTTCTCAGAGAACGGACTTGCGTTCTTGTAGAGTGCGGTCTTGCCAGCTGTCCTCGGAAGAACGAACTCAGGAGACCGCGAGGGCAGAGAACGCGTCCTTTGAGAAATGGGATGCTGCGTTCTTCCTGATGGTCATGTGACCTTCACGCGTTTTAAATGGAAATTAATTAAACATTACAGCCTTCGTACAACGATTTATTGTTTCCCCCTCTTCAAAATATATACTTTGCATAAAAACATTATAAATATACTCTGCACATTATAAATAAAACAAATTTTAATACGAATTTCATCAAACAAACACAATTAATGTGTTTATTCCTTTATTAAGATGTTCATGTTAATGTTTACCTTCACCGTTTCATTTAGGGAAACTCCTGAGGTAAATAAGTGATATCTCTGAACTTTAATAATAAATCTAAATAAAATGCTGCGCTTCCCACCTCCAGTCGCAATGACTTCTGGGACTTCCAGAGCGAGTTCGGTGCTCAAGTCTGCATCGGTGCGTCCTCGATTTTAAGAACACATCCGGGAAGTTTCACGCGTCCTCCGTACTTGCGGTCTTGAGCATTGGAACTGAACTTAGGCAGCTGATGATGACGTTTCACGAGAACACGAGGACGCAAGACCGCTGAAGAACGCATATTGAGAAACAAGCTTTTTGAACAACACGGAATGAGAGAAAGGCATACATTTCTGCGCGGCTAAATAAAACGCAAAAAAAAAGTTTTGCATGAAATAATTCTCATACCAAGTACTTTTGCATGCACAGCAGCACAGAAACATGACAAAACAGTGACACAGCAAAGACGAACTGCTGCTCTTGCTGTTTTCAAAAGACGCAAATGAAGATGCAGCTGTTTGTCTGCATTGCAGACAACCATATCCATATCCATAGACAACCATATCCATGCTGGCACATAAAACCTAAGGATGTTCCATATTGAATCTAGTTTCGTTATGTAACTATTTATAGTATAGTAAATATTTATATCTATTTTTTACTGAGGATTTGCACCATGTTTATTTGGACTTTATTTGGACTTTGACACATTATTTATTATTTTCTTATTTTTTATTTGTTCATTGTAAGTGGTGTTGTTTATAGTAACTAAAAATATATTATTTGGAAAAAGTCAAATTTGCTTCACTGTTCTATTATTTTGTAACATACCGTATACCGCGAAACCGTCAAACCGTGGTATTGTTTTAGACGATTATCATACCGTGAAAAATTCATACCGTTACAACCCTACATGCAAAATATCCAGATGATTGAGGAGTGAGGACTGGGATTGAGACACACTGTTGTAATGCATGTAAAACGGGCTTCCTCTCCAATGCCTGTATGTTCTGTAAACCCCACAGAAACACCCAGAGTTCAGCGGGCTCTCTGGCCTCTGCTACTTCCTGCAGTTCATTCCTCAGCCCAGTGAAATCCTGGACTTCTTCAACCCGGTGGCCAATCAGATCATCCAGCTGCTGAGGGGGCGGGCCTGCCTTCCTGCCCAAGAGGACCACGGTGAGAGCAGCCTCTAAATCACCTCTACATTCATTCATATTTTTTCCGGCTTAGTCCTTTTATTAATCAAGGTTCTCCACAGTGGAATGAACCGCCAACTTATCCAGCGGATGCACTTCCCATCACTGGGAAACACCCATGCACACATTACACACATACACTACGGACAATTTCCCCTATAGCGCATGTGTTTGTACTCTGGGGGAAACCGGAGCCAACATGGGCGAACATGCAGACTCCATACAGAAACCCCAACTGGCCCAGCCGGGACTCGAACCAGCGACCTTCTTGCTGGGAGGCGAATGTGCTATCCACTGCGTCACCCATCTTCTACATTAATGCTTTTATTATTTAAATAAACAGTGGCTCAGTGGTCAGCTCTGTGGCCTCATAGCAAGAAGGTCGCTGGTTCGAGTCCCAGCTGGGCCAGTTGAGGTTTCTGTGTGGAGTTTGTATGTTCTCCCCGTGTTGGTGTGGGTTTCCTTCTGCTTAGTCCCTTATTCATAAGGGGTCGCCACAGCGGGATGAACTGCCAACTATTCCAGCATATGCTTTACACAGAGGATGCAACCCAGTGCTGGGAAACACCCATACACACTCATTTACACACATACTCATACACTACTGACAATTTAGTTCATCAATTCCCCTATAGTGGGATTCCCCTATATTAATAATGCATTAGATAATGTTGAACTGTGACTAATAAATGCTTCACAAGATTATTCATACTTAATTAATGTTAGTAAATACATTAATTAATGCATCATTACTCTAAAGTGTCGTTTTCCCAGTTATAGACACCGGTGCTGGTGTGTTGTTGAAATGAATGTGTTGTGTTTGTGTTGCAGAGGGCCGTGTGGAGTTCAGGCAGCCGTCGCAGCTGGCCGTGTGTCCGGACCGACTGATCCAGCAGGTGATTGGTGGACAGGATCTGAGCCGCAGTCTGAGCCTGTGGTATCTGCATCCGGATCTGCAGTGCAGTGTTTCCGGCTCTCTGCTGTCAGCGCTGGGTGTTCATCGCCTCCGAGCTGCAGAAATCCTCACCGTCACCTGCTGCATGGCCAGAGAGCTGCTGCAGCACACACAGACACACACCGGTAACACACACACACACATACACACTCATTATAGTGTTAGCCAGTTCTTTCAGATTGACTCCTCTTTGGTGATGCTGGTGCTGTTTCTGCTCCATTGACTTCCATTATAATCACATTTATTGATTGTGAAGCCATGACAGCAGATGATCCTATATTACTGGGAAAGCTTTATCTAAGGTTTTATTCTGGCTTATGTTGAGTGGAGTGTAAATGTGGATGTTTGTGTTCAGATGGAGAGCTGGAGAAGCTGGCGCGGCTGCTGGTGTGTATTTTCCGCGCGCTGGAGTCGGAGTATGAGGTGGACGCTCTGCTTCAGTCCGTCAGAGATGTTCCCATGATTCCTCTGGCTGACGGGAGTGTGGTTTCTCTGAGCTCAGAGGGAGTGTTCTTCCCGCTCGATGACGTGACGCAAGCTCACGCAGGTGATCATCAATACACACAACACAACATGTCTCATGTCGGAAAACATTGTCATTTTCTCAAAATATGCATTTCATTTTGGATTTATCACAGTCACTTGCCTAGTTTCCGAACAAATCATTTGAGTCAGTGATTCAGTAATCAATCAGTCAATCAATCAATCAATCAATCAATCAATCAATCAATCAATCAAAACAGTCACTTGTCTAATTTCCGAATGAATCATTTAAATCAGTGATTCACTGATCAATTATTAAATCAAAACAGTCACTTGTCTACTTTCGAAATGAATCATTTGAGTCAGTGATTCACTGATCAATCAATCAATCAATCAATCAATCAATCAATCAACCAATCAAAACAGTCATTTGTCTAGTTTCCAAACAAATCATGTGAGTCAGCGATTCACAGATCAACCAATCAATCAAAACAGTCACTTCCCTAGTTTCTGAACAAATCATTTGAGTCAGCAATTCACTAATCAATCAATCAATCATCAACCAATCAAAACAGTCACTTGTCAAGTTTCCGAATTAATCATTTGAATCAATTATTTACTGATCAAATATTCAATCAAAACAGTCACTTGTCTGTTTTCCGAACAAATCATTTGAGTCAGTGATTCACTAATTAATTAATCAATCAAAACAGTCTCTTCCCTAGTTACAAATCATTTGAGTCAGTGATTCATTGATCAATCAATCAATCAATCAATCAAAACAGTCACTTGCTTAGTTCCAAACAAATCATTTGAGTCATTGATTCATTGATCTATCGATCGATCAAACCAGTCACTTGCCTAGTTTTCGAACGAACCATTTGAGTCAGTGATTCACTGATTAATCAATCAAAACAGTCACTTGCTTTGTTTCCAAATGAATCAACACTTTGAATGAATTGCTTAAATGATTCAATGACTCACTCTTTAAAACAGGGATTCACACACCATCTGATGGTTTTAGGGTCATATTTTTTTATTATAATCAGCTAAATATCTGGTGAATGTTAAATAAAAACACAAACATGCAAATCATAATTAACAGTTAAATAACTGATTTAAGTGTTAATTTTGATTTGCATGTTTGTGCTTTTATTTAACATTCACCAGATATTTAACTGAATGAATCATTGGAACCAAAAAAATCTTGCACGTTTTGAATGAATCACTTGAATGAGTGAATTTCAGTCTTTATTTATACATTATAGCACACATATCAGTTAATTATTGAAAATATAGAGATATCACCTTTTTCATTATCACTCTGAATCAGTCATTCAGAATCAGAAATGAACGAATCTCCATCATCTGTTCATTTCCTTCCTGAGTCACACATCAGAAAGAGCCACAACCTGCGTCATTCCTTTAAATAAAACAGGGCTGATTTGGTGAATGAGATCCAAGCTGCAGATGCATTTATCTGCTGAAGTATTTACATTCTCCTGTTAATCTCAGCTTCCTGAAGCTCTGACAAATGACAAGTTTTCCTCATCCGTCTGATGTCAGATCAGTCGTGTGAGATTTGTCCTGTTCCAGTGTGTGTGTGTGTGTCTGGTCGGGTGCAGCTGGATGAATTAAACATCAGCTTTAGGGAAGTGGGTCACACAGCTGCACGCAGTCTAGTTTGCTGTTGTGAATATACTGCCATGTTTCTCGTGCCAAAGCCACATCCTATGATCACTAATATTTACTGCTAATCACTAATTTAGTTCTCATTAATAAGCTCAATCACTAGTGTGTTCAAAATGCATGTAAATAAGAGCATCCTCAGAACACTTATTTTTAGGGCTGAATGATTAAGCTTAATCTAATTGCAATTTTTATTTGCATATTTTAATAATAATAATATTAATATATACATATATATATATATATATATATATATATATATATATATATATATATATATATATATATATATATATATATATATATATGTATTATGTGTGCAGATCTGCAAGCGCTCTATCAGGACCTAAACACGGTGGATCGGCGGCTGCTGCAGAGTCTGGACGCGCTGGGGAACTCTCAGGTGCGGGAGCTGCTGCGCCGACTGGACGTCCACGAGCTGGAGCCACAGCAGGTCCTGCATCAGCACATCTACCCACAGCTGAGGAGCGGAGACTGGCAGGTCAGAACGCCAGCGGGACTTGAACCTGCAACCTTCACACTCACAAGAAGACAAACACACACACTATGGGGACTCGAACCTGCAGCCTTCACATTCCCATAAAGACACACAAACACCAGTGAGATTTGAACCTGTAACCTTCACAGAGTCATATAGACAAACACACACACACAACACCAGCAGAACTCAACCCTGCAACCTTCACACAGTCATAAAGACATACACAACAGCAGGACTCAAACCTGAAACCTTCACACTGTCATAAAGACACACAGACACCAACGGGACTCGAACCTGCAAATTTCACACTCTCATAAAGAAACACACACACCATCGGAACTCAAACCTCCAACCTTCACGCAGTCATAAAGACACACACACCGGCGGGACTCAAACCTGCAACCTTCACAAACTCTTAAAGACTCACAGACACCAGGGACTCAAACCTGCAACCTTTACAAAGTTATAAAGACATATAGACACCGGCAGGACTCAAACCTGCTACCTTCACGCAGTCATAAAGAGAGACAGACACCAGGAACTTGAACCTGCAACTTTTACACAGTTATAAAGACACACAGACACAAGCGGCACTCAAATCTGCAACCTTCACACTCTCTTAAAGACACAGACACCAGCGGGACTCGAACCTGCAACCATCACACAGTCATAAAGACTCACAGACACCAGCGGGACTCGAACCTGCAATCTTCACACACTCATAAAGACACACAGACACCAGCGGGACTCGAACCTGCAATCTTCACACACTCATAAAGACACACAGACACCAGCGGGACTCAAACCTGCAACCTTCACAGTCTTAAAGACACACAAACACCAGCGGGACTCAAACCTGCAACCTTTACAAACTCATAAAGACACACAGACACCAGCGGGACTCAAACCTGCAACCTTTACACAGTCATAAAGACACACAGACACCAGCGGGACTCAAACCTGCAATCTTCACACAGTCATAAAGACACACAAACACCAGCGGGACTCAAACCTGCAACCTTTACACAGTCATAAAGACACGCAAAAACAAGCGGGACTCAAACTTGTAACCTTCACACACTCATAAAAACACAGACACCAGCGGGACTCGAACCTGCAATCTTCACACACTCATAAAGACACACAGACACCAGAGGGACTCAAACCTGCAACCTTCACAGTCTTAAAGACACACAAACACCAGCGGGACTCAAACCTGCAACCTTTACACAGTCATAAAGACACACAAACACCAGCGGGACTCAAACCTGCAACCTTTACACAGTCATAAAGACACACAAACACCAGCGGGACTCAAACCTGCAACCTTTACACAGTCATAAAGACACACAAACACCAGCAGGACTCAAACCTGCAACCTTCACACAGTCATAGACGCATCAGTTGCATCATGTGACTGTGACTTGTGTTCATGTTGAGCTGTCTGTGTCTGCAGAAAAAGCCGCAGGGGATCGTGGTCAGTTACCTGGTGTTCATCAAGCTTCACGCTCAGGATCAGGAGATCAGGAGTCTCGCTGCACACGTCCCCGTGCTGACCAATCAGGGCTTCCGCTGTCCCGCAGAGCACAGAATACACTTCAGCAGAGACTACAAGAACATCCACCTGCCCAGCGTACTCCCAGGTAAACACCACTGCAGTGCTCACTGTAACCCTAGTGTTGTCTCTAATTCAGTATACACTATTACGTCATTCGGGTCAAACTGACCCGCCCTCACTAAACCTCTACACTAAAGCAGATCAGTTTCATTTCAATCCTCGAATGTGTTCCCTCATCAGTGTGTAGTATTTCAGCAGTGTTCACTCAGTAGACAACACTCCACTCTCACTACAGTAAAGGGGGTTTTTATCATGATTAAAGCACCTGCAGAAGTGGAGAAAGTGTTCAAGACAGTATTTATAACAGTTTAAGCAGGAGTTATAAGATGACAAGGAGAGAGTAAAATAAGTGCACTAATCTTTTATTGATGCAACTTTGCTGTAAGTTACTCAAGTGCACCGAACCTGCAGGCAGATCCACATCTGAATGGGTCATTGTAATGCGCTTGTAGTAGTTGTCATGGTTGTTGATGGACTACAGTAATTGATTGTCCTCAGAGATGAAGCGGTGAACTGAGAGTGTTTTGTGTGGATGTACTAAAGCGTGAGATGTGTGTGTGTGTGACGTTACACAACCGGCCGCAGTGAGCTGCAAACCATTATTGGTTTCTTTCTACTGCTAAACACAAAAGAAGATATTATGAAGAATGTTGGAAATCTGTAACCATTGACTTCCATGATATTTGTTTATCCTACTATGGAAGTCAATGGTTACAGGTTTCCAACATTCTTCAAAATGTCTTCTTTTGTATTCGTTCATTCATTTTCTTTTCGGCTTAGTCCCTTTTTTAATAAGGGGTCGCCACAGTGGAATGAACCGCCAACTATTCCAGCATATGTTTTATGCAGCGGATGCCCTTCCAGCTGCAACCCATCACTGGGAAACACCCGTATAGTCTTACACACATACATTACAGACAATTTACCTTACCAATTCCCCTATAGCGCATGTGTTTGGACTGTGGGGGAAACCGGAGCACCCCGAGGTAACCCACGCCAACACAGGGAGAACATGCAAACTCCACACAGAAACACCACCTGACCCAGCCGGGACTCAAACCAGCGTCCTTCCTGCTGTGAGGTGACAGTGCTATCCACTGCGCCACCTTGTATCACATAAAACACACACACACACACTGACTCTCTCTCTTTCTCTCTCACACACACACACACACACACTGATGTTGTGCTCCTCCTGCAGGTGTGCAGTGGCTGCTGCTGGACTCCTGTTACCTGCGTGCGGACGCAGACGTGAGCGGCTGGAGGAGTGTCTTCACTGCACTCGGGGTTCGAGACCTGCTGATCTTCAGGAAGGAGAAGCGCACGCTCACCACTGCGCAACTGGTGTGTGTGTGTGTGTGTGTGCGTGCAGTGTAATAAGACTTTGTTAAAGTGACAGAGCTGTTTTATGGTATATAATAATAATAATAATAAGAGGTAGTTGCTATGGGAGGCTGTTTAGGATGCAACGCACTGAAAAAGATTTGCTCATATATACGAAAGATATCTTTAGTGACCTTAAGTTGAACCAAACACACCACAAATATGTCTGTGCACTAGCTGACAAAAGTCTTGTGGTGGATCCCAGTTGTAAGAGCAACAATTAATAACCTGACAGTCGATTTTCATCTGCTGATCTGCATCTCATTCATCAAAAATACTGCTGGAACCCTCATGGACCAAGATTCTCACTGAAATCAGTCAAGTGTGGTGAAGGAGAAGTCATGGTTTGGGGTTCATTCAGTATGGGGGCGTGCGAGATCTGCAACATCAACAGCCTGAGGTATCAAGACATCTGTGCTGCCCATTACATTACAAACCACAGGAGAGGGACAATTCTCCAGCAGGATAGCGCTCCTGCTCATACTTCAGCCTCCACATCAAAACTCCTGAAAGCAGAGAAGGTCAAGGATTGGCCAGCCCAGTCACCAGACATGAACATTATTGAGCTGATGAAGGAGGAGGTGTTGAAGATGAACACAGAGACTCTTGATGAACTCTGGGATCCTGCTGAAGCTTTCTTCTTCATTCCAGATGACTTTATTAATCAGTGATGTGAGTCATGTCAGAGATGTATGGATGCAGTCCTCCAAGCTCATGATGGAGTCAGACACAATCTTCATTCTGTCTCCACTGCAGCAGGACTTTATATTCTATACTGGACATTATTTCTGTTCAGTGATGAGACTTTAGTCTGAGCAGAGTCAGACCGCACTGTCCTCATCAAATCAGTCAACATCAAGACATGATCAGATTTATTGAGCTCAAATCAGCAAAATCTAGAGGCCTTCGCCTTTCATAGAGACACTTCTGACACCAAATAAGGATCAAGAAGTCAAGTTATTATTTGATGCTCATAAAACCTGTAGAGCCGACAAGACTTTTGTCATGTAGTGTACATATAGAGCATTCTTAAATACACACTTTACTATGGGGAGGCAGTTTTTACAGAGCTCCCATAAGTTGCAGTATGTCTGATGTCTAATGTGTGCTGCTGTGTGTGTGTGTGTGTGTGTGTGTCAGTCGTGCAGCCCGTGGGCCGCTGAGAGCGCACTGTGGCCGACTCCAGCAGACGGTCAGTACACCATCATGGATCATCAGTGCTCAGAGCTCCACACACTGCTGACCACAGATCAGCTCAGTGATCAGGAGAAACTACAGCAGCGGCGCGCGCTCATACAGCTGCTGGACAACAACTGGAACTCTGGGTAAACAAACACTCGCATTACACATTATTATGACACTCGTCTTACTGTTTAAACTGTATTAGTGACGATTACTCATGACTAGGCCCACACCAAATCTGCAGGATTATTAGCCCATCACTGAATCTGTTTATTTACTTACAGTCGAGATTTCAGTTAATAAACAGTGGCTTTGAATCTTTGAGTTTGAATCTTTTTGACTGATTTCTGAGACATGCGAGTCATTTGTTGAATCAAATTCTTCTGCTCATGTTTACACTCACCGGTCACTTTATTAGGTACACCTGTCCAGCTGGTCGTTAATGCAAATGTCTAATCAGCCAATCACATGGCAGCAGCTCACTGCATTCAGGCATGTAGACATGGTCAAGAGGATCTGCTGCAGTTCAGAGCGAGCATCAGAATGGGGAAGAAAGGGGATTTAAGAGACTTTGAACGTGGCATGGTTGTTGCTGCCAGACGGGCTGCTCTGAGTATTTCAGAAACTGCTGATCTACTGGGATTTTCACGCACAACCATCTCTAGGCTTTACAGAGAATGCTCCGACAAAGAGGAAATATCCAGTGAGCGGCAGTTCTGTGGGCGCAAATGCCTTGTTGATGAGGCCAGAGGTCAGAGGAGAATGGCCAGACTGGTTCCAGCTGATAGAAAGGCAACAGTAACTCAAATAAGCACTCGCTACAACCGAGCTCTGCAGAAGAGCATCTCTGAACACACAACACGTCCAACCTTGAGGCGGATGGGCTACAGCAGCAGAAGAGCACACCGGGTGCCGCTCCTGTCAGCTAAGAACAGGAAACTGAGGCTACAATTCACACAGACTCACCAAAACTGGACAATAGAAGATTGGAGAAACGTTGCTGCTCTGATGAGTCTCCATTTCTGCTGACACATTCAGATGCTCGGCTCAACAACATGAAAGCATGGATCATCCTGCCTTGTATCAGCGGTTCAGGCTGGTGGTGGTGGTGTAATGGTGTGGGGGAGATTTTCTTTGGGTCCATTAGTACCAATTGAGCATCAACGCCACAGCCTACCTGAGTATTGCTGCTGACCATGTCCATCCCTTTATGAGCACAGTGTCTCCATCTTCTGATGGCTACTTCCAGCAGGATAACGCAGCATGTCATAAAGCTCAATCATCTCAGACTGCTGAACATGACGATGAGTTCACTGCACTCAGACGGCCTCCACAGTCATCAGAGCTCAATCCAATAGAGCAGCTTTGGGATGTGGTGGAATGGGAGATTGGCATCATGGATGTGCAGCCGACAAATCTGCAGCAACTGTGTGATGCTGTCATGGAGCAAAATCTCTGAGGAATATTTCCAGTAGCTTGTTGAATCTCTGCTATGAAGGATTAAGGCAGTTCTGAAGGCAAAAGGGGTCCGACCTGGAACAAGTAAGGTGTACCTAATAAAGTGGCCAGTGAGTGTGGGCTTGTTCTGGCTAGTTCTCCAGATGTCCAGTATTTATGTTCAGATATTCAGCAGTGGTGTAGTTTCACTGACGGAAGTCTTCCAGAAAGCGAGCGATTCTTTAATCTCTCCTGATTCCCAGCTGCTTGTGCTGAAGTACTCAATCTGCTGCTCAGATTATTCAGGATATGGATATTAATCTGGCGCACAGGTCACTGTCTGCGTTTGATCTTTTAAGCTGTAAAGAGCACAGAATATTCAGTCTGACCTGTTTGTTTAATGGACTGTGATGATGACGATGATGGGAAAAACGCGTCAGATGCTCTTCAGGAATCGTCTATTCCTGACTGCTCGCTCTCATAACGCTCTCTGAGTGCCTGCATACAGTACGCATCTATATATATTTATAGCCGATTTATTTATATGCATTTACAGCGGTCAACAACTGAAGTGCGTCAGAAACAAGGCTGGGTGTTGTTCAGTAGTTTTAGGACAACTAAAGATTTTTCTTCAACACATTTCTAATCATAATAGTTTTAATAACTCATCTCTAATAACTGATTTATTTTATCTTCCCCATGATGACAGCACATTAGACTAGATATCTGACTAGTGTTCAGCTTATAATGGCATGTAAAGGCTTCACTAGGGTAATTAGGGTAAAGTTAGGGTAATTAGGCAAGTCATTGTATAACAGTGGTTTGTTCTGGAGACAATCCAACACTAATATTGCTGAAGGGGTGAGTAATATTGAGCTTAACATGACTTTAACACTATTAAAAACTGCTTTTATTCTAGCACAAATAAAACTAACAAGACTTTCTCCAGAAGAACAAATATTAGAGGAAACACTGAGAACAACTGCTGAATCTGAGAAACATCATCTGGGAAATATTTGAAATAATAATAATATTTTTGACTGTACATAATGTGTATTTTTAGCCACCAAAGACTGATATATTGTTATTGAAGAATCCAGCATTGTTACTTTTGGCGGTGGTGAATTTACTGGCCGTCTGCTCGCTGTGCATGTTGTCCATGTGTGCTCCGAGCAGCCGATTCACCACGGTAGAAATGATGTAAACGTTCCGTGGCTGCAGGTATGATAAGGTGCTGCACATGGGTCTGTTCTGTTTAACATCATTTGGGAAATATTGGAAAAAGACTTTATTTACTTTATCTCCTTTTATTTGTTTTCTTTTATTGATAGTAATGTGTTCACGAGTAAAACCCGTTCTTTGTGCTTCTGAGGATGTTTCTTCGCAATTTAAAATCATTTAGAGAATTAAATGACAATTGGTTATGAAAAAGGTAACAGAAAATGTTTATATTTAGTCAACACAATACCAATGGTTTAATTTCAGAAAAGTTAGAAGATCAATATTTGATGGAAGAGTACTATTAAAATCAAAATTAACAAAATTTTTAACTCACACATACCTGTTAATTTCAGAGGAACAGAGAATTATCAAGTGATTCCCTTATTTTGTCAATGCTATAAATGCTTACAGTATTCATTCATTCCTCTTCCTTCAGCGTAGTCTCTTTATTCATCAGGGGTCTGAACCACTTAACTATTAAAGCATGTGTTTGACACAGCTGATACCCTTCCAGTTGCAACCCACTACTGGGAAACACCCATACACACTCATTCACACACACTCATACACTACGGCCAGTGATGTTCATCAGTTTCCCTATAGCGCATGTGTTTGGACTGTAACCGGAGCACCCGGAGGAAACCCACGCCAACACGGGGAGAACATGCAAACTCCACACAGAAACACCAACTGAGCCAGCTGAGACTCAAACCAGCGACCTTCCTGCTGTGAGGCCACAGTGCTAACCACTGAGCCACCGTGTCGCCCTACATACAGTAGATATAACAAATAATAAATGAATTCCTCTTTAATTTCTGTTTATTTTTAGTTTTAGCAGATGTTGACGTCAGAGTTTTGCTTCAACACTGTTAAATAAAGCTCTGTTTTCATTTTCATTCTCTGTATTATGAAGTTGACGTGCAATAATTGACGCTTTATTGGATTGGCAAGTAAAACGAAGGATCTGTAGTGTTTGTGAGGAATTTGAACATTTGACTATGGAGTATTAATAATAGAATAATGTAAAAGTGCGTGAGTCCGCTTCAGACTCTGTGTTCTGACCTGTTTATTTAAAGCATGTCAGACGCTGTTCTGGCACAGTGAATCAGGCCGGTGTTTTGTAAGGCACTCAGAGACGTGTGTGTGTGTGTGTGTGTGTTTCTGCATGAACTGATCTGCAGTGTGTGACTCATCGTTATGACCTCCGTCTGCTGGAGCGTCACTCTGCGTTTACACACACACACACACACACACACACACACACACACACACACACACTCACAAACTATCTGAGACTACTAACAGTGCTGTGGGTCTGCTGGATATATTGCAATCTGCTTACTTTAAATAACTATAATAAGCTATTATTTTTGCGCTGTGCATTATAAATATGGATTTTTATTATATTTGGAAGCAAGACAACAGTTTGTGCTTGTCTCGAAATGCTTCTTGATTTAAGAATCTTGAGATATTTAGACTAAAACAAGACAAACTCTAATTAAAAAAGTGTTGTGCTGTGTGTTTCTGTCTGCTCAATGCTCAACACAACACTTGCATGATTTTTTGTTTATTATTTATTATATTTGTCCCATACACAGTCAAACACAGTATGATATGCAGTGAAATGCTCACACAACCACTCATGATCTTAAAATAATAATAATAACAAAAATAATAATAATAATCTGAATTATGGAGAGACGTTTTTAGTATTTATTCGCCTTATTTTGTAATAACTAAGTAAGAAAAGCATGTATTTGCAGTGTGTTTGTGTTTGAGAAGCGTCCGACTGCAAGACCTGTGAAGAGATAAAGCCAACCATCGAAGACTTTGAGGGCAACACACACACTTAATCCACAAAACACTCCAATGTACATGTACACACAGACATCACATATATACTCTATAACTGCAGGTTAACTACTGTATATAATAACTTTAACTGTTAAAGCTATTAGTTGCTAGTTAATTAAAGTTATTAGTAACTAATGGTGACTAATAACCTTCACTTTTCTGATTTTACCTGTAATGCAGTAATGGACACCTTTTGTGAAGCTGCTATGAAGCAAAAGCACTATGCAAATAAACTTTGTGTGTTTGCTGTGTTTCAGAGAGCGGTACGGTCAGCTGGTCTCGGCTCAGCTGCTGGATGCTGACGGTGGAGTTGTCCGAAATGTGCGCTCCTCCTTTATTCAGATGCTGACGGAGTTTTCCTGGATTCCCACACACAGACCCATGTGCAGCACCGTATCATACCTTCAGCCGCGGAGCGTTTACATATTATCTACTGCGGTAAATAGGCTGCTCGGAGCACACGTGGACTACATGCACAGCGAGCAGACGGCCAGCGAGTTCACTAGCGCCATAGGTAAGGATTCGTAATATCAAAACACGATTGAAAAATACACAAATCTATTTAGTTGGTTCAAAACACGATTCATAAATACGCAAATCCAATTCGTAAATTTAAAACGCGATTCATAAATATGCAAATCCAATTCGTAAATTTAAAACACGATTCATAAATATGCAAATCCAATTCGTAAATTTAAAACACGATTCATAAATATGCAAATCCAATTCGTAAATTTAAAACATGATTTATTAATATGCAAATCCAACTCGTAAATTTAAAACATGATTCATAAATATGCAAATCCAATTCGTAAATTTAAAACACAATTCATTAATATGCAAATCCAATTCGTAAATTTAAAACACGATTCATTAATATGCAAATCCAATTCTTAAATTTAAAATACGATTCATAAATACGCAAATCCAATTTGTAAATTTAAAACACGATTCATAAATATGCAAATCCAATTCGTAAATTTAAAACATCATTCATTAATATGCAAATCCAATTTCAAAATTTAAAACACGATTTATTAATATACAAATCCAATTCGTAAATTTAAAATATGATTCATAAATATGCAAATCCAATTCGTAAATTTAAAACATGACTCACAAATATGCAAATCCAATTCGTAAATTTAAAATATGATTCATAAATACGCAAATCCAATTTGTAAATTTAAAATATGATTCATATATACGCAAATCCAATTCGTAAATTTAAAACATGACTCATAAATATGCAAATCCAATTCGTAAATTTTAAATACGATTCATAAATATGCAAATCCAATTCGTAAATTTAAAACATGATTCATTAATATGCTAATCCAATTCGTAAATTTAAAACACGATTCATAAATACGCAAATCCAATTAGTAAATTTAAAACATCATTCATTAATATGCAAATCCAATTCGTAAATTTAAAACACTTTTCATAAATATGCAAATCCAATTCGTAAATTTAAAACATGATTTATTAATATGCAAATCCAATTTCTAAATTTAAAACAGGATTCATAAATATGCAAATCCAATTCGTAAATTTAAAATACGATTCATAAATTCGCAAATCCAATTCGTAAATGTAAAACACGATTCATTAATACGAAACTCCAATTCTTAAAATTTAAACAGGACAATGACTTGCCTAATTACCCTAGTGAAGCCTTTACATGTCACTTTTAGCTGAACACTAGTCAAATATCTAGTCTAATATTATGTGCTGTCATCATGGCAAAGAGAAAGAAATCAGTTGTTATGATTAGAAATGTGTTGGAGAAATCTGCTCTCCGTTAAACAGAAATTGGGGAATAAAATAAACAGGAGGGCGAATAATTCTGACTGTATGACTGTATATTTTTGCTGTGTTTTTAATCTAGTCAGCTGTGATTGCTGTTGCAGGATTGAGGCACAGTGTGTGTGTGGAGGACATGGTGGGTTATCTGAAGCGCTGGTGTGTGAAGGAGTCTGAAGAACCATCTGAGGAGCCTGAAGGAGCAGATTTCTCCAGCACAATCGATCATATTCATGCGCTTTACTGCTATCTGTTCAACGAGTGCTCCAGTGGCCAGCTCAGAGACCTGTTCCAGCGCTGGCCCGCCGTCTACATCGAGTACAACAGGTCACACACACACACACACACACAAAGTTTATTTGTATTGACCACAACTAAAGGACTGTTTATTTATTGGCAATATCACAGTAGTAGCAGTACAATATGGCTGTATATCGGCACTGGTGGGAGGTGTGCGTTAGCTGGAGGCCGCAGTGCTTTGGTGCCCCAGCAGTGCCGATACACAGCTGTATTGCCCTGCTACGAGTGTGATATTGCGTTCATAAAACAGTTCGACGACATGATCGTGTATATAAAAAAGAAAATCAGGAAGGAAGAGGAATTACTTTCTTCCACCATTCATTCATATCTGTAGCTGACGTCAGAACAGCAGAAACTGCTGCTATTTCACACACGTCACTGTAGAGCTAGTGTTTGAATGATTCTCTAGCGTAATGTCTAAAGAGATGACGAAACAGCTGATATTGCTCACATTGTAAGATTATAAGGCTGAACTATGGAGCCAGATCACTCTCGAAAATAATACATTTGCTTAATAAAATTCATACATCCTCAATATTTACATCTACAAAATCCAATTTGTATGTTAAAAACACAATCTAAAATTACGCAAATCCAATTCGTAAATTCAAAACACAATTAAAAAACATTGCAAATTCAATTCTTAACTTCAAAACACAATTCAAAAATGTGCAAATTCAATTCGTAAATTCACAACTCGATTCGTAAAAACGCAAATCCAATTCGTTATTTCAGAACACGATTAAAAAATGCGTAAATTTAATTCAATTCAAAAAACTATTTTAAAATGTGCAAATTCAATTTGTTAATTCAAAACACTATTCAAAACTACATAAATCTAATTTGTAAATTTAAAACACAATTTGTAAATATGCTATTCCAATTTGTAAGTTAAGAACGTGATTCATAAATGCAAAAGTGTAATTCATAAATACGCAAATCTAATTTGTAAATTCAAAACACAATTCATAAATGCACAAATCCAATTCGTAAATTCAAAATCGATACACAAATCTAATTCCTAAAGACACGATTCATAAATACACAAATTCAATTCGTAAATTCAAAACAATTTAAAAATACACGATTCAAATTCATAAGTTAAAACACAATTCATAAATATGCAAATTCAATTTGTAAATTCAAAACACGATTCATAAATACACAAATCTAATTTGTAGGTTCAAAACACGAATCAAAAATGTCTGAATCTACTTCGCTAATTCAAAACACGATTTAAAAATTGGTAAATTCGTTTTTGGTGTCTGCAGGGATGGCGACCGCAGCTCGGGACGCTTCTATCATCTAAAAGAGGTCTGCTGGTGTGATCCTACAGGCATGTTTCAGAGATACCGAGAGCTGATCCGCAGATCTGACAGCGGCGTTCAGGAGCCGCGAGTGCTCGCTCCGCTATACAGCACTCTGCAGGACATGAAGAGCATGTTTGAGGTCTGGAGATCCACTGGAGCCTCATATTACACTCAGCTTATGTCAGAAATGACCTTTAGTGCATTAAACATTAAAAGCTTGTATTCTGTGTATTGAAATTATCTAAAGATTACTGAAGAACACAGAAATGGTAATGTGAATATGAATGTAAATATTTAATAATGACTGATGCAGAAATACAGTATGTGCATGTGTGTGTGTGTGTGTATGAATTTTAATTACATTTTTACATAAAAAATAATAAAAAGGGCCCCATTCTATTCAAATATTATTGGATAGACAATCGTTACCTTTATTTTATTAATTAGTACAGTTTAATTAAATATTACAACAAAATGCAGGAAAAAATGTCAATACTTAACATAAATACTTGAAGAAAAAGAAGTTTAATTTGTGAACATGCAAAACAGACTTTATTAAAGACTACTAATGTCAACAACAACCAAATTATGTACAGTTTAATACAGAAATAAATGTACTATAAATATACTTAAACATTTTATTAGGCTAATACAGAAGTAAATATATTTATTTATTTTATTAAACTAATAAAGAAAGTAAATATGTATATGCATTTTATTCAACTAATAAAGACAGTAAATATATTTATGCATTTTATTAAACTAATAAAGTAAATATATTTATGCATTTTTCATACTAATAAAGTTGATATATTTATGCATTTTAATAAACTAATAAACACGGTAAATATATTTATGCATTTTATTGTACTAATAAAGTAAATATATTTATGCATTTTAATAAACTAATAAAGACAGTAAATATATTTATGCATTTTATTAAACTGTAATGTAATGTAATGTAACATTACATTACATTACATTACATTTTATTAAACTCATAAATAAATTAAATATTTATGCATTTTATTAAACTAATAAATAAATTAAATAAATTTATGCATTTTATTAAACTAATAAAGTTAATATAGTTATGTATTTTATTAAACTAATAAAGTAAGTAAATATATTCATGCATTTTAATAAACTAATAAAGAAATTAAATATATTTATGCATTTTATTAAACTAATAAAGAAATTAAATATATTTATGCATTTAAATAAACTAATAAAGAAATTAAATATATTTATGCATTTAAATAAACTAAAAAAAGAATTTAAATATATTTATGCATTTTATTAAACTAATAAAGAAAGTAAATGCAATCTCCATTATTCTCATGGCAGACTCTGAGCGTGGAGCCCAATCCTTCGATGAAGCAGTACGTGTGTCTGCTGGAGGCGGTGTGTGAGTCTGCTCCTCTCGCCACAGGAGACGTTCTTCAAGACGTCTCGATCATCTTCGCTAAACTCGGTGAGGATCTGCTGAAGTCTTGACATGATTCTTCATTCATCTGCAGTTTGTGCTGCATGTTTCTGATGTGCTTCTCTGTGTGTGTGTGTGTGTGTGTGTGTGTGTGTGAAAGCTGATAAATGTAGAGTGTGTGTTCACGGAGAGCAGGAGCAGCTCAACCAGACCTACTGCAGCTCTCTCAGGGGTGAGTTTAATCAAGTAACTATTAAACACGTTGCCTTTATGTTCTCCTGGTAAAAAACGGAAATGCTGACGTAAAATGAACCAAGTGTAATAACAATGCAATGACTGAAGGAGAGAGTACTGAACTACTGAAATGTATTTAACACTTTGTAGAAAAGACTTGAGATGAGAGCTTCAAGATGCCTCTTGTATGGATAATTGAGCTCAGGTGTGGTTTTATCTTGTTTTTATATATGCTCTGCTTTTTCATGCTCTTGACAGAAATGGTGTCTCATAAAAGAGTGTTTCCCACCAAGACCAGCGGGTGGGTGACGCTGTCCCGTAAACCCATGATCTCAGATAACGCACACTTGGAGAAGATCTTCAAGTCACACACTTCAGTGTGTCTGCTCAACCTGCCGTCCGCAGCCAAGAAAACAGCCAACAAATACAAACGAGAGGGTAATGTGTGTTTTCATTGTTCTTGCATATTAATAAAATTCAATATTAATTTCACTAAAATAATGCAGTTGATGAGATAATTTCACCACTCTAGGAAAAAGACTCCATTGAGCTACTTCACAACAAACATTACAGTATTATCCATATTTGTATTCTGATTACGCCTAACTTTCCTCTTTTCATATATATATATATATTCAGATTACACACATCAAACTTTAGTTTCATTAATATATTCTGATATACACTACCTGACAAAAGTCCTACTGGAACCCCTTATGGACCAAGATTCTCATAGAAATCAGTCAAGTTTGGTGAAGGAGAAGTCATGGTTTGGGGTTCATTCAGTATGGGGGCGTGCGAGAGATCTGCAACATCAACAGCCTGAGGTATCAAGACATCTGTGCTGCCCATTACATTACAAACCACAGGAGAGGGACAATTCTCCAGCAGGATAGCGCTCCTGCTCATACTTCAGCCTCCACATCAAAGCTCCTGAAAGCAGAGAAGGTCAAGGATTGGCCAGCCCAGTCACCAGACATCAACATTATTGAGCTGATGAAGGAGGAGGTGTTGAAGATGAACACAGAGACTCACTTTTACTCTCATCTAAACACACAGATATACACTTTTACTCTCATCTAAATTCTGAATACACATCAAAACTTGAGTGTCATTCATAGGGATATTCTGTATTGTTATCATTATATACTGTTAAACCCCTAAAACCCCTCATGCATTATATTATTATTTGATCTGTCTAATCGTGTGTTCAGGAAAGCATGATAAGGAGGCATTCAGCGAGCGCGACCGAGAGTTATTCCTGCAGATCTGCGGGATCGAGCGACTCTCCCAACGCGTGACCACCGAACCGCAGACCGAGAGCTACAGACCCTGTCCTGCGGTGCAAACGCTGGTCCGGCAGCTCGTGCCCTTCATCCAGAGGTTTATCCTGCACCACAGCGACTTTGAGGAGGCGTATGAGGAGCTGAAGGATTCTGGGATCGCTCAACGCATCAGCGCTCTCAGTTTCGGACAGGTAAAGAGCAAACACCTTCAGGCATGGGGCGAGTAATTAATTAATTCATTTTCAGCTTAGTCCCTTAATTAATCAGGGGTCACCACAGCGGAATGAACCGCCAACTTATCCAGCATATGTTTTACGCAGTGGATGCCCTTCCAGCTGCATTCCAGTACTGGGAAACACCCATACACACTCATTCACATACATACAATACGGACAATTTAGCTTACCCAAGCCACCTACCGCATGTCTTTGGACTTGTGGAGGCAACCCACGCCAACACGGGGAGAACATGCAAACTCCACACAGAAACACTGACTGCCCCAGCCGGGACTCAAACCAGCGACATTCTTGCTGTGAGGCGACAGTGGTACCGACTGAGCCACCGTGACACCATTAATTAATTATTATATCTTAATTTTTTGCGTGTGTGTGTTTGTGCAGGTGGGGAAGCTGTATATTCATTATCGGCTCGAGCTGCCGGACGAAAGCCCCATCTTTGAGAGCGAGGATATCATATGCCTGCTCAAAGACCAGAAGGAGCTGTACATCCACAAAGATCATCTGGCGGCCAGACTGGACATCTGCAGGTACAGCGTCTGCCTCCAGCCTCAGCAAACGGGATGCTCCTCCACGCTCATTCATCTGTATTTCATTGCAGAGAGCTGGTCAAACTCTTCACAGCGGATAAGATGTTTGCGAAAGAGCTGGAGCGGTTCCTTCAGGGCCTTGTGACCTGCATAAATGTGAGTTTGGGGCCATGCGAGGCTACTTAAACCCCTCCGCAGCTCTGAACAGTTTAGTTTTAACCCTAATTAAACACACCTGATCAAACTAATTGAGTCCTTCAGTCTGGTTTAAAACCCACAGGTGAGTGTGTTGAAGCAGGGTTGAAACTAAGGTGTGCAGGGCTGCAGCCCTCCAGGAACTCAGTTTGACACCCCTGCCTGAAAGGGATAGTTCACACAACAATAGAAATGTGCTGTTAATCTGCAGACCCACAGGTCATCCGAGGTGTAGGAGGCCTTTTTCATTCAGTAGATCATTAACCCTTGTGTGCTGTTGGGTTGTTTTCAACCACTCTGGGGTTATACCCCATTACTAAGCACTTTATGGATGATGTTCATCAATATTTAGATGTTTTTGACCCCCTGCTTGCAGACTTTTTTCGAAATATTGTTTATTTTAACAAACCGTACATCAATGGAAAGTTATAATGAATAAATCCCAGTTTACAATAATTGTATAATTATCATACATTATATTGTAGTGCTGGGCAAAGATTAATTGTGATTAATTGCAACTAAAATAAAAGCCACTTTATTAGGTACACCTGTCCAACTGCTGGTTAACGCAAATTATTAATCAGCCAATCACATGGCAGCAGCTCACTGCATTCAGGCATGTAGACATGATCAAGAGGATCTGCTGCAGTTCAGAGCGAGCATCAGAATGGGGAAGAAAGGGGATTTAAGTGATTTTGAACGTGGCATGGTTGTTGCTTCCAGACGGGCTGCTCTGAGTATTTCAGAAACTGCTGATCTACTGGGATTTTCACGCACAACCATCTCTAGAGTTTACAGAGAATGCTCCGACAAAGAGGAAATATCCAGTGAGCAGCAGTTCTGTGGGCGCAAATGCCTTGTTGATGAGGCCAGAGGTCAGAGGAGAATGGCCAGACTGGTTCCAGCTGATAGAAAGGCAACAGTAACTCAAATAAGCACTCGCTACAACCGAGCTCTGCAGAAGAGCATCTCTGAACACACAACACGGCCAACCTTGAGGCGGATGGGCTACAGCAGCAGAAGAGCACACCGGGTGCCGCTCCTGTCAGCTAAGAACAGGAAACTGAGGCTACAATTCACACAGACTCACCAAAACTGGACAATAGAAGATTGGAGAAACGTTGCTGCTCTGATGAGTCTCCATTTCTGCTGACACATTCAGATGCTCGGCTCAGACAACATGAAAGCATGGATCATCCTGCCTTGTATCAGCGGTTCAGGCTGGTGGTGTAATGGTGTGGGGGAGATTTTCTTTGGGTCCATTAGTACCAATTGAGCATCAACGCCACAGCCTACCTGAGTATTGCTGCTGACCATGTCCATCCCTTTATGAGCACAGTGTCTCCATCTTCTGATGGCTACTTCCAGCAGGATAACGCAGCATGTCATAAAGCTCAATCATCTCAGACTGGTTTCTTGAACATGACGATGAGTTCACTGTACTCAAATGGCCTCCACAGTCACCAGAGCTCAATTCAATAGAGCAGCTTTGGGATGTGGTGGAACGGGAGATTGGCATCATGGATGTGCAGCCGACAAATCTGCAGCAGCTGTGTGATGCTATCATGGAGCAAAATCTCTGAGGAATATTTCCAGAAGCTTGTTGAATCTCTGCCATGAAGGATTAAGACAGTTCTGAAGGCAAAAGGGGTCCGACCCAGTACTAGTGAGGTGTACCTAATAAAGTGGCCAGTGAGTGTACAAATTCACACATGTATGCATATTTATGTATATTTAGATATTCAATATTGTGTATATGATGCTAATTATATATACATTTAAATATCTATGTCGAAAAGAGGTTTAGTGTTTATATATATGTGTGTATTACGTATAGATAATAAATATACAACACACACAAATATATATATTATGCCAAAACAAACTTTTATTTTGGATGTGAATTAATCTTCGCCCAGCACTAGTATATTTGCATTTTCATTTAGACATGATTGATAACTTTTATTTAGATCTATTAATTAATGAAAGTATGCGATGCGATCTGCTCTGGTGTGCATCTCAGGATGGATCTGCACTGAAGAGGTTTCTGGATCGAGAAAATGCTCAGAAGCTGCCAGAGAACGAAGAAGCGTGGGACGTCCCAGCGCCGGTGGAAGTGAAAGCAGAGCCCGTCGGTGTGTATTTCTCTGTGTGTGAGCGTCAGGGATGTGCAGTGATGTCCCTGGAGTCTCTTTGATCTGAGTTTAATGTGCGCCTGATTTCATCATTTCTCTCTCACCGCCAGCGCTCTGCACATATGCTAATGCCGGTTTGTTTGTGGCTCTGTGCGCTGACATGAAAGCGCAGCTGTTGCCGTGGAGATTGGAAGAAATGACGCACACACACACGCACACACACACACATTAATAATCACTAGGTGTGGGTATATTTAAGGACTTCGAGATCTGAATCTGGGGGTCACGATCAGATTCCAGAATGATTGTTGGCTTATATTTTTCATATTCCTCCTGTATACGTTTACATCTTCACAACTTTACATTTTAACCAGAATTAGAGTTTCTATGACAGTACTGGCATCTTAAAATCATTTGTTTTATTATAGAATTATTGAGGATAAACAAGCTCTGAATGTAAAAAAAGACAATTACAGGGAAAAACAAACATATCCCATAACAATAAACCAAAATATTTGTCTAAAAACTAAATAAGAGCATCACAATTATTGTCGTTTATAACATTAAGAGCTTTCTGACCAATCAGAGCAATGTAGACTCATTAAAGAAGAGTCATTAACCAATCAGCAGGACATACATCAGACCAAAGAGTGGAGCCTAAAAAGTAGACTCATTACACCAAAGCAGAGTCATCTAACCAATCAGAGCAAGGCAGAGCTATCAAACCAATCAAAGAAGAGTAGTAGAGCCTTCTGACCAATCAGAGCAGAGATGGGTCAAAACAAGTCAGAGTACAGTCATCTGACCAATCATTCTTAAGCAATTTTATCTGACCAATCAGAGCACAGTAGAGCTTTCTGACCAATCAGATCAGAAAAGGGCCAATTTGACCAATTAGAGCAAAGTATGGTCATCTGACCAATGAGAGTAGATTAGAGCCTTCTGACCAATCAGAGCAAAGTAGACTCATCAAACCAAAGCAGAGTCATCTAACCAATCAGAGCAGAGTAGGGCCATTAAAGTAGAACAGAGAGCCTTCTGACCAATCAGAACAAAGCAGACTCATCTAACCAATCAGAGCAGAGCCATCAGACCAATCGCAACAGAGCAGAGTAGAGCCTTCTAACCAATTAGAGCAAAGTAGACTCATTAAACCACAGCAGACTCATCTAACCAATCAGAGCAGGGCAAAGCCATCCAACCAATCAGAGAAGTGTAGAGCATTCTGACCAATCAGATTAAAGAAGGGTCGTTTGACCAATCAGTATGGCGACCTGATCAACTGATCAATCGGAGAAGAATCATCTTAAATGAACGATGTAGAGTAGACGTATTAAAGCAATCAAAGCAGAATCATCCAACCAATCAGAGATGAGTAGAACCTTCTGACCAATTAGATCAGAGAAGGATTTCAACTAACCAGAGCAGAATAGACTCATCAAAACAGAGAGATCAGAGTAGGGTCATCTGACCAATCAGATCTAAGCATTTTCATATGACCGATCAGTCCAGAGGAGAGCCATTTGACCAATTAGATTAGAGTATGGCAATCTAATCAATCAAAGCCGAGTAGCATCATCAGACCAATGAGAATACAAGTTCTGGAAAGGCGGGGTTTAGAAAGAGCAGATCCTTCAATCTACAGTGGAGATTCTAATGTACAATAGAGATCTGCTGTACGAGACAACGGCACTACATCTATCAGACTATAATGTGGAGCTGTCGTCTGTGTGTTTGCAGTGGTTCGTCCATCAGCATCTGCCCAGCAGGACATGGTGCAGCCGGAGCAGAATAAAGAGGATCGGCTGGTCTGCTGGCCACCCAGAGCATCTCTGCACAGAACAGGCGGCGGCAGCTCAGGTACACCACAATATGTCATTTTTGCTATATATATGAGCAATATCACACGGGTAACAGTGTGAAATGGCTGTACATGTATTGCTGTATATCGGTTCTGGTGGGAGGCTTGCATTGCCTTAGTGTCCCAGCAGTGCCTATATACAGCCATATAGCAGTGCTACAAGTGTGATATTGCGTTTATACAACAGTTCGACGGCACAATCATGTGTATAAAAAAGAAAATCAAATATGGAGAGTCTCAAAAACCCTTTTGTAAGAGAGGAACTACTTTCTTCTGACGTTCATTCACATCTGCAGCTGAATCCAGAACAGCAGAAAACGCTGCTAATTCACCAACGCCACTGTAGAGCTAGTGTTTGAGTGATTCTCTAGCGTAATGTTTAAAGTGAAGACAAAGCAGTTGATTTTGCTCACATCTGAAGATTATAAGGCTGAACAGCATGAAATGCCATCAGTCTACAGAGATTTCCCAGTATTTCTCTGCTGCAATGAGGAGATCACAATAATTAACCCTGAAAAAGCCAAAGCAAACACTAGCAGATTACTGTGGTATAAATACAGCACTACAACATACAGGAGTGAGAGATCGACTTATAGTGTCACTTACCTGTGTTATAATCATTTGATCAGCTGTAGTTTGAAATTTATGCTAAGTTTTTCCTCCCCCAAGCACTTACTATGCGGCCTCTGTCGCCATCTTGTGGCAGAAAGTCAACCGCCTTCGCTCTGCTCAGTATGACAGGCTGATGAATATTTAAAATAGGCACTATCCTTATAAATAAACTGCACAGTTGCAATCTAAACAACTACATTCTCACCTGAAATGTCTCGAAAGTACATGATGTTGTCCAACAGCTGCAATATTTGTCAGACTGTAGTGAGTTTATTAATCTGCTGTCACTCTGTGTGGGCGGAGTAATACACAAGAGTGAAGAGGCTGACGAATTGCTAAATATCACACGGCTATCAGCCAATCAGATTCGAGAACCAGACAGAACTGTTGTGTATATATAAATGTATATTGCAACATGAATACACATTCACCAGATAGTTTGAATAGCTCTATTTGGAAATAATTGATTAGTGTAAACTGATTGTGAGGCTTTTATAAGGGAGAGAGTCAGGCATGAATTATAATAGGCAAATCACAAGCTAAGAAACCATTAAATAAACAGTGCGTCTTGGTTTTCTGTGCTGTCTTCAGATACAGAGATACAGTGTGTGTGTCTGTCTGTGTGTGTTGTAGTTTCAGGCAGTCAGGCAGTGGATGAGGTGATGAAGATCTGGCCTCCTCCTCCTCCTCCTGCAGCTCAGTGTGATTCCGGGTCAGAGTTCAGCTCTTCCAGTTCCAGTGTTCATCCACACACTGCAGATCCTCCAGCAGAGGTCAAAGTTCAGCAGGAACGCAAGATCAAGAGCAGCGCAGCACCACACACAGGTCAGAAATTAAGAGACACACCGCAAACAGTGAATGCATCAAGATTTAAGTCCTAAATCATCCGAGTGTTCAGCTTACAGTGACATGTAAAGGCTTCACTAGGGTAATGAGGGTAAAGTTAGGGTAATTAGGCAAGTCATTGTATAACAGTGGTTTGTTCTGGAGACAATCCAACACTAATATTGCTGAAGGGGAGAATAATATTGACCTTAACATGACTTTAAATCTATTAAGGACTGCTTTTATTCATTACACATTCATTTGTTTAGTCCTTTTATTAATCAGGGATCGCCACAGCGGAAGGAACCGCCAACTTATCCACCATAACATTCACACTCATACACTACGGCCAGTGTAGTTGATCAGTTCCCCTATAGCGCATGTGTTTGGACTGTGGGGGAAACTGGAGCACCCGGAGGAAACCTACGCCAACACGGGGAGAACATGCAAACTCCACACAGAAACACCAACTGACCCAGCCGGGACTCAAACCAGAGACCTTCTTGCTGTAAGGCTAGATTGCTAACCTCCGAGCCACCGTGTCGCCCTCATCTCCTACATGTAATTAATAAACCGTCGCTACCTGCCTTTCATATCATTACGAATATTAGATCTTGCAGGAGCAGTAGAGTCGAGAGCTGTAAAGGCTCCGCCCTCTTCTGGAAAGGGGCGGGGGGCAGCAGCTCATTTGCATTTAAAGAAACACACACACACACACGCACAAAATGCATGTTTTTAGTTTGACCTAAAAATGCTTTTACCTACTGTTTTTCCCTGTCAGAGCGGAGGGAAGAGGTCTCCGCGCAGGACGTCCAGTCTGTGGTCAGTCGTCAGAACCCTGCAGCGCCAAACACAGATCCAGATGAAGAGCAGAGTCAGAAAACCGAAGAGGAGATCAGCGTGACTCAAACCACTGAAGAGGAGAAGCAGAACCGCACAGCAGCAGATCAGCACACACACCAGCACAGCGCACCACAGTATGAGTTCAGACGCTTTTCAATACCTAGCTGTGTTTACATGCCAAGATGAGGACTAGATTAATGTGCAAACAGGAGCATCTATTAAAACTGCATTCATAATTATTGCCTGAAAAGAAGTTTAATCACTCAATAAGGAATATAGTTACTCGACTTAATAATTAATAGTTTTAAAAACCTATTTCTGATAACTGATTTATTTTCTCTTTGTCATGATGACAGTAAATAATATTTTACTTGATATTCTTCAAGACACTTCTATACAGCTTAAAGTGACATGTAAAGGCTTCACTAGGGTAATTAGGGTAATTAGGCAAGTTATTGTATAATGATGGTTTGTTCTGTAGACAATTGAAAAAAAAATTACCTTAAGGGGCTAATAATTTTGTCCCAAAAATGGCTTTAAAAAAATGTATAACTGCTTTTATTCTTGCCGTAGTGAAACAAATAAGACTTTCTCCAGAAGAAAAAATATTATCAGACACACTGTGAACATTTCCTTGCTCTATTAAACATCATTTGGGAAATATTTAAAAAAGGGGGAAAAAAATCAAAAGGGGGCGAATAATTCTGACTTCATCTGTACATGTATATTCGAGTCCTGATCGGGAGATAACGTTCGATTCCTATTGAGTCTGAAACCACGTAATTGGGCCCAATTTCCGATCACATGATCAGATTTGGACATTCTAATGCTGCATTCACACCAGACGCGGAACGCGTGAGTGATTTACATGTTAAGTCAATGCAAACGGCGAATAGACATCCTGCGGCGCGACACGCGCAAATGGCGCGGAGCGAATGATGCGAATTGCACGGTGCGAATAGCAAGATACGCGCGAGACTAATTGAGCGTTTGCGCGTTGAATCTCTCGAGTTCGAAAATCTGAACTTCAGCAGACATTCGCACCGCGTTAACCAATCAGAAGCTTGCTCTTGTGGGGGCGTGATTGTGACGTAGAACCTGTTGATGGTGTCCCGGGGGAAATCCTTCAGGCGACACCGACAACAAGTCATCAAACTGGGCTTGGCTCAGTCAGAAGCACCGCTGAAAGCCTCCGTCATCCAGGTTCAGTTTCTGGAGGAGTTTATGAGCTCACAGAGCTGGATGCACCTCTGACAGGATGCAGTGGACTCAGACACGACCCTAAACGTATCGACGCTGTTTTTCAGTCTCCATAAAGCACATGAACACTGTTATTTTCTTAATTAAATCCATGTTAGCCATTTAGCTATGAAGCTAGAGTCACCGGTCAGACAGAAGCCCTGCCCATCACGCGAATCCACGTCTGTTCTGAAGTGAATTTGACGCGCGAATGAAGCGAGTAAACTCAAATGTTCACGCGGCTATTTACGCGCGAATAGCGCAATTTATCCGCGCGTACCGCGTCTGGTGTGAACACAGCATTACTCAATACTGCTTAAGATCCCTTTAAATCTTAAATACATGAATAAACCTCTTTTAGTTTAGTCAATTTGTGAACTGTTATGCTATTATATAATCACAGCGCTTCAGATCTGATTTGTTGAAAATCACTGAGATACTGAAATCATCTCTTTTAAAACTATTAAAACTGTTGACGTGTTTTTAGAAAGGTATAGTTAAGAGATAGCTAAATCATATCTTTAATGGGGCAGGTAAATCATGTTCTACTGGCCATTAGAGAGTGTTAAGCCCTGTACGTCTGAAATTGCATTCATTATGGTCTTAATGAGGTGTTAAAGTCTGTCATTTGACTTGACACCCTGATCTACAGTTAAAGTCAGAATTATTCGCCCTCCTGAATATTTTATTTCCCAATTTCTGTTTAACGGATTTCTAGAACACATTTATAAACACAATAATATCAGGAACTAATATCTATTGACTGATTTATTTTATCTTCCCCATGATGACAGCACATTAGACTAGATATTTCACTACTGTTCAGCTTACAGTGACATGTAAAGGCTTCACTAGGGTAATTAGGGTAAAGTTAGGGTAATTAGGCAAGTCATTGTATAACAGTGGTTTGTTCTGGAGACAATCCAACACTAATATTGCTGAAGGGGCCAATAATATTGACCTTAACATGACTTTAACACTATTAAACACTGCTTTCATTCTAGCCCAAATAAAACTAATCAGACTTTCTCCAGAAGAACAAATATTAGAGGAAACACTGTGAACAACTGCTGAATCTGAGACACAGCTTTTGGAAAATATTGGAGAAAATTCAGAGGAGGGTGAATAATTCTGACTTCAACTGTGCTTCTAGAGTCCCGGCTGCTGCTCCAGAGTTGGTTCTGAGCCAGTTTCAGGGTGCGGAGAGTGTCCAGCGGCCGTCTTTAACTCTGGATAGCGCTGTTTGGAACAGAACTGTGTGTCCTGAAGAAGTCCTAGAGGATCTGCCGCTCAACTTCAGTCTGCCGGAGACTCTGCTGCTGCCTGGAGATGGCCAGATGACTGAGGTGAGGCTTATTGGTCCATCCCACCCAATCTGAACAGCTGAAATATGCTTAGCCACACCCCTCTAATCGTTAGTTTGCGATTGGAGGGGGAAAGCCCCACCCACTAGTGGCCATCTCTAGCTCATTAGCATAAACAGCAGCCCTGAGTGAGAAGCAGCCGTCTGTCCGTTAGCCATTAGAGTGTGCTGAAGATCATGTCAGCATAGACTGAGAGGATTATAGATGTGGAGCTTTAGATGAACACAGACTGACAGAAGCATGAAGCACACTGACAACACACACACTGCTGTTTTACATCTGACACTATGGCATTTGTAGCTCCGCCCTTTTATGAAAACTTCACAATCTCATTTGCATTTAAAGCGACAGTCACCAAAACACCACAGTTAGGATCAAAATGCCTGAAAGGGTCAGTTTCAGAGATCTGGAGAACATCATCTGTGTGCTGTTCTCAGCTCAAACACACACACACACACACACACACACACACTCTAGACAGTACATCTTGTAAAAAGGGGCAGAATAGGTCTCCTTTAAAGGTGCTATAGAAACTAACATGTATTGTTGTTGTTCTTCTGATGAGCAGGACGCGGCGAGCATCGGTCAGTGGGGCGAGCAGCTGGTGTTCTCCTTCCTCCAGCACTGGCATCGCAGTGGCTCCGGGCCCTCAGAAATCACCTGGTTCAACCAGAGCGGGGAGAGCGGGCGCGCCTGCGACTTTAAACTCAGCTTCTCCGACCAGGAGATCTTGGTGGAGGTGAAGACCACGGTGAGACGCGACCGTCACTTCATCCGCATGTCTGCCAATGAGCTGGACCTGGCGCTGAAGGAGAAGGAGCGCTACCATATTTACCGCGTTTACGGCGCAGGAGACGCCCAGCACGTCCGACTCTGCCGCATCCGCAATCTGGCTCAACATCTCCACTCCAAATCTCTGGAGCTCTTCTTATTCGTCTAGCCGGCGTTTAAAGGAAAACATCCCGTTATTAGAGGTTTATCATCTTATATTACTGCAGATACGCAGGTCAGTTTTACCAGTTTTGTAACTGGAGCACTTTTAGCTTAGCTTAGCATAATTGATTGAATCGGATTAGACCATTAGCATCACATTCAAAACATTACATCTTTGATTTTCCATCAGTCTTAATACACGATGTGACTACAGAGTTGAGCTTTGAATTGCAAAAAAAAAAAAAAAAAATTTCTAAACTCTAATCATTTTTGAATGCACTGCTAATGGTCTAATCCGATTCCATTATCTATGCTAAGCTAAGCTAAAAGTGCTCCGTCAGACGTTGAGATTGGCTGAGTGGATTGAAAAATGGTAAAACTCACCTGTAATCAATTACTTAAGTCTTGATGAGCTGTTAAATGAGAATATTTAATCTGAAATAGTGCAGTTGTTGTTTTATTAATGATGTCAGACCACTGTGACACTGTTCAGTTCTGCCTTTATCACTGTTTCTACTGATTCACAGCCAGTTTGTTCACTGTTCTATTGATTTTATAGAGCTCAAGTCAGTAAATAAATGCAGTGTTTTGTAAAAGAACAGTACTTGATGTCTGAATAGATTCGGGAATATTTTTCTTTGTGGGGGGGTAGAGAGTAGAGAGAATTGACAGGAAAGCATGGGGAGCAGAAAGAGGGGAAGGATCGGCATAGGACTGCGAGGCGGAATCAAACCCGGGTCGCCGCGAGCACCGGAGTGCATGTGTCAACGCGCTAACCACTACACCACTGGCGCCGACTAAATCAATATTCATTAACTAGTCTTTTTATTTGGTAATTTACTCTTTACAATAAGATGTCAAGTGTTCAGTGCATAAATTAACAATGAACAATGCAATCTGAGATTAGTTTACTAAACTCTGATGATATTATTAAATGAACATGACCTGATTTTAGCTTAGAATGATCAGAATATTAACAGCATTACAACCATTTTTGGTCAGTATGTAATATATTAAATAATATAAAAAACATATTATAATATATAAAATAACCAAATGAGAAACTATAAACAATTAAACCATAAATACAAAAAATTAAATGAAGTATTCTTGAGTGAAATGTTCAGTTCTGATCATGAAAAATGGGCCCTTCCAGCTGCGACCCATCACTAGGAAACATCCATATACATTCATACACTACGGACAATTTAGTCTACCCAATTCCCCTATAGCACATGTGTTTGGACTGTAACCGGAGCACCCAGAGGAAACTTCTTGCTGTGAGGTGAATGTGCTACCCACCGTGCTGCCCTTTTAAAATATTTTACAAATGTAAATTACATTAGAAATAATAATATTAGTATACAATATATATATATAATTATTTATATTATACTTTTGTTGATTGTATTTATACATAGAGGAAGAGAGAGAGTATTAATGGTAATGTGTTTAATGTTTGTAATGGTAACATGTTTAGCATATTTTTTTAATTGCTGAGGATTTTCTTGTAACATTTTTTTTCATTCTCATAACGTTCTGGGAACGTTATTTTATGGTTGTAAACTAAATAAAATAAAAACAGCGTTCCCCTAGCATTGTATGTTGGCTATGAAACCAAAAACCAACATTAGGGGAACATTTTGTTTTCTGGGTTCCTTAGTTTGCTAAAAAAGACCACAATAAAATGCACATTGAACTGAATGTACACTCACTGGCCACTTTATTAGGTACACCTCACTAGTACCGGGTTGGATCCCACTTTTGCCTTCAGAACTGCCTTAACTGTCTTCGTGGCGTACATTTTACAAGCTACTGGAAATATTCCTCAGAGATTTTACTCCATGATAGCATCACACAGATGCTGCAGATTTGTCGGCTGCACATCCATGATGCCAATCTCACGTTCCACCACATCCCAAAGCTGCTCTATTGGATTGAGCTCTGGTGACTGTGGAGGCCATTTGAGTGCAGTGAACTCATCGTCATGTTCAGCAGTCTGAGATGATTGAGCTTTATGACATGCTGCGTTATCCTGCTGGAAGTAGCCATCAGAAGATGGAGACACTGTGCTCATAAAGGGATGGACATGGTCAGCAGCAATACTCAGGTAGGCTGTGGCGTTGATGCTCAATTGGTACTAATGGACCCAAAGAAAATCTCCCCCACACCATTACACCACCACCACCAGCCTGAACCGCTGATACAAGGCAGGATGGTTTCATGTTGTTGAGGCCAAATTGTGAGCCGAGCATCTGAATGTGTGAGCAGAAATGGAGACTCATCAGAGCAGCAACGTTTCTCCAATCTTCTATTGTCCAGTTTTGGTGAGTCTGTGTGAATTGTAGCCTCAGTTTCCTGTTCTTAGCTGACAGGAGCGGCACCCGGTGTGCTCTTCTGCTGCTGTAGCCCATCCGCCTCAAGGTTGGACGTGTTGTGTGTTCAGAGATGCTCTTCTGCAGAGCTCGGTTGGCTGATTAGAAATTAGCGTTAACGAGCTGTTGGACAGGTGTACCTAATAAAGTGGTCGGTGAGTGTATAAGAACAGGTGATGACAATGACAGATTTCGGATGACTGTTTTGAGCCAAACTATGATGACAGAACTTTAAGAATCCTTTTTTTTTTTTTTTTTTTTAGAATAATTACATTATTAAATAATGTAATTAATTATATTTAATTACATTAAAATAGTTCACTTCAACCGCAAGGCATTCCTGCACTGATGAAATGCATCTTCGATAAGAAAATACAGCCTCAGCGCTTTATGCAGATTCTGCCTGCTGATTCTGCCAGACTCGTGCTCCTATTGGCTGAAGTATTCAGTAGGCGGAGAGAAGTAACCTAACGAGCGCTGCTATTGGCTGATGTGCGCAGTGGGCGCGTCTCCACGGCTCTCTCGGAAGCTGTGATTGTTCCTCAGTGTCACAATAGAGAGCCGCAGCGGAGAGACAGGATGATGATGATTATGATTATGATGATAATGATGAAGATGAGGATAATTATGTGATATCTGTATGTGATTTATCCACCGGGGGAACAGCGGAGATTCACGGGAGCGGTTTAACGGTGAGTTTGAGCTTCATTTGATCACTGCAGCAGATCCCTCCGCTCATGCAGATGCAGGAACAGCAGACGTTACATTACACAGCACTGCGGAGGGAAATCTCCGTCAGTATCGCATTACAGCACTTGTTATTGCTAATAATAACGCAAATGTATTAAAGAATGCACATGAGTTGTGATATTTATGTTTTTAATTGATATTTTTAATTGCACAGCACTGCAGGAAGAACACAGCAGAAGGAAATCAGCCCTAATAATCCATTAATAACACTTATTGCTACTAATAATACTAATGCAATTTGATTAAAGCGTGTTCATGAGTGATAAATAATTAAATATATGTATATTTATTGATGTGTTTAAATTGCTCAGCGCTGCAGGAACAACACAGCAAGAAAATAATCATAAATACATAATTAGAACAGTTATTGTTGTTAATATTATTGTCATTATTATTATTAATAACTGATAGAAGAATGTACATGAGTAATAATTATTCCAAACAATTACTGACGCGTTTAAATTGCATAGCACTGCAGGAACAGCTGAGAAATAACATTAATAATGCTGAGAAATTACATTAATAATACATTATAACACTATACTAATATTAATAATAATAATACATTTGATTGATGTACATAAGTAATAATAATTATTAAAATAAAAAAGTGACATGTTGAAAATGCAGGAACATAACTGCAAGACAATAATACTAAATAATTATAACAGTTGCTATTAATATTATTGTTATTTAGAATAATAATTTTGATCTATGAATGTATGAGTAGTAATAATTAAAACATAATTACTGATGTGTTTAAATTGCTCAGCACTGCAGGAACAACACAGCAGGAAAATAAGCATGAATGACTCACTGTTATTATTAAAAATATTATTGTTAATAATAATAATACATTTGATTGATGTACATGAGAAATAATAAAATTGTAAATATTAAATAAATAAAAATACTGACGTGTTTAAATTGCACAGCACTGCAGGAACACAACAGCAAGAAAATAAGCATGAATAAATAACTAGCAGTTATTGTTATTAATACTGTTGTTAAAAATAATAATAAATTCATTGAAGAATGTAAGTAATTAACATTATTTATAATCATAAATAAATAATTATTATAGTTATTATTGTTAATAATGATAATAATATTAATAATAATAACAATAATTATACAAATTGACTAAGGAATGCACATGAGTAATAATAATAATAATTTTAAATCTTAACCTTTATATTGCACAGCACCGCAGGAACATCACAGGAAGAAAATAATCATAAATAAATAATTATAACAGTTATTTCTTTTAATATTATTAATAATAATAAAACATTGATTGAAGAATCTACACGAGTAATAATAATATATATTGCACAGCCCTGCAGAAACAAGCTAACCAATAAATAACTATTCATAAATAACTATAATTGTATAATATTAGTATTATAAAACAATTATTATTATTATATTATTCAATAATATAAAAAGATTGAAGAATCTATATGAGTAATAATTAATTTAAAAAATCAAATAACATGTTTAAATTGCACAGCACTGCAGGACCACATTGGTCACTTTATTAGGTACATCTGTCCAACTGCAACTCACTGCATTCAGGCCTGTAGACATGGCCAAGACGACCTGCTGCAGTTGAAAGTGAGCATCAGAATGGGGAAGAAAGGGGATTTAAGAGACTTTGAACGAGGCATGGTTGTTAGTATTTCAGAAACTGCTGATCTACTGGGATTTTCACGCACAACCATCTCTAGGGTTTACAGAGAATATGCTCATGGGAGATTGGCATCATGGATGTGCAGACGACAAAGCAGCAGCTGTGTGATGCTATCATGAAGCAAAATCTCTGAGGAATATTTCCAGCAGCTTGTATCTCTGCCATGAAGGATGAAGGCAGTTCTGAAGGCAAAAGGGGTCCGACCCAGTACTAGTATGGTGTACCTAATAAAGTGGCCGGTGAGTGTATGTGTTGCATTCAGGCAGGATAAAGTAGCTTTGGTCATGTTCAGCATGTGTGTGTGAAAGACGGCAAACTGTGCAAAACTGTGTGTGTTTATGTGTGTTCGAGTGAGTGTGTGTGTGTATAGACAGGATGAGTCTGCAGGTCACTCAGAGCTCAGCAGCATTAAATGGATGCTGTCAGAGTCTGGATAAAAAATGAGCCGTTCCTGTGTGTGTGTGTGTGTGTGTGTGTGTGTGTGAGGCTGATGTCCTCTAGTGGAGGCTAGACCTCACTGCTACTCATACCCACACACAAAACACACTCATTTGCGTGCACACACATATATACAAACACACACACACACACACACACACACATATATATATATATATAATGAAGCGCTGCTCTCTGACTAAATCAACCGTCACGCAAGATGCCTCACAGCAAGAAGGTCTCTGGTTTGAGTCTTGGTTTCTGTGTGGAGTTTGCATGTTCTCCCTGTATTGGTGTGGGTTTCCCCCACAGTCCAAACACATGCGCTATAGGGGAACTGATCAACTACACTGGCCGTAGTGTATGAGTGTGAATGAGTGTTTGGGTTGCAGCTGGAAGGGCATCCGCTGTGTAAAACATGCTGGAATAGTTGTCGGTTCATTCTACTGTGGTGACCCCTAATTAATAAGCGACAAAGCTGAAGGAAAATGAATGAATGAATGATCACCTGCTCTTCAGTGTTCAGACTCTTGCTGTGCTGTCCATTTCTCCTGCTCATCCTTCAGATGCTTCTACATCTCCAGTTGAGTCCAGCTGTGTTTGATTACACTGATGGACTTGATCAGGACAGCCACACCAGACACAGTTGTGGAGAGGCACAGATCTGGCCAAGCTTACACACACACACACACACACACACACACACACACACACACACACACACACACACGTCTGCTGCACTGAAGCTTCCTAAGAGCACACTGACCTCATAATCCTTAGATGGAAGACGTTTGGGACGACCAGAACCCTTCCTGGAGCTGGTGGTGGGCGAAGCGAGGCTTCATGAAACACTGAATCAGTCGAAGCAAATGTGTCGAAAGCTTATCCCAATAAAAAACTGGATATTTTAGGGAGAAAAATACAACTTTTTTGGTAGAAATGCAACTTTTCTGTAGTGTTGGTTTGTATAATGAGGATCCCAATAAAGCAAATGTTAAATTATAGGATGAAAATGCAACTTTATCTGCTGTGTTAGTTTGTGTTGTGTATCCGAATAAAGAAAATAGGATGTTTTAGGGAGAAAAATACAACGTTTTAGGGGGAAAAGCAGCTTTTTCAGCTGTGTTAGTTTGTGTAAAATGTATAACAATATAGAAAATATGGAATTTTAGGGGCAAATTTCCACATTTTAGGGGGTAAAGCAGCATTTTCTGCAATGTTAGTTTGTGTAACGAGTATCCACATACAGAAAACGTGGAATTTTAGGGGGAAAATACAACCTTTTAGGTAGAAATGCAACTTTTCCTGCAACATTAGTGTATGTAAAGAGTGATGTAAATGTTAAGTGTATCCCGATAGAGAAAATAGGATATTTTAGGGAGAAAAATACAACTTATTAGTGGGAAATACAGCTGTTTCTGCAATGCTATTTAGTGTAATGATTATCCCAATAAAGCAAATATGAAATGATAGGATGAAGATGCAACTGCTTCTGCTGTTCGTTTGTGTAACGAGTCTCCTAATATAGATATTTTATGTTGAAATGCAGTGTGTTCCTGCAGTGTTAGTCAGTGTGTTTGTGTGCTGCAGTATTGTGAGGCTGTCTGTGGGCCAGGATGAGCTCGTCTCCGGTGGTTTCCCATGACATTCTGGAGGAGCTGCAGCTCTACACCGCTCAGAACCTGGAGAAGCTGGAGGTCAATAAATACTATGAGGTGATCCGGGAGCTCGGGAAGGGCACTTACGGGAAGGTGGACCTCGTCATTCATAAGATCAGAGGTACGGCGCGCTTACAGAACACCTGGAGAAATCTGATTGAAGAAAACTATCTTTATTTGAGCTCTGATTCTCAGTCCTGACTTTCATTTTCAAAGCCTCTGCTCGTTATTTTATTTCCAAGATCTAAAATCCACTAGTAGGCGCTGTCTACATTTTTGCAGATCTGAATTATGTTACTGAGGGTATATTTTGTTGTACATTTTAGGTGACAAATCCACCAGACGGAGAGGTTACATTTTTGTGAATCTGAAATATGTTGATCAGAGTAAGTTGTGTAGTACATTACAGATGACAAATCCACTAGAGGGCGCAGTCTGTGTTTTGGGAAATCTGAAAAACGTTACTTAGGGTATGTTTTGTTGTCGATTAAGGTGACTAATAAACTAGAGGGCGCTGTGTACATTTTTGAGAATCTGAAATGCGTTAGTTACGGCACGTTTGTTGTACATGTAAGGTAACAAAACCACTAGAAGGCGCAATTACATTGATTTAAATCTGAAATATGTTATTTTCAGATGACAAATCCACCAGAGGGCGCTGTCGACATTTGCGAATTTGAAATATGTTGATCAGAGTAAGTTATGTAGTACATTACAGATGACAAATCCACTAAAGGGCGCTGTCCATGTTTTGGGAAATCTGAAAAACGTTACTTAGGGTATGTTTTGTTGTACGATTAAGGTGACTAATAAACTAGAGGGCGCTGTTTACATTTTGTGAATCTGAAATATGTTACTTTGGGAGATTTTGTTGTACATTTCATATGAAAAATCCACTAGACGACACTGTCTACAACTTTATGAATCTGAAAAATGTGGATTTAAGTAGGTTTTATGGTACATTTCATATTACAATTCCACTAGAGGGCGCTTTTTGTGCTTTTGCAAATTGATATTGGTTACTTTTGGTATGTTTTATTGTACATATCATATAACAAATCCACTAGAGGGCGCTGTCTACATTTTTGGAGCACTTTCTACTGTCCACGTGAATCTGAAATACCTTCCTTCTGAAGGTTGCATTGCACATTTCAGATACAAATCTATTAGTGGGCGTTGTTTACATTTTCACGAAAGTTAAAATAAGCTGCTTCGGGTTTGTTTTGTTGTACATTTCATATGACAAATCCACTAGAGGGCGCTGTCAACATATTTATGAATCCAAAATACATTGATTTGAGTAAATTTAGTAATTATTTCAAAGGACAAATCCATGAGACAGCGCTGTGTACATTTTTGAGAATCTGAAATGCGTTAGTTACGGCACGTTTGTTGTACATTTAAGGTAACAAAACCACTAGAAGGCGCAATTACATTTATTTAAATTTGAAATATGTTATTTTCAGATTACAAATCCACCAAAGAACGCTGTCGACATTAGCGAATCTGAAATATGTTGATCTGCGTAAGTTATGTAGTACATTACAGATGACAAATCCACTAGAAAGTGCTGTCTACAGTTTTTTGAATCTGAATTACGTTGATCAGAGTAAGTTGTGTAGTACATTACAGATTGCAAATCCATTAGAGGGCGCTGTCCGTGTTTTGGCAAATCTGAAACACGTTACTTAGGGTATATTTTGTTGTACGTTTAAGGTGACGGGTCCGCTAGAGGGCGCCGTTTACATTTTTGCAATTCTGATATACGTTACTTTTGGTATAATTTATTGTACATTTCATATTACAAATCCACTAGAGGGCGCTGTCCGTGTTTTTGCAAATCTGAAAAACGTTACTAGGGTATATTTTGTTGTACGTTTCAGATCATTAATTTAGTTCTGAGCCTCAGTTCTGACTCCTGATCCGCGTTGAACTATCTGCAGCTTTCAGCTAATAAATGTCACGTAAAGTGTGTTTAAGTTCTCATTGGCAGCATTTAACACTGAATAACGCACATAATCAGTACCTGAGGGGGATCATCGTCATGGCAGTTTATGCTGTTGTTCTGCTGCGAAATCACAGAAATAAAAAACATTTATAAATACTTCGACATCGCAGATGGTTATTACAAAAACTCTGATTAGCATGGAAAAGATTGAGTTCATTGCACCGCGTGTTATGAACCTGAACTTGTTTTTGTCTCCTCATAGGTAGCAAAATGGCTCTGAAGTTTCTGAAGAAGAAAAGCACCAAGCTGAAGAGCTTCTTGCGGGAGTACAGCATCTCTCTCTATCTCTCTCCATGTCCCTTCATCATCAACATGTTCGGCATCGCCTTTGAGACAGACGAGTATTATGTGTTTGCGCAGGAATACGCTCCTTCTGGGGACCTGTTTGACATCATTCCACCACAGGTAATGCAGTGCTGTTTAAGCAGAGTAATGCACATCAGTAAAGTCAGAAATCAACTTTTTAAAAGTATTATTATTGGTTTAGGTCACAATTCATGCTATTAACTGCTGGATTATTGCCTGTAGCAAATTAGGCAATATAAAGCCATGGATCTGGCAACCTTTGCGCTGAGAGCGATGCCTATGTTTGATTACTGATTATTGTCGATGTTGTGGTGTGCAGGTGGGTCTGCCAGAGCCGGTGGCGAAGCGCTGTGTGCATCAGGTGGCCATCGCTCTCGAATACCTGCACTCCAAAAAACTGGTGCACCGAGACATCAAACCCGAGAACATCCTAATCTTCGACAAGGAGTGCCGTAAGGTCAAGCTGTCAGACTTCGGGATGGCGCGGCGCGCCGGTTCACCGGTCAAGCGTGTTAGCGGCACAATCCCATACACGGCTCCAGAACTCTGCGATACGTCCAAACACGACGGCTTCTGCGTGGACTACAGCACCGATGTGTGGGCGTTCGGAGTGCTGCTGTTCTGCATGCTAACCGGGAACTTTCCATGGGAAAAAGCGATGCCGTCTGATACTTTCTACGAGGAGTTTGTGCGCTGGCAGAAGCGGCGGACGGGTGCGGTTCCGTCACAATGGCGTCGATTTACAGACGAATCCCTGCGCATGTTTCGAAAGCTCCTAGCATTGGAGCAGGAACGCAGATGCAGCGTCAAGGAGGTTTTCGCACATTTAGGCCACCGCTGGATGCTTGATGGAACTAGCGGAAACCATCATCAATCCGTGCTCAACTCTTCATCAGAGGAAGACGAATTGCTTGTGGATCGTATGAAGCAGCAGACCTTATCTCCGACAGCTAACACGAGCAATGCTATTGAGCCCGGATCGGCTAACCACTTCACATCTGTGTCCACCAATAGCTCGGTGTCTTCCACTAACAGCTATGAGCGTTCGGCTAGAGACAGTCCTCCGACTAGCAGGATCCTGGTCACGACGCCTATAGAAATCTGCGTCTAAATGCACAGCTGATGAAATTAACATGCGCACAAGCTGACGCACACTCCTGTGATACGAGTTCTGCTGGATATTTAGCGCTGTTAAGGTGTGGTCACGTTAGCGGAACATCAGCTACATTTCACACACTACACATATCTCGATTTCAAACGATCTCTGTTGGTTTGCATGATATTTCTGAGACAAAAAGGTTTGTTTTGATACTAAACTCGTTACTTTCGTTAGTTGGAAATATGTGTCAGCCTACATTTTTACGAAAGTTGAAATACGTTGCTTTGGGTATGTTTTGTTGTACATTTCAGATTACTGATCCACTAGAGGGCGCTGTTTACATTTTTGCAAATCTGATATACCTTACTTTTAGTATGTTTTACTGTACATTTCCGATTACAAATCCACTAGAGGGCGCTGTCGACATTTTTGCAAATCTGTAATACGTTACTTTTGGTATGTTTTGTTGTACGTTTCAGATTATACATCCACTAGGGGGCGCAGTCTACATTTTTGTGAATCGAAAATACGTTGTTTAGGGTATATTTTGTGGTACATTTCAGATTACAAATCCACTAGAGTGCGCTGTCCACATTTTTGCAGATCTGAAAACGTTACTGAAGGTGTGTTTTGTTGTACGTTTTAGGTGACAAATCCACTAGAAGACGCAGTTACATTTTTGCAAATCTAAAATATGTTGATCAGAGTAAATTGTGTAGTACATTACAGATTACAAATCCATTAGAGGGCGCTGTCCATGTTTTGGCTAATCTGAAAAACCTTAGTTAGGGTATGTTTTGTTTTACGTTTAAGGTGACTAATCCACTAAAGGGCGCTATTTACATTTTCGTGAATTTTAAATACGTTACCTCTGAAGGTTGTGTTTTACATTTCAGATTACAAATCTAATAGAGGACGCTGTTTACTTTTTGTGCGAAACAGAAATACATTACTTAACGTATGTTTTGTTGTACATTTCTTATGACATACCCACTAGAGGGCGATGTCTACAACTTCATGCATCTGAAATGTTGATCTGAGTAAGTTTTGTAGTACATTTCAAAAAATAAATTCACTAGAGGGCACAGTCTACTGTCCATATTTTTGTAAATATAAAATGCATTCCTACAGGTAGATTTTTGTTGTACGTTAAGGTGACAAATCCACTAGAGGGCACTGTCTATGTTTTGTCAATCTGAAATACTATGCTTATTAACATTTTGTTGTACGTTTCAGATACATATCTTGTACACATTCATGAGTTGTCATTTGTTGTACAGATTGGCTAGCGAACCACTGACTTCTGCGCACTGACCAGATAGTTTTACCTTGATTTTACATTACTTTTAAGTTTTTTTTTGTGGAAACGTATTAACTACAAATCGTACGCACCTTTAGGTTGTCTCGTAGCATTTATTTGGTGTTGCGCAAAAATCTTTTATTTGCTGATAATATGACATCATTAGTGTGAAAAGGAACAGAAGTAGTGTTCATACTGCCCCCTAGTGTTCATTATATCTACAGTCAAATGTATGTAAACGTTTCGTGATTTCACAAAAATAATGTCCGAGGCACATATTTTCAGTGGATATTGTACAAATGTGCTGGAAAAAGGTAAACGTGACCACACCTTTGCAAAGCAAAAAATAGTTTTCCGTCGGCTCGACTAACATTCCTAACATCTTTAGAAAGAAGTCTATGAAATTAAGAAACGTTGCACTGAAACGGTGAAGTACCACGCAGGTCGTGCTTTATAATGCGTAATGAATAAATGGACAAAGCTTAAATGCAGTTCCAGCTCGGGAAGAAATACGAGGGCTTCCCAAAACGTCTCTAAAGCAATATCTGACGCAAAAAAGCCGAGGAGAATATCTGGCATCTTCATTCTTGTGAGGAATTCATCAAAAACCGTTTCTGTGAATACGCAAACCGTGAGGACTGGGACTTTCTGATGAGAGCGGCTGGTGTTTGCTGTGATACTTTACTGTGTGTGTGTGTGTTATTTTTGTTATTTAAAGCCTTTACTTCAAGGTTTACGACACTGATCATGTCACAGATATTGCATGATGTTTATAAATCTGACTTGTAGACTGTTGCTTTACTTTAATTGATCAGGATTCTTGCTATTCTCAGAAATATATATTTTTTCAGTTGATCTGTACTGTAGTGCTTATCAAACATCAATATTTAGAGTTTATTTCATTTTAGTACTCTAGCACAGGTGTGCCAAACTCACTTTTTAAAAAGATATGAAGTTAATATTGCTGAAAATGATGTGAAGGTCTTCTGCAAGATGAATTTGAAACTATGGGCAAGTGTGTTTCTTCATAACGTTTTAGAGTATTTATAGTTTCTGATGAGTTGTGTATTGGTTGTAGTGGTGACATTGCTGTGTCTATTTGACGATTGACTGATGGAAGGTGAAATTTAGCTGTATTATCCCCAGCCCTTTTTGTCTTGACACTTTTCTATACTGATTTAATAAAGCTGTGGCGAATAAATTACCTAGAAATCAATTTGACATCAATTCTCAACTCTAGGTTAGTTTCTCAACACCAGAGGGCGCTCTAGGCTAGTATTTACCAGCAGAGGTTGCTCTAGGCTAGTATTTAGCAACATCTAGTATGGCATTTGTTGTTTAAAAACTGGCCTAGCATCCTCTGGTGTTAACAACAAGCCTAAAGTGCCATCTGGTGTTAGACAATAACCTAGAGCGCCATCTGGCGTTAAACACTACCCTTGAGTGCTGTCTACTGTTAAAATACTAGCCTAGAGCGCTGTCTACTGTTAAAATAATAGTCTGGTGTTAAATAACATCTGGTGTTAAACACTAGCCTAGAGTGCTCTCTGGTGTCTTAAAAACTAGCTTAGAGCACCCTCTGCTGTTAAACAGTAGCCTAGAGCGCCCTCTGCTTTTAAGCCTAGAGCGCCCTATGCTGTTATAAACTAGCCTAGACATCCTCTGCTGTTAAGCCTAGAGCGCCCTCTGCTGTTATAAACTAGCCTAGAGCGCCCTCTGCTGTTAAACACTAGCCTAGAGCGCCCTCTGCTGTTATAAACTAGCCTAGAGCACCCTCTGCTGTTAAGCCTAGAGCTTCATCTGCTGTTATAAACTAGCCTAGAGCGCCCTCTGCTTTTAAACACCAGCCTAGAGCACCCTCTGCTGTTATAAACTAGCCTAGAGCACCCTCTGCTGTTATAAACTAGCCTAGAGCGCCCTCTGCTGTTATAAACTAGCCTAGAGCACCCTCTGCTGTTAAGCCTAGAGCTTCATCTGCTGTTATAAACTAGCCTAGAGCGCCCTCTGCTTTTAAACACCAGCCTAGAGCACCCTCTGCTGTTATAAACTAGCCTAGAGCACCCTCTGCTGTTATAAACTAGCCTAGAGCGCCCTCTGCTGTTATAAACTAGCCTAGAGCACCCTCTGCTGTTAAGCCTAGAGCTTCATCTGCTGTTATAAACTAGCCTAGAGCGCCCTCTGCTTTTAAACACCAGCCTAGAGCACCCTCTGCTGTTATAAACTAGCCTAGAGCACCCTCTGCTGTTATAAACTAGCCTAGAGCACCCTCTGCTGTTATAAACTAGCCTAGAGCGCCCTCTGCTGTTAAACACTAGCCTAGAGCGCCCTCTGCTGGTAAACATTATTGATTCAAGTAAGAATAACGCATCTTGTGAATCTGAAAGTGGATTTCTGGAAGGATTTTTTCGCCACAGCTCTATAGTTTAAACTAAACACAAAACAATGTGCGCAGATGTGCACTGGCGGTCTTATTCTAATATCTGCATGACATCGATGAAAAAACAAAAGACTGAACCGTTTTAAATGCGTGAGCACTGGTGTAATGTGAATTTTCTTTTTGCTGTCACAAAATCTTGCATAATGTTTCAGAGTGAACTTGTAGTAGATGACGTAGGGCGAAACACCAAGCAGCCACATGAAGTGTTCGTTTCGTTGTCGTGTTTGTACGCTGCCGCTGATGTTGTCGTTAATTTCCCACAGAGATCAAGAAATACTGGAGAAATCCCGCAGGGTAAACGCATTAAAACAGACAAGTCTTGAATACAAACAAACCGGGAGTTAATATTGGGATTTCTATAGTTGGTCTTTATATGTGTCCTGTTTAACGCTACACGTCTGCATGAGCTTTCAGCGTATGAATTACAATCTGAAGTATATACTCACAGCATCAACCTCTTAGCATTAAAAGTGGACCATTGATCTGTAGGAGAACATTAGTATCATGTTCACAGATACCCAATTAGTAGACATCGGTGGCCATCAGACGCATCCAGTAGTGTTTTTAATTTAGTAACGAGTTATTGAGAATTAAAACTGTGATTGAAGCATTTCAGTTTCTGCTGATAGTTTTGATTTTGGCTGTCTGTGGGCTTTCCGTCATCAAAACAGACTCTGAAACTCGTCTAAACTCTGTCTTTGCAATACAACTGTCTTCCTGTGAGTTCAGATTTATTGGGAAATAATAAATCTTGACTGAAATGTGTTTGTGTGTCGTTGTGTTGGGTATTATTAATCACATTCACTATTATATTGTACTATTGTTATATATTTTACTTGGGGAAAAATATTTTTTTAAAACGAATTTCGTATATGGTTTGTCTCTGTTTAAATATTTTTCTTGCTCAGTTATCTTCTAAATAAAAATAGAAGAACGAATAACATTTGAGGTGAAGTGCTTCAAAACAGATCCTCTACGCTTCAACTGTGCCGAATCACGAACTGGATTCTCAAATAAAATAACAATCTAACCTAAATAAAATTAAAGTGAAATATTCCGTTTCTGGGACGCCTATATTGAACTGTTTTCTGTGTTGCATCGGTCAGTTACAATTTAATTAATTTAATCAAATAATTTTAATAAGCAGGACAGGTTTTACGATATTCGCAACAGCACCGAACATGTTCCCACACTACCTCAGTAGAACAAACTTATTTTGGAAGGGTGAGAGAACCGACACTATTTCGCGGGAATTCATAACTTTTTGATTTAGTGGTTAATTTGTATGAATTTGTACGATCTAATTCGTACAATTTATTACGATACGCTCATCACCCAATGATGATTGGGGTTAGGTATGGGTGTCACGCCTTTTTAAAATCGTACATTTTCGTGCGACGTAATTCTTACGAATTTATGCGAATTAGACATTAAACTGACAAAACGTAAAACACTTACGTTTTTGGCAAATGTCTCAATTAAGTTTATCTGTTTTAAAGAGCGTTTGCTCATCTTAAACTTTACTCATCATAGCTGTTAATAGCTATCTGAATTGTAATTGTTAGTGTGCAGAAAAACCGCCAGCAGAACTAAAGCCAATAGATATCTTTACGCATCTCGCACCATGCAAGTACATAGCTACACGCTTTAAAACACTCAAACACACACCTTTATTTATTCTCATTCTTTCTTGCTTGCTTTGTCAATATATCATAGTGTTTACTGTTTAATAATCCATTTAAATTATGTAATAAATAAATAAATAAATTAAAAAGCAATATTAATGGTAGGAACGCACAGTGCCACTTCACACACTCATACACTATGGACAGTGTAGTTGATCAGTTCCCCTATAGCGCATGTGTTTGGACTGTGGGGGAAACCGGAGCACCCGGAGGAAACCCACGCCAACACGGGAGAACATGCAAACTCCACACAGAAACACCAACTGACCCAGCCGGGACTCAAACCAGCAACCTTCTTACTGTAAGGCCACAGTGCTAACCACTGAGCCACCGTGTCGCCTACACAAAGCAAACACAAATGAGGCTGACAGCACTTTAGGCAAAATAAAAGACGCCTGTTTATTACGCTGCGTTCAGTCAGGTCAGGATACATTTCGGGGTGTAAGAGTGCGAAGAACACAAAACCAGCTCAACCCTGAGAGTCAGATCTGAAGAGAGACAGAAAATAACAACGCAAACTTTGGTACATCTGGTGTAAAGTAAAAAAACAAAGCCACAACTTCAGTCAAGTTAGAGAAAAGCAAAGCCACGGCTGACATTCCCACAGATCTGGAAACCCAAACACAGAGATGAGCAACACAAATCAAACCAAAGCTGCCCAAATCACACTCAATCCTTGGCACAGATTGCAAAATAATCAATAACTTTGGACAAAAATACAAGATATAAATAATGTGTACACGCTGACGCTGCTTTTCTGCACATGTACAGCAGGAATTCGCCAACAGTGATTTGTCTGAGCAAGGCAGTTAAATAAACTCTAAACTAAAGCATTATGGATTAATATCTGCACATCAGAACTATTGAGTTTAAAGTCCAGGTCACTTCTGATGGCGTCAGCATGATATGCCATTCCTAACACAAGCTTATCGTCTCCATTAAGACTGAACCACGTCTACAGATATCATTCAGTGGAGGAGATCATCTTTAAGTGCATAGAAGTGACGAGAAATCAGCCTGCTGTGATGTCAGACATGTGTGACTCAATGATCATATTCAACACTTCACTACATGTTTATCACTCAGCTTTCACAATTAATGGAATTGACAAATGCATCCATCAGTGTTCATCAATGTGCGCAATTACAAGAGACGCTGAGCTGGAATGAATATGATTTATGCTTATTTTTGTCATTTAAATAAAATAGAAATATATATATATTTTAAACAGAAAATAGGGCGGCATCATGGCTCAGTGGTTAGCACTGTGGCCTCACAGCAAGAAGGTCACTGGTTCGAGTCCCGGCTGGATCAGACACTCATTAACTGTGGCCAGTTTAGTTGATCAGTTCCCCTATAGCGCATGTGTTTGGACTGTTGGGGAAACCGGAGCACCCGGAGGAAACCCACACCAACACGGGGAGAACATGCAAACTCCACACAGAAACACCAACTGAGCCAGCCGAGATTTGAACCTGTGATCTTCATGCTGTGATTGGGTTTGTCTATTTCTGACCCATCGCCAGGCTGTTTTAATCTAGTTTTGGGTCAATTATGGACAAAATGGGTCATTTTTTCAATCGATTTCTTCAAAGCTGGATTAAATCAACCTGGTGTTGGGTCAAATATGGACAAACCCATTTATTGGGTATTTTTTCAAAATAATTAAGTGACATTATAATTCATTTGAAAAAAAAAAAAAAACCCTCCAATGATTGGGTTTGCTCATTTTGACCCAACACCAGGTTGATGTAATCCAGCTTTGGGTCAATTATGGACAAAATGCATTCAATTGAATTATAATAGCACAATGATTGGGTTTATCTAAGTCCAAGTGTTCATTTCTGGGTTGTTTTAATCTAATTTTGGGTCAACAAACCCAACTGTTGGAGTCATTTATAAATCTGAGCTGAACTGACACTTTTTAAGAGTCCATATTTAACTCAACACTGGGTTAAAACAACCCAGCATTTTTTAAATGTCCTAAAATGGCTTAGTCCCTTTATTAATCAGGGATCGCCACAGTGGAATGAACCGCCACTCATCCAGCATGTTTTACACAGAGGATGCCCTTTCAGCTGCAACCCAGTACTGGGAAACACTCATACACACTCCTTCACTACAGCCAGTGTAGTTGATCAGTTCCCCTATAGCGCATGTGTTTGGACTGTGGGGGAAACCAAACATGCAAACTCCACACAGAAACACCAACTGACCCAGCTGGGACTTGAACTAGTGACCTTCTTGCTGTGAGGCCACCGTGCCACCCATGTCCTGTCATGCTTACCTTTCATAAGTGTATTTTTGCAAAAAATAAAAACTAAATAAATATTATTTATGATTATGAAGGGATTTATATTCAGGCAAGCACAATATTTAATTCGGGTCTCACTTTAAAATAAAGTTTTATATTAGGTAATGTATTTATTAACATGAACAATTCAATATTTATTCTTATTTTTTACATTAGATAATGCTAATAAAGTCCTTCATTAATAGTTCATGTTAACGAATGAGCACTCATTAATAAATGCTGTACTGCTATTGTTCATTATTAGTCAATACTTACTCCCAGGGCTGCTTTTTTGTATTAAAGTTGATATTAAGCCGCACCATACTGGTGTTTAATAACATCTAATGATCACGAGGTGGGTCATCAGCCAAACGTTAAACCCCCAACCTGGAGGACCAATTATTACTAAATACATTAACTAATCAAATCTTATTGCAAAGTGATCTAAATTTGTTGAACGAAATGTCAATTCTTCATAAATGAAGACATATAAAGAGTTAGGAATTAAAACGTGAACACACTTGTGCCCTAAACACACAAATATGACACACAAACAGACAAAAACACACATTATACAATAGTCAAATTAACCCAGAGCAGCACGCCTGTCAGATATCGAGCATTTGTTTACTTCATCTCCAGTTTTCAGATGGACACATATCTGTAATCACCCCTTATACCCTTAATAGTGCACTATTTGAGGGAACAGTCATTTCTAGTGGTGTTCGAAATGAGTGGATGATCTGAAGTGCACTCAATCAATCCCACAATGCACTGCAAAAATAAGTGTACAACCCATGTGCACTCGACAGCTAGCAAACACCTATATTGCCAACTCAGACTGACTCTGAATATGTACCCCTGTAAACATTTCTGGAGAGCGCCAAATACGTTCCAGGAGATACGTTTTTTGCAGTGTTTGTTTCTGCAAATTCACAAGAGGCCGCTGTGTACGCTTTTTTTAGATCTCAAATGTTCCCACATCTCCAGTTTTCAGATGCACAGATATCTGAAATCGCACCTTACACCCTTAATAGTGCACTATTTGAGGAAGCAGCCATTTCTAGTGGTGTTTGAAATGATAGTGGATGATCTGAAGAGCACTTAATCAATCCCACAATGCACTGCAATAATGATTGTACAACCCTAGTGCACTTGACAACACCCATAATGCCAACCCAGGCTCATTCTGAATATGTACCCCTATACACATTTCTGGAGAGCGCCAAATACTATCCAGGAGATACTTTTTTTGCAGTGTTTGTTTTTGCAAATTCACCAAAGGCCGCTGTGTACGCTTTTTTTTTAGATCTCAAATGTTCCCACATCTCCAGTTTTCAGATGAACAGATATCTGAAATCACCCCTTACACCCTTAATAGTGCACTATTTGAGGGAGCAGCCATTTCTAGTGGTGTTTGTAATGATAGTGGATGATCTAAAGAGCACTCAATCATTCCCACAATGCACTGCAATAATGATTGTACAACCCTAGTGCACTTGGCAGCTAGAAAAAACACCCATAATTTCACCCTAGGCTTATTCTGAACATGTCCCCCTGTATACATTTCAGGAGAGCGCATAATACATCCCAGGAGCTACGTTTTTGCACGCTTTTTCAGATCTCAAATTTCTCTTGCGAGTGGCATTCACGCCTGCTGTTCTCACACAAATCCACTAGACCAGTGGTTCTCAAACTGTGGTACGTGTACCACTAGTGGTACGCAGGCTTCCTACTAGTGGTACGCGGAGGAATGAAATATGTCATGTACATGCTATACACATTTCAAAATGTATCAAAAATGATGTATATAATATACCATATATGACATGTAGCATATATTTCTGAGGTAATCTGCCACGTTTTTTAACTTTGCAGAGTTGTAGCTGCTTTACTGGGCCTACTACGCTACTGTATTTCAATACTGCTCATTTTGGTGGTACTTGGAGAGACAATTTTTTCTGAGGTGGTACTTGGGGAAAAAAAGTTTGAGAACCATTGCACTAGACTCTACTGTCGACTGACTCCGCCCTCCTTCCTTAAACCCAACCGATAGTGTTACCTAAAGCCCCGACTGACCTCCCTTGTTACTTGTTTATTTTGTTTTTGGACTTTTTTCCTTTCTGGAACGGATCTTCAGCAGACTCAAACCTCGTCCTGGCTGTCAGCTCTGCACCACTGGAGAAACTGGTAACAACGGAAAAGCTGTCCATGTGAAGGTAAGTGGTGCGTAATGTTCGTTTTAAAGGCAAAAAGCAGCCATATGTACTTCTGGCTACATAACTCGTGATCTGCAGAAATGTATATAAGGGTACATCTTCAGAACGAGCCAATGTAGCATAATGCACTGCGAGAGCTGACTGAGTTTCCACATCTGACCACTAGGTGGCGTCTAAAGCACAATCCTATTGGTGTGTAGTTAAAAATAAGTGATTTAATTAAAGTGACGATGTATATCATGACAGAAATCTGACATCTTTGTTTCATTACTAATAGACTGAGTGTTCAATAACATGATCTGAGTGGGAGGATTAAAATATAACCCTCATCTGATCATCCTCATTTCTGTATTTTCGGATTCATTTTTTGAATTGCAGTATGGGATCCTAATCTTTCTTCACAACAACTTTTACCCTTGAAAAGTGATTTTATGACCATTTTTAACAGTGCAGAGTGCTGTTCTGTCTGGATTGGTGTTGTGTTTTACACTATAAACACCTTGTAATAAACTGCAGCACATGTTCCGCTACTCTACACACTCCTCTAGATATTTCTTCTTATATTATTTCAAATCACTAAAATGTCAATAAAAGTCACTTGGTTAAACTGAAGAGCAGAATATTCAGTATCAGAAGTGGACAGAGCAGAGATCAACATCCCATAATGCAGTTCAGCAACACAAACAAACACTGAAACTGCTGATGAAGAGATGCTTTTGACAGTGTAGGGAACAGTGAACGAGGGTATAGTGGGCGATTTCGGATACAGTGTGAATCTCCTGCAGCAGTGAGGTCTTTAAGGCTTTCCGAATGTGAAGCTCCAGACTGAATCACTGAAGTCTGAACACGCTCTCAGCATCTGAAACACAGAAAAGCTCCAGAATCAGTTCAGATATGGAGAGAGAGTAATCAAACAAGACAGAACTCTTCAAAAACAATGAATTTGGAGGAAATTAGACTTGTAATAAATGGAAATTAGAGCACTTCTTCTGAAACATGTGTGTATATTTCTACAGACGGTCAATCTAAGCCCTAAGGCTTTTCAAATGCAGAGTGAATCGAACCATATAAAATATTATTAGGCTTAACAGCATCCAAAATTAAGCGTGTTATCTGCTTAACTACATTCATTGGATTTGATTCTCAAGGCAAAGTGTTTGTGTCAATGAAACAACAAATACTGTACATCATAACGTGTACAGCATTCAGTATTTCTCAGAAAATGAGCCACACCTGAGTGAATGTCACAGTTGCGGTGTTAAAAAAACTAAACAAAGACTCATTACACAACATTAAACTAACGAAGACCTCACTGCGTCTGTATACTGTGCATATAGAGTTCTTCTTCTATTACCCACATTTGTAAGTCACTATAAACACATCTAAATTAATATAATTAATTAATATTAATATAAATATGTGTGTAGGCGTCGCAGTGGGTAGCATGTTCGCCTCACAGCAAGAAGGTCGCTGGTTCGATCCTCGGCTCAGTTGGTGTTTCTGTGTGGAGTTTGCATGTTCTCCCTGCGTTCGCGTGGGTTTCCTCCGGGTGCTCCGGTTTCCCCCACAGTCCAAACACATGTGGTACAGGTGAATTGGGTAGGCTAAATTGTCCGTAGTGTACGAGTGTGTGTGGATGTTTCCCAGTGATGGGTTGCGGCTGGAAGGGCATCCGCTGCGTAAAAACTTGCTGGATAAGTTGGCGGTTCATTCCGCTGTGGCGACCCCAGATTAATAAAGCGACTAAGCCGACAAGAAAATGAATGAATGAAAATATGTGCGTCACATTATATATATATGAAAATCCTGTAAAATATGATACTGTCAGCACAAAACAATTAAATCTAGAAACATATTTAGTTATCGAATATAACGATAATAGAAGTCGAGAATAAAGCAAATTGAAGATATATTGTGGCTTTCTCTTTTATTATAGAGACATGCATGCATTTCTGAAAGGTCTGCATGTGTTTTGACATTTAAAAATGGAACTGAGCGAGTGCAAACCTGTTCTCCAGTAAATGCAGTGTTTATTTGTTTATGATTAGTGATTATATTTCTTTCTTTGAGATGTTGAAGATGTCTGACCTGCCGTGCTGCTCTCCGTCTGCTGTCACCTGTTGATCTGATGATATGAGGAGTTCTAATACATCACAAAAACAAGATTTCACATGATTATAAAAGATGCAAATATATATATATATATATATATATATATATATATATATATATATATATATATATATATATATATATTTATATTTTATATAGTTAAATAAAGCAGTACATTTAATGTCATTAATGCACAGGCATTTCTCAAACACCCACCTTGTGCTTTCTGCATTTCATTGAGTAATTATCCTCATTTAATACACAGCCTATAAACAAAAACAAAACAACCATCAGCAAATAACACACACACACACACACACACACACACACACACACACACAAAACAACTAGAAACACAAATATTGTTAATGTTTTTTTTCAATTTGCAGTTTCTTTTTTTTTCCATAATATTTTTATTTTTCGTTTTCAGTTTGTACACATTGAAATGCAACATTTTACAAACATTTTACAACAATAACCTTGTTGCATTTACAAATTATACAAAATAAAAGGATATATATATTTATAATAAAAACTAAAAGCAAACAACAAACAAACGAGCAAACAAACAACAAAAAATAAATAAATAAAATAAAAAAATAAAAAATAATAATGGTAATTATTTTTTTCAATAATGGTAATCTATTCAAACTTGACAATTATAATCATACTGAGTACTAGGCACAGAAAATATATATTAAATAATGTATCAATGCAAAACTATAAAGCTGGAACTGCAATTTCCATCAAAAATTATTCATCAACTTCTAAATTTGCATTTTCACTTCAAAATGCATCTGTTTAAGTGTGAGGGTCTCTATCACACTGTATGGGGAGACTCAACAAATAATAATAAACATTTACAAAGCGCTGTAATACTTTTGAAAATCATGATTGCCATATATTTATATCTATGACTAATATCAGATGGACAGAAAGTGATTCCTAATATTGGTGTACACCATGGTTTCAAATAAATTCACTTTAATGTGTGACTGAATGGTTGTCATAAATGAAAACTTTCTCATTTCAAATGAGTAGCAGCTTTAATTGGAAACAGTATTGCATACATCATGACTTAACAAGCGGATTTAATCATATATTTTCCATTATTTACAACTTTCAACCCTAAAATTTGAGTATTTGATTTTTTTAATAAAACAAATACAATTAATAAATAAATATAAATATATAAAACTCAAACAACTTCAATTCAAACCTCACTATTTCATTTGCTGACTCTGTTAAAGCATCACAGTTTGACCCTGAGAGCCTCACATGATGTGAAATCTTTAAAGGAATAAATAAAAGATATGAAAGAGAAGAGATGTTTGTTGCTCCATCAGTGACAGAAGCTGCTCTTCAGTCTCCGCACACTGAACTTGTGTTTTCAGCAGGATGTTCTACAGTTTACATTATTACTGTCATGCACAGGCACAGCTCTGCTTTCATTTGCTGTCTGTGTGTGTGTGTTCAAGTTTGAGCTCGTCTGATTGGGCAAACACATCATGCCTGATTTGTGTGTGTGTGTGTGTATGTGTGTCAGATTCAGCAGTTGTTCTCAGTGTTTCCTCTAATATCTGTTCTTCTGGAGAAAGTCTGATTAGTTTTATTTGGGCTAGAATAAAGCAGTGTTTAATAGTGTTAAAGTCATGTTAAGCTCAATATTATTCTCCCCTTCAGCAATATTAGTGTTGGATTGTCTCCAGAACAAACCACTGTTATACAATGACTTGCCTAATTACCCTAACTTTACCCTAATTACCCTAGTGAAGCCTTTACATGCCATTATAAGCTGAATATTAGTCAAATATCTAGTCTAATGTTATGTGCTGTCATCATGATGAAGAGAAAAGAAATCAGTTATTAGAGACGAGTTATTAAAGCTATTACGTGTAGAAATGTTGAAAAATATCTTAGCATTAAGCAGAATTTGGGGGGGAAATATACTGGGTTAGGGTTAGTTTGGGCTAATAGTTCGGACTTCAACTGTATGTGTGTGTGTGTGTGTGTGTGTGTGTGTGTGTGTGTGTGTGTGTGTGTGTGTGTGGGATAGTGCGCGTCTCACCTGACTGTACTGCACAGGTGTAGTGGTATTTGTTCAGACAGCCTTTATAAACACAGCCCAGCGTCGCTCCTGTTCTCTGACAAGTGGAACAAACCTGCACAAGACACGTTCAAGCATCATTACAGCCCTGTGCTTCATGTTAACCGCTGCCTGTCCATACATCGCTACATTTGATTGATCTATTTTACCTGTGTAAATGCAAAGGTGTGTTGGATAACTCATATTATCAACAGAATATTCTCATAAAATCTAAATCGGAAATCACATCAAATTAAATCATGAAGGAATCGGTACATCACTAAAACCAATGAAGTGCACTGGCCTTGATTTCAGTCTCATTTTTATGTGTGTGTGTGTGTGTGTGTGTGTGTGTGTATGTGTGTACTGAGAAATGTCTATGTGGTTCAGGGGTGGCCAAACTCGGTCCTGGAGGGCCGGTGTCCAGCTGAGTTTAGCTCCAACTTGCTTCAAAACACTTCCCTGGAAGTTTCTAGTATACCTGGCAAGGGCTTGATCAGCTGGTTCAGGTGTGTTTGATTAGGGTCGGAGCTAAACTCTCCAGGACACCGGCCCTTCAGGACCAGTGGTTGTTCATTCATTAATTAATTTTCTTTTCGGTTTAGTCCCTTTATTAATCAGGGGTCACCACAGCGGAATGAACCACCAACTGTTCCAGCATATGTTTCACACAGCAGATGCTCTTCCAGCTGCAACCCAGCACTGGGAAACACCCATACACACTCATACACTATGGTCAATTTAGTTGATCAGTTCCCCTATAGCGCATGTGTTTGGACTGTGGGGGAAACCGGAGCACCCGGAGGAAACCCACGCCAACACAGGGAGAACATGCAAACTCCACACAGAAACACCTACTGATCCAGCTGAGGTTCGAACCAGCGATCTTCTTGCTTTGCGGCCACAGTGCTAACCACTGAGCCACCGTGACGCCCTTGAGTGATTCACCACATCTTTAATCAGGGGTGTCCAAACTTGGTCCTGGAGGGCCGGTGTCCTTCATAGTTCAGCTCCAACTTCTTTCAACACACCTCCTTAGAAGTTTCTAGTATACCTAGAAGGAGCTTGATTAGCAGGTCAGGTGTGTTTAATTGGGATTGGAAATAAAACATGCAGGACACCGGCCCTCCAGGACCGAGTTTGGACACCCTTGTCCTTAATCATCAGGGTTTTAAAAAAACATCTTACCGACACTTTTGCCAACTTGACAGCATTTTCCAGCCCATACAGTTTTCCCCGAACCAGAAACACCCCTGCAGACCAAATGGCGCAGTCCTCATGAAACCAGTGCTCTGTTTCGTGCAGAGGAACCACCGGCGGACTGTACCAATCAATAGGGGAGTCTGTCCTGACTCTCCTGGCTGGCTCGCCAACTCCGCTCCATCTCCAATCCAGAGAGTCTGTCCAGTTTCCCTCAGCAGCGGTTTTTCCTCTAAAAGACGAGTCTGAGTCACTATTCTCGTCCTCTTGATGATTAGAAGCAACTTTGGAGGCTGGTTTGAAGCCTTCCGCATAATACGGCCCATGCAGATCTCCGAGATCCATCGCATTAGATGAGCTCCCGCAGAGACAACAAACCAACAAATCCTGATGTTCGCCGTCCATGCTAACCCGTCCATGTTGAAATCCAGGAGTCGCGGGCGTTATCCCGGACAAAAAACCTGCAGACGTCTTACTCTTCCCTCGTTTCTCATTGGGATAGTTGACAATCGTACAATTCGAAAACTGCACGCGAACATACGGCGCAAACGAATCATCCCGCACCTCCTTCTTCTTCAGCTTGAGACATTTGAGATTTATTTCAGGTTCCTGCGCAGAGAAGAAGGGTGTGCTTTTGCATTTCTTATTTTTGCGTTTGACGGATTTCTTTATTGAAACGTTATGTTTGTGCACTGCTTGATTCCCTTGGTTGCTTGTTAACGAACTACAGTTTCTGTTCGTCGACTCATTCTTTGTGCATTTTAAAAACGTCTTTACAGGAGTTGAGGTAGATATCGTGGCTTTGCGTCTGCTCGAGCGTCTGACTTCTGTTGGCTCGGTGTGTACATGCTGCACTTCTGTCTTTTCAGCCAACACACTGTTGTGTGTTTTTACCCTCGATGGTTTGTTTGTTCCTCGAGGTTTTACCACACGAGTTGATTTGCATCTGAAGAGTTGCATGTTTTGAACGATGGCTTCGAGCCTCATGCCTCGTCCAGCTCTCGGCGGCAGCGTCTTCCTCTCTGGAATCTTCTTAGTTTTAATGACCAAGTCATCACTTGTTTTGAACGCATCTGATGCGTCGTTCTCGGTTTGCTTGGTTAGTTTGACACATGATGATGAGTTCATGACTTCGATCGCTTCTTTTTGCATTGCATCATTCATTAGTCCACTAGGGGGAGTTGCATTTTGTGCACTATCATCTTGCGTTTGCTCTTCGGAAGGTAACGCAGAATCTAACGGACTTACAAACTCTGGGTTTAACGATAAAGCGAAGCTCGTGGCTTCATTGGGTAGGATGAGCGGCTCCTCAGATCTGGAGATCAAAAGCACAAGCTCTGGATTAACGTTCGGATGCAATCCTTCAACATCGCCGCCGTTTTCCTCTGGAAATCCTCCTTGGAATGGATTCACACTCCAGAGCCCATTCGCAGCTCCGTTCTGGAGTTCGTCCACGCTGATGGGAAATCTGCACTCGCCTGGATTCGCTTGTAAAGACTTGAGCGTTTCCAATGCAAGGTTTTCCACATCTGGCTGCTGAAGGTAGCACAGCGCTGCCATGTTTTCCACGACCTGCTCTGGCGTCAGGAATCCCAACTGTTCGCAGGTTGTTAATCCGAGTGGTACGGAGACCTGCTGGACACAGTCCACATCCCCAGCATCCGCTGCCAGCTTCCCTGCATCGTACGCTCGGAGAAACGCCGAAGGAACGCCGTACACTGGGGAATGCTCTGAAAAGAGGTGCGAGCGGCTGACGTAGGACAGCGTGACAGTGGTGTTGGAGAACGCTTCGTCCGGCTGGATCTGACCTGCGGGAATCGTCGGCTCGGAGTCGCTCTCTGAAAGCAGAATCCCATTGCTGGTCCCGGGACCGAGGATCCAGGCTGGCGTCGGGACCACACGCAGAGCGTCGATGGGATTGGCTTTTAATAAACACTCAATGTCAGGCAGACTGCAGGCGGAGGACAGATCCTGAGGCTGGAGAGCGTCCGAGCTGCTGGGAGCCTCCTCCATATCAGCTGAGAGCAGAAACACGGGCGTTACTTTCACTTATAATGCACAGCTAAAACAACACTTCACCACTGACACTTTTATTATTCTATACTTGTCCTTCTTTCGCCTTTGACCCAATACTATCCAAATGGAGATCTGAAAGCACTTAAAGTGCGCATAATATCAAAACTAGCCATAGTGATTTTGTTAGCTCACGTCGCTAGTTTTGTGCTGAATTAATCTGTGCATGTCATTGAGAAAAATAAAATAGTTTGCCATTGTGACTTTAATTGAAATCTGAGAAAGCACTTCCTGCCTGTTTCCAGTCAAATTCTCAGATTAGGTCTGTCTGAGGTATTGGGCGGGGCTAACATACTTAGTCACACCTCTCCAGCTGTCAGTTCGTTATGTCAACAAACAGGAATGGGGAGGAGGAGGAGTCTGTTAGGCTGTATTAACTCCACATACCCTTTCCCCCATCCTTCTGAATGACATGCCTACTTCATCCAATCAGCTCGCAGCAGAAAAAACAAGCCACACCCACTGTTCTCTCATTTAATATCGTTTCTCTAGGAACTGCATCGCAATATGAAAAAAACAACTTCTGTTTCATTCCACTTTACTACTTTATTTCTCCAAATAAATTTTAATAATCTAATTATTATTATTATGATATATACATACATGCGACACAATTAAGATGTTCATACTGTCTAGTAAAGCAAAATATTAGTAAATATTAAAAATTATACAAGTAATTGTCAGTATAATTACTTACTGTAGAAATACATCACATTAATAAACAACTAGCATACTGTCTCTACATACTATAGCATTATTGACCCAGAATAACAGTAACCCAGACACTTACATCACTTTAGGTTAATGTTTGGACACTAAATAATTCCCGTTTGTGCTTAATCACCATGAAATACCTGCTGTCCGCGTTCACACTGGAGCGTTTTAACGGATTCAGAAGCAAATAAACGGACATATTGTGAGCTCTCAAACAATCACGATCCAAAAATACCAACATTTCATCTTTACAATGAGCTGAACCTGAGTGATGTTGTCTAATATTTAATTAGAAGTAAACTGGATCACTTCAGATAAACATCACAAACCGAATTCAATTCGGATTCAGTTTTTTTATTTAAGTGTCGGAGTTTCTGTTATTATGCTAACGTTAGCATAGCATGATATTAGCATGCTGGCTAATATACAGTCTCTCCATAATAACAGAAAAAGAGTCGGTAAAGCGGCTAATAAACGCGTGTGGTCAGGAACTGAAGCAGGCGAGTTTCAGCGGTGAACAGGCCGCGATCCAGCCGAACAAAGAGACTCACCGGGCCGACGCGTTCAGGTTCAGAGTCGCTCCATTGCGCCGAACGGAACTCTGTTAGCGAGCGGAACCATAGCGGATACCGGGAGAACGAAGTTCGAAACCCGAGAGGATCCTCATGCTTTAACGAGCGCTGGAACCACCGGAGCTGCTGCTTGCTGTCAGAGCCCGACTGGAGCAGTGCATTCTGGGATTTGTTGTTGTTGGTGTACTTCACTGTATTTAAGGCAAGTTTATTTCCCACAGCACATTTCAAACACAGTAATTCAAAGTGCTTTACAGAAACAAGATTAAAAGAATCAAATCTAAGAAATAAAAACAACAAATATTAAAATAGAATATATGAATACTGAATTAAAATGAGTTAAAAACAGCTTAAACAAAATATATAGAAGATAAGTGTGTGTGTGTATAAACATGGAAAACTAAAAGAGAAGAATGGGTGTTATTTAACAGTTTTAGGAGAACTTTGATGACACTTCATGTTGAGGACTGTCTAATATAATAAAATAAAACATTTATAAATATAAAATTAATATTTATAGCTACAGATTGATGTTGAATATATATACAGGTTCTATTGTGTGTGTAATCTTTTCTTTCCATCCAAATTAAATGATTGTTTTAACATCCTGCAATTCATTTGAATCAAAATGTATTCAAAAGTGATCCTGGACCACAACTGAAGGCTAATTATTTCCACATTGATATTAATACTATACATGAAAGCTGAATTTATATATATATATATATTTCGCTAAGATAAAACTATTTGAAACTGGGGGTTTCCAAAAAAAAAAAAATCTAATAAAGAAAATTGCCTTTCAAACTGTCTAAATAAATTTCTTAGCAATGCATATTATTAGTTATAAAACATTTGTTTTAAAATATTAACTAAAGGAAATTTACCCCCCAAAAATGGAAGCTGATTTATATTATTTATTCGAATGATTTTTGGCAGAAAAGTCACAGCACCCGTGCAACATAAGAGTCCACGGTCACAAATCTAGAAGTTTAATTATGTGTACACATAGAAATGTATTGCATACCACCGATTTGGCTCATTTTACAGACAGACAGACACACAAAACAAGGCATATCAAGAAAAGCTCTGTATTAGATTGTAAATGTATACATTTTCATTCAGTAAATGTTTATTTTATTCAGGCCACAAGGCTTCCAGCGATTTAGACATTTTGCAAGCCCTGATTGGACAATAATGCACAGCTGAGATGCATTCATATCTAACAATTCCCCATCCTGGAGGTCATTATTCTGCTTAAACTCTGGCTCCCAGAGCTGAATCTACAGTAGAAATGTTTTACCCGGAGTGTATTAGTCAGGTGTGTGTCCTCCTCAAGCGTCTCCTGTGTGCTGTTCTAGTGTCCTCCACATCTCCTCCTCCTCCTGTTGTGTTCTGCTGTGATTTCTGACTGTTGTAGCTGTAAAGTAATGCATTCAGTGGAGTGATATGGAGCCGTTATCAAATCTCATGAACCTTTTCTTCACTGTATAACTCACACATTCAGATTAAAGAGCAGCGCATGAATCTCATATTAAGATTCTTCTTTTGATTACATTAAATAACAGAGGTGTCTCTTTAAACACACACACACACATCTAAAATGAAGGCATTCGACTGCTTTTCTAACTGTTAATGCTCATTTAAGACAAAATTAGTTGCGTTTAAAAGAAAACCAACCAAAATTGACATCTTTAGATGTGATTATTATTAATTTATTAATTATATATACAGTTGAAGTCAGAATTATTTACCCCCGTTTATTTTCCCCCAATTTCTGTGTAACGGAGAGCAGATTATTTCAGCACATTTCTAATCATAATAGTGTTAATAACTCATCTCTAATAACTGATTTATTTTCTCTTTGTCATGATGACAGTAAATAATATTAGTCTAGATATTCTTCAAGACACTTCTATACAGCTTAAAGTGACATGTAAAGGCTTCACTAGGGTAATTAGGGTAACTAGGCAGGTTAGGGTAAATAGGCAAGTCATTGTATAATGATGGTTTGTTCTGAAGACAGTCAAAAAAAAAAAAATATATATATATAGCTTAAAGGGGCTAATAATATTGACCTTAAAATGGTGTTAAAAAATATAAAAACTGCTTTTATTCTAGGTGAAATAAAACAAATAAGACTTTCTCCAGAAGAACAAATATTATCAGACATACTGTGAACATTTCCTAAATTTTTTCAACATCATTTGGTAAATATTTATAAAAAGAAATAAAAATTTAAAGGGGGGCGAATAATTCTGACTAACTTTATATGTCTGTTCACACACGCACCCAAAACCCAGACGCTCACTCCACTCTAAATGGCCTGTAAAGGAAAGGGAATTCTGCAATTTCTATATTCATTTCAAAGTATTTCCATGCCTTAAAGCGAAAGCACAGAACAGATTCACATTAAAGAGCACGGGCCGTCTGCTGGTGGTTCGGCAGTATGGGTTGCGTATAGGGACGATCAGCTCTTTAATGTTTATTGCCACTCTTCATTGAAAGATTGAAAATACGGTGAAAATACTGGAAAAGCGGGAGGGTTGACAAGTCATCACCTTGGAGTTTTAAGGTTCTGTCTTCATTCTGAATGATTTTTGAGATAATGAGCTTTAAAGTTTTTGCATCCCATAGCAAACAGTATGTGTGCACCATTTGCTTTTTTAAAATAAAAAGTCTTAAAATGTAAACAACATATAAAAAAACATCCCATAATGTAAAGCCTATTAACCAGTTAAACTCTGCTGTTATTTTGGGATTTCCGCCTGCATTTTGCCTACCCAAATGTAAAAGCTTCCCAAATCCACATGCAGAGGTGAAAATGCAAAAATTTGGCATCATTTTAAAGAAAACCCCTTGAATTTTCATAAAACACTATTGAAAGTGTTTATAATATCTGTATATGTTGTCTGTGTTATAATAAACACCTAAAAAGAGGCGCTTTTTGTATTTATTTTATAAACTCAAATTTAGAAGTGTCTCTTTTAGGTTGTGTGTGGTCTAGTGTGCTGTGATTAATGTTGGTGGTTCCTGCACATGTCTGTAAACATAGGAAAAAAGAGAAATGTCTCCACCATAATCTATGCAGAAGTTATTGTATTCCAACTGATGAGAGGTGCTGTACAAGCCACAGGAGCGATCATTGTGTTCATATTTCACTATTCTTCTGTTTGATCAAACATAATTCACTGTGTTTGGAGCACATCAGACATATAAAAGCATTACTTATGCACATCACCTTTGTACAGTGGAATAAAAACCAAAGTGATGCATCTGTGCATAAAATAGAGATTCTACACAAACGAAACCACTTAAGGCAGTCTGGCTCAATGCTGGCCCTTTAAATCTTAAAGCGAAAGTCGATGACGTCACAGACCCGGTAACAGGTCCGCAGAGTTCAACTGGTTAATAAAGATATGTTAACTCAATTTTGACAAAAACGTCAGATAGAATCTTATAATTCTAAGGTGACAAAGTATGTTTAGGACACCGGGCTACATTGTAACCTGCTCACCTGATGTTTACGTTCATAATATTTATACTATTTGCTAATTAATAACCACCTCATGTGGAACTCTGAATCTGCATCTCATTTTAGAGTCTGCTTCTGTCCACCAGAGGGCGCATTTCAGTCACAGGCGCATGCTTTGAGAGCTTTTTCTGACTGAATGAATGAAATACTCCTGCGGTGCTGAAATATAACTGGCTAACCTGGAATAAAAGAAGCAAAGACAGATGTTCTGGCACATTATACACATGTTCAAAGCAGAATATCTGACTTCAGAATTGTTTTTCAGATAAACACTGTTCACTCAGCATGATTCTGAAATATCTGCACACACATTATGGAGTTTTTATGATGCAGAAGAGTCAAACACTTACAGCCCCTTTAAAGAGGAACCAGCGTATTTGTAAGTGTGTGATATCTGCATCATCAAACCCCCCAAAATAATATCATCATCATCAGCCAAGCAATTTACTCACCATTTCAAACTGACCATCATCCATGAGCTCACTAACGCTGTGATGAAACAATAAGCTAGAGATGAGAAGCAGTGCCAAAGAGGGTGCAAAAATATTTATTGCTAATAAACCTTGTTGTCAGTTTGTGTACATTTTTAGCAGTATATTTACAATAATGTATATAGATGACTGGAAATGTGAGACAAAAAAAAAAGAAATCATAACATTTAAATAAATACAAAGGACTGCCACTGAACAACACTACAGGATTTATCAGCTCCAAGAAACGAAAGGAACTCCCATTGACGTGAGTGGAGCGTGACGCATCATTACATTATATAGCTGTGCTTCTAGACCAGCTGGAACCCGTGCGGTCGTCATTTGGTCACATTCAGCAGTTAATAACGCAAGCAGAATTAATAATGCAAAACTAACGAACGCATAATCCCGCTGGACAACGGAGAGCTGGAGGGAATGTGCGCAGTTCTGTAGTGTAGTTATGATCACGTACTCCAGAGTTAAAACAGTAGCTTTAGTGTACGCACGCTTCGTTAAAAACTAAAGTATTTACATTAAGACACGGCCATGAGAACAGAGGAGGTCACAGTAACTCAGACTATAAAACTCAAACTTCAGACCATGTTTAATACAAGCGGTGACCAGTGTGTGTGTGTGTGTGTGTGTAGTCTAAGTGATTAATTACTGGGCTAAAATACGCTGAGTTTTATTAGCATGCAGCGAGTCTGTAGTGTCAGAAGTCCTTCGTGTCCTTGTTGTCGAACAAGTGAAGCCTCTGCTCCGCCGTCAGGCCTTCTTTAAGACTCTGCAATCAGAAAAGCAAGAGATTCCTCATATAAACATATGCACAACTGCTTAAAATATGGACAAATTCTTAAATCAAGAAGCATTTTACAGACAAGCACAAACACACGGCCAGAAACAATGAGTCAAAATGAAGGAAAAAGATAAATATTCTGCCAATGGGGTGAGTGAAAAACTCCTGAATCTGTTCAACATCATGTGGGAAATATTTGAAATACTCACTGGCCACTTTATTAGGTACACCTGTCCAACTGCTCGTTAATGGAAATGTCTAATCAGCCAATCACATGGCAGCAGCTCACTGCATTTAGGCATGTAGACATGGTCAAGAGGATCTGCTGCAGTTCAGAGCGAGCATCAGAATGGGGAAGAAAGGGGATTTAAGAGACTTTGAACGTGGCATGGTTGTTGCTGCCAGACGGGCTGCTCTGAGTATTTCAGAAACTGCTGATCTACTGGGATTTTCACGCACAACCATCTCTAGGGTTTACAGAGAATGCTCCGACAAAGAGGAAATATCCAGTGAGCGGCAGTTCTGTGGGCGCAAATGCCTTGTTGATGGTCAGAGGTCAGAGGAGAATGGCCAGACTGGTTCCAGCTGATAGAAAGGCAACAGTAACTCAAATAAGCACTCGCTACAACCGAGCTCTGCAGAAGAGCATCTCTGAACACACAACACGTCCAACCTTGAGGCGGATGGGCTACAGCAGCAGAAGACAATCATCTCAGACTGGTTTCTTGAACATGATGATGAGTTCACTGTACTAAAATGGCCTCCACAGTCACCAGAGCTCAATCCAATAGAGCAGCTTTGGGATGTGGTGGAACGGGAGATTGGCATCATGGATGTGCAGCCGACAAATCGGCAGCAACTGTGTGATGCTATCATGGAGCAAAATCTCTGAGGAATATTTCAAGTAGCTTCTTAAATCTACACCACGAAGACAGTTAAGACAGTTCTGAGGGCAAAAGGGGGTCCAACCCGGTACTGATAAGGTGTACCTAATAAAGTGGCCAGTGAGTGTAGAAGAAAAAATAATTCACAGGAGGGTGAATAACTCAACTGTATATCTCAGAAAAACAATATATGGCAATGTCATTTGTTTTCCCACTGATATGGTGCAGGACTAATGTAAATAGACAGAGCTGGAATCTGTGCCACCAGTGAAACCCTGAGCGCCAAACACAAACCCACATGCTGTGGATCACCACAAACTCTTATTGTGCATCATTTCTGTAATCTTACTGAACGGCCGGCGTCTGATGAACCATGAGATGACATGAACAGCCCTTCATCCACTATCAGCTGTGCACAAACACATGCAGGATTAGGGATGCAACCATTCACACTCGATCACAATATGTGATGAAGCAGATCAGTGAGGAGTTAAATGAAGCACGATATGTGTTTTAAAGCATTATGCTGACTCGGGATCTCAGAACACAGCCATATCAACTGCTTCTGATCAAACAGCCTGAAAAATAAAAAGGCTAAAAAAGCACAAGGACAATTGTAATTTCTTTAAACTATATTTTATTTAATAAAATTTAAATTTTATTTGCATTATTATTATTTTTTTATTTTATTTGGATTTTTATTTTTATTTTTGTTATTTTTTTTAGACATTTTTTTTTCAAAGTAATGGACTGAAATGATAATAATAATAATAATAACCATAATAATAATAAAAACCTATTTCTAAATCGTCAATTAATTTTGCTGATATCCAACTCAGTGTCTTGTGTTTTAGGGATTTAATGATGCACATTTTCACACACCCTGCTCAAATATTATGTGGTTGTGAATGTGCTGCATGTTTTCTACATTTGTTTGTAAATTTGGGGCGGCACGGTGGCTCAGTGGTGCCTCACAGCAAAAAGGTCGCTGGTTCGAGTCCCGGCTGGTTTAGTTGGTGTTTCTGTGTGGAGTTTGCATGTTCTCCCTGTGTTTGCGTGGGTTTCCTTCATGTGCTCTGGTCCACAGTCCAAACACATGCGCTATAGGGGAATCGATCATCTAAACTGTCTATAGAGTATGAGTGTGTTTGGGTGTTTCCCAGTTCGCTGTGTAAAACATATGCTGGATTAGTTGGCAGTTCATTCCGCTGTGGTGATCTCTAATAAGGGACTAAGCCGAATGAAAATAGCTATATTTCCATCTCTTCTTATTTCTATAGCTGTATGGTCTACTTCTAGATCTACAACTGTCTGTGTTTTTACTTCTTATTATACTGCATGATGTAGATTCCTATTGATATTATTTTTGTTTGTTTGGTCTGAGGTCGCGAACGATTTCATAAGCATTTCACTGCTCATTGTAGGGTGTAAGTCTGTGATGAATAAAAGTAGAAGGTGACAATATCCTACAGTGAGATCAGATGGTGAACCGCTTTGAACTGAGTCTTGTGAACCGTTACACACGATGCAAAAGAAGGCCACTGGTTTGCCTGAGGTTGCATGAATCTTCAGAATGCATAACTCATGAGCAGGAGATGCACATTCAGGCACTGTAGAGCTGCACGATATCACTAAATGATGATTATTACTGATATTCAGCTGCTTTTATTAGTGTTTCATAGTGAAGCATGTTGTTCCTGTGTGTGTTATAGCATGTGCTTCGTGCCTGTAAAGCAACAAGGAGTCTACATACACTAACACATATGTTTGCATCATAACACACTTAACTGAACACTTGAAAATGTAGTAATGAAGTCAGTGCAAATATTATAATATCATAATGCTTCACTTCTTTACAGCAGAACAGTTCCGCTGCTGATATACATTTCTCACCTTTTTAAATATTTCAACTGCTATTAATAACAATTATTATTTGATACTTGACTGGTCACAAACACTGGGAGTATTTACAGAACACATCAGATATATACATTTGATTTAGTTTAATGATTTTCCAAGTGCAGTTTGACAGAGCTGATGAATGTCGAATATTAACATAGATATCGATTGATAATCACTGATGATCTGATGATGCTTCTGCACTGGTCTAGATCAGCTGTAAAACTCCTAACCCTGATCCTGGAGGGCCGCAGTCCTGCACAATTTAGTTGTTTAACCACACCAGTTAAACACACTCAAACTAGTTAATCAAGCTCTTACTAGGTATACTAGAAGATTCTAAATTGAAGGTAAATTGTGCAGGACACCGGCTCTCCAGGACTGAGTTTGGACAGCTCTGGTGTAAAGTGTTTACTGATGAACTTATTTCTGATGATGTGTCTGTATCGTGCAGCTCTGCCTCCACAGGCTTTACCTACACGCCTTTAGCTGTCGCAGGGCACATCACGACTCACAGACTGAGAAGAGGGAAGATAGAGGAAACACACACACACACACACACACACGCACACACGCACACACGCACACGCGCACGCACGCACGCACACAGACAGACACAGTGTGTTAGGGAAGGGAATGCGCAGTGGACTCTTGTCTTGGCACTAGCTGTCAGGCTTTCTCCTACATACAGATGGAGTTCGGATGGAGATAATGCACCATCACAACAGAAGTAGGAGGAGCTGTGGAGGGCAGTGTGTGCTCTTATAACTGTACATCACTGACTCCATCACCAACTCCACCTCCATCACTATCTCAATTAATTTCTCCATCACTTTCTCCATCCACATCACTACCTCTAGATCCATCACTATCTCCATCTCTATCATTACCACCATCTCCATCACTATCTCCATTCACATCATTAACTCCATCACCTTCTCCATTACTATCTCCATCAATTTCACCCTATCTACCTCCATCACTACTTCTACCTCCAACCATTTCTCCATCACTTTCTCCATCAATATCACTAACTTTCTCCATCAGTACTTCCACCTCCATCAATTTCACCATCTCCATTCACATCATTAACTCCACCACTAACTCTACATCCATCACCTTCTCCATCAATTCCTCTCTCCATCACTTTCTTCATCTCAATGACATTTACACCTCCATCAATTTCTCCATCCACGACTAACTCTATATCCATCACTATCTCCATCTCTACCACTAGTACCACATCCACCAATATATCCAGCTATCCACATCATTAACTCCAATTCCTCCATCCCTTTCTCAATCTCCATCAATCTCTCTATCACTAACTCCATCACTTTCTCCATCTCCATCAATATATCCATCAGTTTCTCCACCTCCATCAATTTCTCAATCACTTCCTCCATCTCTCTATTACTAACTCCATCTCCAACAGTTTCTCCATCACCTTCTCCATCTCTACCAATTTTTACATTCACATCGCTACCTCTAGATCCATCACTATCTCCATCTCTATCCACATCATTAACTCCATCACCTTCTCCATCACTATCTCCACCTATTTCACCACATCTACCTCCATCACTACTTCTACCTCCATCCATTTCTCCATCACTTTCTCAGTCTCGGTCACTTTCTCCATCTCCATCAACATCCCTAACTTTCTCCATCTCCATCAGTACTTCCACCTCCATCAATTTCACCATCTCCATTCACATCATTAACTCCACCACTAACTCTATATCTATCACCTTCTCCATCAATTTCTCTCTCCATCACTTTCTTCATCTCAATGACATTTACACCTCCATCAATTTCTCCATCCACGACTAACTCTACATCCATCACTATCTCCATCTCTACCACTAGTACCACATCCACCAATATATCCATCGCTATCCACATCATTAACTCCATCAACTCCTCCATCCCTTTCTCAATCTCCATCAATGTATCCATCAGTTTCTCCACCTTCATCAATTTCTCCATCACTTCCTCCATCTCTCTATAACTAACTCCATCTCCATCAATTTCTCCATCACTTTCTCCATCATTAAATCCATCATTTTCTACATCTCCATCAATATATCCATCAATTTCTCCATCACTTCCTCCATCCCTCTATAACTAACTCCATCACTTTCTCCATCATTATATCCATCACTTTCTCCATCTCCATCAATATATCCATCGATTTCTCCATCACTTCCTCCATCTCTCTATAACTAACTCCATCTCCATCAGTTTCTCCATCTTCATCAATATCACTTACTTTCTCCATCAATTTCTCCATCTCTTCCTCCTCGATCACCTCCATCATTATCTCCATCAATATGTCTATAACTTCCACCCCCATCACTTTCTCCATCACCACCTCCACCAATTATTACATCTCAATCCTCATTTCCTCCATCTCTTGCTTCATCTTCTTCAAATTCTCCATCTCCATCACCTTCTCCACCTCCACCATCTAATCCCCCCTGGTGTCTGTAAGCTCACCTTTGACCTCATTGTCCTCTCGGAGCGTTTTGCCGCTGCTGCCGCCATCTTTAATATATCCGGGTTGCTCTTGGACTTCATGATATCTGAAGCAAACACACACACACACACACACACAGCAGCATTAACACACACTGAACACACGGATGTTTGCGGCAGAGTGGAGACCGCACTGACCGTATCCTCCGCGCTCCATGTCCTCCAGCGTCGGCTCCCCCAGTGCATTGTGGGCCAGCTGCAGCTGCTCCCGCAGGCGGCCCAGATCCCGCTCCGCTTTGGCCCGCACGATGCTCAGCTCAGTGTAGATGTCCTTGTATTTATCTGTTGCATATTTCTTATCCTACCAGAAGATGAGCCACAGGTTATTCATTTGATTCATGTGTGACAGATTAGTGCAGCTGTTGAAAATGACAGTCATACATTATTACTGTTGTTATTATTGATGCTCTTATTGTTATTAGTATTATTATTATTGCTACTAAAACAACCACTGCTCACAGAACAAATCGCTGTTATTCAATGATTTGCCTAATTAACCTAGTTAAGCCTTTAAATGTCACTTTAAGCCAGGGGTCTCAAACCCAAATTAGCGGGGGGCATATCAGTGACTGACAACTCATAGGATATTAATAATCAAGCACAGCAAAAAAGTGGAAACCTGATGTAATGAAAGCACTCGGACATAGAGTATAGAAGCAGTCAGATCTCCTTCTTTCTGTTTCTTATTGTAAATACTGAAGAGCTAGTTTAAACTGCTATGAAAAATACTACATTTAATAACAGGCATAATAAAAATTATTATTACTCTGTCCCAATCTTTGCTTAACCAAATATTTAACAGATAGCACAAGAACAGCAGATTGAGTTGTTTCTTTTTTGTAAAACTACAACAAAGAGGGGGAGAATATATATATATATATTTACTTTTATTTCACCATGTTCAATTCAGCCAGCAGTCACATTTTATTAATGCACATGCATTCATTTTCTTTTCGGCTTAGTCCCTTTATTAATCCGGGGTTGCCACAGCGGAATGAACCACCAACTTATCCAGCACTTGTTCTAAACAGCGGATGCCCTTCCAGCAGCAACCCATCACTGGGAAACATCTCTTCACACTCGTACACTACAGACAATTTAGCTTGCCCAATCCCCCTATAGCGCATGTGTTTGGACTGTGGGGGAAACCGGAGCACCCGGAGGAAACCCACACCAACACGGGGAGAACATGCAAACTCCACACAGAAACACCAACTGACCCAGCCGAGACTCGAACCAGCAACCTTCTTACTGTGAGGCGACAGCACTACCCACTGCACCACCATGTCGCATACACTAATGCAAATATATTATACAATTCTTAATAATTTAAATGAGGCCATCTGAATGGAATTTTAGCAAAATGATTATATTTACACCACCAGCATAACGTGTAAGCCATGAAGATACACAATACAGGCGGTATAAGCTGATTATAATCAAATGACCCTTGAATATTTTCAAAAATACAGATTTAGTTTAAGATGGAGCACTTACGGACATATATTTTAATGTTTAAATCAGCCACACAAAGAATCTGCACGTGTGTTACTCTCAAGAGTAACCTGAACACATCGTGCAGTACTTTAAATGTCCAGTAGGTGGGGTCAAAACCACAGGTGGCTATATGCGACTGCACAACAATGATGGTGATTCAAACAGAGGATACGGGGGGCAAATCTTGATATATTTTCGATGTCAGTTGCAGGCTGGAGGGAAGAGGAGAGGGGGACACAAATGGCCTGCGGGCCGACCAAGCGGCAACCTCCCGCTCTTTCTCAGGAAGCCAATACGGAAGTAACTAAAACTGCAATTCATCTGAAATTCCGCTAGTCCTGGCCGCTCCTGGCTCCAAAACAGAGCAAATTTCAATTGAGCCCACTGTTAGAATGGCCAACTCTACAGCAGAAAAAAGGTGTTTACAGCCTGCTACAAAAACAGATTTAGGTTAATACAGGTAATATCACCCTTCATGACAACTGTGAGGGGGTGAATTTTTTTATAACTCATCCGTTTCATTTATATTAAGTTATACTAAGTTTGCATATTTAAGGGCGTGGCCACTTGAGTGACAGCTAGGTCTCGTTGGTCGCCGTCACGTCACCTCAGCTGAATCCTGCAGATTAGCCACTGAACTCGGCATATTTATCATATTTCTGTGTTGTTTTATGTGGCTTTACACAGTCGACTGCCTTTTGGACTTGTTTCCTACAATTATTAGATGATATGGCATGCTGAGTGCACTTAATTGTGCTCACAAACCATCCACGTGGCCTCCGTTTCCCATGTGAGTAAAGTTATATACTTATATATCATCTCTATACATGTATTTGTTTTATTTAAGATCTTTATATTTATATTTAGAGCTGTAATGCGCTCCAGAATCTGTCAGATTGATTAGCTGTAGGCTCTAGATCAGTCATCTGAAGCGTTGTCATACAGTGTTATGCTGGACTTCATCAATAGTCTTGCATTAACTAACACAGACTATATCTGAAGTGTTTGGATGTAATTCCTCCTGTTGAAAAACGTCATAAGAGCAATGTTTAGTGGCTCAGTGTATTACAGCAGTGTTTTTACAAGTCTAAACACTTTATTGATATAGTGAACAACCAAGCACAAGTGGTCAGAACACAAGCGAGTCGCAGGTGATGAAGTATTAAGCGTTCTCCCAAAGTAAAGTGTGTCTGAAGCAGGTCCAAGCTAAATGCCAGCAGGTGTCTGTAGCTCCGCCCACTCTCCACCCTCTTTTTCCTTATTTGGTATCCCGCCGCGGGTGTGATGACGCGCGAACAAAATGGCGACGGTTGGCCGCGCCTACTTGTGGCTTCTTTTGCGCTCTTTAGAAACCTATGGGTGACGTCACGGACACTACGTCCATATGTTTTACAGTCTATAGGGCCGACAGATTGAAACCCCTGCTTTAAGATGAATATTAGTATCCTGCAAAATATTATGTACTGTCATCATAAAACAAACAAAAGAATGAGATATTAGAAATATAGATTAAAAATGCACAGAAAAAATATTCACTTCTTAAAAATATTGGAAAAATATTTAAATAAATTCACAGGAGGGCTGATAATAGTCTTCAACTGCATGTTTCAGCTGTGTTCATTA